GGCGGGAGTTTTTGCCTAATTAACCAATATTTATACGTATAAGAAATTCATTTAAAAAGTATTACCTAGCTCTAGTTTTCCGATAACATGTACCACAAATTCTTCAACTTGTATCTCCAAAACGATTCAAAATTTATTTACTTACATTTACTACTCAGCATTAGTTTGTCAAGGTGCGGTGAAAGAAACTGCAACAAATTTCAAGACAGCACCAGAAACAGCGTAGTAGGTGTATATAAGTATGTATATACATTGTATGCAATAAATTGGCTGTACTACTAAAAGCATTCAATGTCCCACCCACACATCTACACATTTAAGAGCCAAAGCGGCGCCGTTATGGATAAAACACGCTAAAAAAGATACCGGAAATGTTGCAGGAAACAAAATGACTTAATGGCCACGATTGCCATGGTCATGAGGTAGACAAGAGCCGAGAAGCCAACAGCTTCGCAATGCAGGGACTGTCGAGGTCAGAGCAGAGAGAGCAACATAAAAATGGCTGTGCATGTGAAACAGAGTCCAATGGGCACACTAGATTGAAAACTACATACACTGAAAACAACCAGAAAATTAAATTGTGAAAAAATATTTCACTAATTATGTATTTGTATAATAGCTGTATAGATAAATACTATAATTATTTTTAGCTAGCTGTTTAATAGATATCAATGAACAAAATCGAATTACAATTTGTTGATTTATTTTAGACCAGATCTTTGTTTTGTAAAAAATAAAATAACCATTTTAGTTGCCATAGAAAACCCGTTATAAATTAATTTCATTAATTAAAATCTTATATACATTTTCTAAAACCTGATTTTCGTTACTTTAAAACAGTAGTGCCCAAGAGTAGGATACGTTATTTCTCTATCATTTGGCTGCAAAATATATTACATATATACAAATATACTTGTATTAATTTTGATGTATTGTGTTTCTGATAAAGAGCTTTGTGGAGCTCTTCTTTCTTTTAAATGTTAGCTACGCATAGGCTTGAGGTGGTGCCTAACGTAATCTCATACTTAAAATTCACAGAGAATAAAACCAATCAGTCGCACGCCCACTTCCAAGGGCGTAGCCAGCTTTTACCAAATCCAACGCAGATCCATCTTAAGGCGAAATAGTGCGTTAAAATGAACGTGTGGTCGACTTTATATGGAAAATTTTTTTCTAGGGGGGGGCAACGCCCCCCCCCCCCTGCCCCCCCTGGGTACGCCCTTGCCCACTTCTATTAACTGTTCTCTTCTCATCAAATGGTAGTTGATTCGGCGGTTCGGAAAACTCACAATTAAAAAACCCAACAATTTTAAATAAGTCGCAACAAGTTTTATTCTATAACGGCTTAACCTAGATGTGAGCGTGTGCCTTCGATGCACACTATCAATCCGATTCCAATGAATCAATATCGGTTATATTTAAGTTACATTCTTGTATTTCTTATCAGTCTTATCAGTTAAATAGACAATAGTAATATCGGCTTCATACTTCAAATCGTTTTACAAGAATACTAATAATCATAGAAAATGCATATTCTTTTCATTAATATTCTCCGGGCCATGAGAAAATAATATGGGCTTATGCAAATAATATCAGCATTTGGCGTCAACAATACATAAAATAAAAGCACGACTAACGTAATATAACGTACATAATATAACGGTTTTTTTTTTTTTCGGTGCATCTATGTACTTACAATTGCAATAAGGTCCCATCATTAACATAAACTATCCTATTACCTGCACATTTTGCCAATGCATGTTTTTTTCTGTAACGCTACCTTTGTGCGAAACATATATTTCTAATTAAATTAATTAAGCGAACCGGGAACGTGAAATGTAAAATGTTGCATATTCAAGCCAATTAGTGGAAAATGCAAATTAAATGTCTGCCGAGAGTAGTAAATGTTCCGATAGGTGTGAGTATATGCATACTTGTACATAGATACAAGTATATATACTTGCATATATGCAAACAGTCGACCGTTCATTGTCTGTCTGAATCCTGAATCCTGAAACGTGAATGTCTGCCCTTGCCATATACTTGTGTACTTGTAGTGCAACCGATCCACCCACCTAAGCACACTTTGACTTTGTCTGTCCGTTCTGTGCGTTCTCTTTGTTTTGCCAAGCGCCTGACAATAATTGCATTTAGACATGTAAGCTTTTGTTTTCCATGTGTGTGTGTATTTTGTGCGCGTGTGTGTGTGCGAGGCAAAGTTAATGACAGCATAATTAAACAAAACTAGCAGCAGACTAATAAAATGTTTATACTGCACAACGCTCACGGCTACCTTTAAGAGTGTCCTGCCTCTCCATACCTTAAGCGCATATGCGACTTTGTCTTCGTCGTGCTCGACCTCGTTCTCGACCTCATCCTCGTCATCGCCCTCAGACTCTCTGCTTCTTCGATCGCCCTCATCATTCACTCTGCTGCACGCTTCGCGTTTGTCAACTGACAATTAAAGTCATAATAAAAGGAGGCGCAAGGCAATCATATTATCCGTCATGCCCCCCCCCCCCCCCCCATGCCCCTCCTTCTCATCTCACCCGTTCTGGCATCTTGATTTGCTGGGCTCGCGTGTCTGACGTTTCCACTTTAGTTATGCATAAAGTTCAAAACAAAGGGTAAACGTGGCATGGCAATGGGCATATAAATTTCAAAATTAAAGCAAAGTTAACCTCTGTCTTTGTCAGCGAGCTCGTTAGTCTGCATGCGTGCATGTGTATATATGTATGTGTGTGTGTGTGGATGTGTGCCCATCAAACCCGCATCAAAACGATTTTCGTTTTGGCAAATTAAATCAATTTATGTCCACCAGATGTGACCTTTTCTGTACAAATTCTTCTGCCCCAAAAAGAGGCGCTGCGTCGTGAAACATGTAAATGTTATACCCATATATCATGCAAAATCGTATCGATTTCCAGTATTTAATCGAATATCAAATGAATGTTTTAGGATAACAACAAATTGGGTGGATGGTAAATAAAATGTGATTAGTGAAAATATATTTTTTTTCTCTGAATTATCTGCTGGTTCTATAAACTGAATTATTAGCTGTAATCAACTTGCAGTTCAAATATTCAGTCAACGGAAGATAAATTACCGTTTTGTAAATTCTTTATTCAAATTCAATATAATAATATATATAGCAGTTGACTCATTTTTATTTGTTTTCTAAGTAATTGTCATGTTAATGGTGATATTGCGATAAGATACAAACAATCTTTCTATTAGGGGCGAAATTAGAAATCTCCTTCTCCTAATATTCGCCCGAAAACATTGGAATATAGTTTTTCTGAACAATCTGCATCAGAAATAATTTTCATGTCCTATGTAAATATTATTAAATTAGGAAATTACTAAATCTCTAGTTAAATAAAACACCATCATTCACACACAGCATCCAAAACAACCGCAAAAAAGAGATACCCAGTTGGCCCAAATATAAAATTACATTTTTCGAACATCACATTTTGCTGAGTAAAGGATTATTTTGTGAGTCAAACGAAAGTTAAAAATAAAATATAAATTTGACGCTTGTTTCAAATAAGTACCAAATGACTGCGTATTAATTTATTTCTTCATAAACAGGAGAGAAAATACAACAACAAGAATTAAGCCCCAAAAAATTACTTAATTAAATGAACATTTTAAATCGCAAATAATGCTGAGGTTCTTTTTAAATCACAACTTTTCATTTGCAATGTTTTTCCATGGCACCCCCGTATATGTGGCTTTTCAAATAGATACATATATGTACAATACATGGATACATACATACATAGATATACGCGTATTTTTATAGCCTGTACCCAAAGGGTGAAAGGCTATACTAGTTTTGTGCGCATGTATGTAACACACAGAAGGAGGCGTGGCAGACCCCACAAAGTATATATATTCTTGATCAGGATGAGAAGCCGAGTCGATATAGCCTTGTCCGTCCGTCCGTCTGTCCGTCTGTCCGTCTGTCCGTCTGTCTGTCCGTCTGTCCGTATGAACGCAAGGATCTCAGAAAGTATAAGAGCTAGAATAACCAAACTTGGTTTCCATATTCTCCTAAGACCGAGAAAGTACGAGTTTGAGTTTTTTTTCGATGCACCCCCCCACTCCCCCGCAATTCGTGTTTTTTCTTATAACTTCCGTAATTCTCGGAATTTTGAAATCAATTTTGGTAGGTACATCCAGTTAGTACTATTGTGTCCGTGTGCCAAATTTCATCATGATAGGTCAATTCTGAAGAAAGTTATAGCCATAAGTAAAATCGCTGCTCATGCGCTGCCTCTGTCGGCAGCGCTGCCCGCAGCTGTTGTTGTTGTTGCTGCTTTGGTTCAACTTTGTGCTGCATACATACACGCATATAAACACGCATAGGTACGTGATGTAAATGTATGCTGTTAAAACTAAACATAAACATATATTCTAATTTAATTTAATTAATTAATTCATTAATTTTTTTTAATAATTTAATTTTTTTAAAAATTTTTTTTTTTTAATTTTTCTTTTTTTGTGAAGAGTACAGGCTATTTTACTGTCGGGCTTGCTCGACTGTAGCGTTCTATCTTGTTTATTTCTTCATAATCTGGAATGAAATGAGAGAAAGTACAACAAAAAAAAATAATCCCCCAAAAAATTACATAATTAAATGAACATTTTAAATCGCGAATAGTGCTGAGGTTCTTTTTAAATCACAACTTTTCATTTGCAATGTTTTTCCATTAATCTAAAGAATAATAAATGTATATTCTCATTTGTTGCTCTCGTTTTGCTGGCACATAACTGACTGTTTTAATGAAATTAATTTCACTTTGAGTTGGCACCCCACTGCATTTTTTTGCACGTGTCTCCTAATAATAAATGCAATGTCAATAGAATTGTTATTCAAATGAAACAGTCAGCTGCTCAAATATTTGACAATGAACTGAATGAATGAAAAGCGCGCTAATATTGACAGCTAATTGGCCAACTTTCCACTATAAATAGCCAGTAAAAAGCCCACGTCCCATTCGCAACGGGCTTGCATCATGAAGCTCATCAAGCACGCTGTTTTGCTGGTCGCCCTCTGCTCCGTTGTCGCACGGGCAGAGCCGAGTGTGCCCTTCATTGGGGATCTGTGGAGTGGCATTGGTGAAATCGGGCAGGACATTATCGATGGCATCAGGAATGCGACGCAGGAAGGTGCTGATATAGCTGGCGATTTCCTTCATCACTTTCAAAATGCCACCGACGAGTTTGTGGGCGATGCCAAGGAATATAGCCAGTCCGTGCTGGAGGAGCTACACGATGGCGTCGTCAAGGGCCTCGCCAGCTTCGCAAGAAATGTGCTCCTCACGCTGGAGAATCTGCAGCAGACGATCAGCAAGGTGAGCAACAATATTAAGCGTCAGGTCTTGCAAGACGCACTCGACGTGCTCGTCCGCATCAATGCCACCGCCACTGAGCTGGAGACCGATGTGGCCAACATTGGAATCGAGCTGCAACAGCGCATCGAGAGTCACAGAGCGGAAATTGAGACTGTATTGAACCAGTGGTCTAAGAGTCAGCTGGATACTGTTGACCAAGAGACCGACGGAGCCGGCGTGAAGGAAGCCGAGCAGCTGATCAACGAATTAGTCCTGCGCTATGGCACATATCTGAACAGTTGTGCCGAAGAAGTTGAACTCCGTAAGGTAGGCTTCGAGCTGCAGGTCTCCGATGTCATCGAGCAATACCATAATGCCACCACAGCACTGGCCATCCAAATCGACAGCTGTCTAAGGAGCACCAACAGCGGACGATCCGCTCGCAACTGTCGCAATGGTGTGCAAGGCGCGCTGGCCAATCTCATTCAAGCGCCAAAGAATCTAGAGGACTTGAAAGCAGCAGGTGCCCAGCTGATTAGCTCTGGACTCCAGGGCAGCGTGTGTGTTGTACAAACTTTGCAGGAGCTTGCGAATGAAAAGCTGAGCGTGGAAATCAAAATCGATATCATTATTGGGCAGAACAAGAAAGCGCCAGAATATGATTCCACAACCTTACCTATTGGATCGGAATGATTTACAAATCCTGGACATTGGTACATACAATTTAAAAGCACGGTGTTGGGTAAATTAAGCATAATACAAAAGCCTTTTTCTTTCAATGCAAAATCAAATAGGGCTATATACATACTTGTACAGAAAAATAAATTTGTTCAATGCAAAATCAAACCCAAGTGCGTCAGGACTTAAAAAAAAAAAGAACACAGAATTGATGTTTTGACAAAATACAATGTTTTTTTACGATCAAGAAACATGTCGATCGAGAAACAAAAGCAGTAATTGCGTATTTAAAACAATACAATGTTTATTTAATGGAAAGGCTGTGAATGATAAGAATTAAATTGGTTTACATCGATAAAAAATGCATGGCTTGGCTCAGTGTTCCAAGTACGGAACTCGTCGTCTTCTGCCGAATTCTTCTTTAGATGCCACTGATCGTCGTTTTTTCTCTTCTCTCTCTCTCTCTCTTATCTCTCTCTCTCTCTCTCTCTCTCTCTCTCTCCCTCTCTATCTCCCTCTCTCTCTCTTGTAAGTTCGTCTTCTGGCTTGTTGTCTAGGGCGTCGTTTGGAAGGCAAATTAATTCATTTTTTTGTAGGGCATGGGTTGTTACTCCGAGCAACATACACACGCACGCTAGTATAGTGAATAATTTCATTGATTAATTAACATTAGGTAGGTGGGTTGGGTTGTTTATTATGTAACAGTCGCTTAAATTTTGTTTGATCTTAGCGCTTGCACACACTCAGCACTTCTCTCTTCCTCAACAACTCTCGGGCCTGAGTGATCTTCGTTTTCATTGTCCTTCTCTTCTCTTTTATACGCCAACTAACGCTCACTAAACAGGGCTAGTGTATAGCAGGGCTATTCTGGTAGATTCTACCACTACTTCATTCATATTGCCTTTGCGTTGACATTTATCTGATATACACACGTCTATAATTGATTCATCAAGAGAACGTCGAATACTTTTGGGACCAGTCGCGTGCCAGCATTTCAAATGCATGTAATTGCACATTAAAGTAGGACCCTCATCCATTACCATACTCCCATCCAGCAGCAGTGGCAGCATCAGCAGCTCCAGCGATTAACTTAATCAATGCAACGGCACATTTTTCTGCGGTTTGCTCGGGCGCTCGCCTACTGGGGCTAACAGCCACATTTGCTGGCATTCATTTTCATTGCAATTATGACGCCATTTTGCCATTTTACCGTTGCGCCTTTTGAAGACCCCATTGAATGGCCAACCTTTTTGCGCTGACCCAAGCACAACGTGCGCGGGCTGGCTAAGTGAACGTTGCTGGCTGGCTGTTGCAATCGTGGCCATTAAGTCATTTCGTTTCCTGTAACATTTCCGGTATCTTTTTAGCGTGTTCTCAACATCATCGCCGCTCGGCGGTTCATTGGGTGGCGGAGCAGTGGCAGCCAATGCTTTTAGTGGTGCTCCTGCACTGCTGCTAGCACGGGCTGTGCGCTCAATTTATTGCTCACCAAATGGCTTGTTGTCCTGCCCGGCCTTCTTGCCACGAAATGCATTTGCAGCTGCATTGACCGGCCGCCAATGTTGTTTTAATGTTGTGGCTATCTCGTAGTTGGTGTTGCCGCGCAAAATTAAGATCTCATTTTTTTGCCGAAATTTATTGAAACCCCCACACACCCCGACTGCCTTAGTACTCGTAAGTGCCTGTGTTTTACATTTTATGAGCTTCATCCTGGCCGGTCATGATTAATATTTGTGCTGCCTCTTCGCCACGATTGCATAAGTTTCTATAAGCAAACAACATTTCTGATTTATATTTAGTAATATATTTTGATTTGTTTTAGCAGATAAATATTGAACATCAACGTATTTATTGAAGGAGGTAGGCAAGAGTGCCCTCATAAGAGTGTTAGAATTGAACACATTTCTGTATAATTATGTTTGCCATAATTGTCTTTACACAAAGATTTCAATCACAAAATCAAAACAATTACATATTCTGTAAAAAAAAACAATTCATTGACTTACAGTTGATTCCATTTATGTCGTCACCAAATACAAAATCAACTTTACTTTCAAATTTAAAATAATATTATGTTACTAAGCTTGGACATCGCTTAATAATATTTTCTTTAGTCTGCTAAAGGCTTAGCAATTCTAAGCGTCCATTTAAAAATGGGCTTACGTCGTTTAACTTCAAATAAAAATATAAATTGCTTTATTCAATCATATTCAGCATTTTGTTTTCTATACCTTGATGTGAACAAAAGAGTGTTCCAAGATATTTTCTATAGTCTGCAAAGGCTTAGAAGTACACATGCATTCAAAAATAAACTTAAGTCGACTACCAGTTTTTGAAGGAGATTCTTATGAGTTAGACAGAGTAAAATAATAGACAGAGCTAGTTAGTACAGCTGCAACCAACCAAAATAGATAAGAAAAACTGTAAATTAAAATAATTTAAAGAATTGACAGCCGTTAGTATAGAACTACTTGTATTTTATTTTTTTTATTTAATTATTTATGTTAACAAACATTGACTGTTGACATAGAAGGAAAAGTAATGCAGTATAGTTAATAAAATCAATTCGTATTTCTTAGTATATGAAGTCGAATTTGTGTACATTTCTTGGTCTGAATCTCAAGCAGACACTGGATTATTTACCTATTTGATGAATTATTGTTTTCAAACTTAGCCGCCTCTATTGTTACCGCCCCAGGACAGACAAATGCCTTAACAATACATTGCAATATAACTGACGTTGGAAAATTGCACAGTTGTTAAAATATTTGCATAAGTTATTTGCTTTAGCCATGTAATTAAACAGCTTAGATTGTTTGTCTTCTGTCCCAGTCGGTTACATTAATCACTCAAAGCATTACCCCTCGACCCCTTCTGTACCCCTCTTTGAGCAACTCTTTTGAAACTGTAATACACATTGCATCTTTCTGAATCATACACATGCATGTCTGTAGACTTTTGTAGGTTGTGATCTAAAATGCGTAGAATTTTAATTAACTATAAGATAAAACGAATACAACCGCTCATGGTAATGGTTCTTCTTTTGAAGTACTTCAACTAATATTCAAATATAAGTATATTAAAACGAAATTGGTCACAAATTGCTGTTGTTGTATAGCTCTGGTAGCAATATACATTTTTATATGCATATACTCGTGTACTATCTAATATGTTTAAAAATAGCTAATAATCATATTAGGATAGGCACTGTTTAATAAATGTTTGGTGTTTCTTTTTTACATGCAAAAATATTTGTGCAGTTATAGAATTTCTTTTTGCTAAACCGAAGAAATGGTCTTATGAATGAAAGTTTTATTTGCAAATAATATACCTTTAATTAATATATTTTTCTTCTAATGACAAAATATGTTGGCTTATGTCATTATATAAAAATTAAAAGTAAATATTAAGTGCAAACGATATAACGCTGCCATTGCACATACGAATTAATAATTATTATTAATATTAAGTATGTACATTTGATGAACATTTTTTGTAAGTCAAACCATTACCACAACAATCGTTTTTAAACTTTAAAAACATAGGTTTTATTTAAATACTTGCGGGCCAATTAAATTATATTTGTTATTTATTTAATGCAGATTATTGCTACTATAACAAAATCTAACTAAAACGGTGCGAAGTTGCTGCTTTTTGTTTTTTATTTTCCTTTTTTCATTCTCCAGTTAGTTATTGTTTTAAGGAACTATGATGATTTGATATGATATGATTTTGATGTGTTGGAATGATTTTTGTAAATAACTGTTATCGTCCATTTATACTTACCATGTGTTATACACAACTGGCTATAGAACACCCTCATATTTTGTGCTCAAAATATAAACGAAAAGCTCACTTAAGCTCCTTGTTCTACCGTTATAAACTGACGGCATTTATCAACCTGGTTCTGAATTGTACTGAAAGGACTGCAATAATTGCTCATACGCAGTGTTATACAAAGTCCATTATTATGAAAAAGCTCGGCATATAGGTAGGTGTCATTCAACTGGTCTAAAAGTTATACTTTCATACTTTTTATACTACATATGTAGTACTAAATATTACTAAATGAACTGCTATAATTACGCATACGCAGTGTTATACGAAAGTCCATAATCACGAAAACGTTCGGTATATAAGTACGTCTTATTCGACGGGTCTAACAGTTATACTTTCATACTTTTTATACTATGTCAACTAAATTGTACTAAAAGGACTCCTGTAATTGCTCATACGCAGTGTTATACAAAAGTCCGTATACGAATGTGTCTAATACGGCTGAGCTATAAATTTTCTTTTCTACAAAATGGAGGGGAATAAAATAAATTGTCAGCTTATATGTAATATATTTTTGTTCACAATTATGCATTTATTGACTTGTATGTATTTTAAATATTACAATTTCCCCCACTTAACACTACTGAGCACTATTAAATTCAATTAATAGCAAGAAATATTATAGAAGCCTTTGAAAATTGTAATGTGTGTGTGCGTTTGTGTGTATTTATCAATTAGGCCAAAATTAATCTCATTTAAATAATTCAAAAGACCTCCTTTTAACATTGCTTTGGTTTAGGGTTGTTGATCAAATATCGAATAAATTTAATACCGATATAAAGTTTTCTGTAATACTTTCATTTAACTAACACATCGATATATTTCTGTAATAAATTGACGCCATAGCTTGAACTTTTAAAGCGCTTCGCAGTGAATCAATTTGCTCGTATTCAGGCTGAAAAATAAAAATGATTTTGTTGGATTTGAACAACATTACCGATCATTTTTCTAAGCCGAAAAATAACATGTTTTTGAAATGTAAGTAAGACAGTTGTTTGATTTTGGATTTTTAATTTTAAAAGTATCAAGAACCCTAGATGAGATGATCCCAGAGGCTAATCGGAAAGTACTTTGCTGAGCAATTTGAAGCTTATAAAATTAGTTTCTCTCTGTTATCTTGTAGCTCTAGACTATAGGACTAACTAGGTGTGGCTAAGCGGATGGATTTTAAATAGGCTTAATGCAAAGCTCAGAAATATCAGACAATATTTAGCAACTAAAGCGCACATTTAAGACTAACAGTACATTTTCTTCTATACTCACGGGTGGCCCTTACACTAAAACTAAACTTAAGTGTAGAGTTTGACTTTTAGTTACATTTTTTGTTTTATAAATTTAGCATAGGAATAATTTTGTAGTACATTAGGTATGGTTAGGATAATGTCAAAAAACTCACAGACCAAAAATGCGTATGACTAAAGTGTTTAGTTTATCGTTTATAACTGTGTAACATAAAGGTGTGTGATAATACTGTGAAAATTTGTGGAGCTTTGAAAAAAATGTATATTTCCTTCCAACACTTTCAGTTGCAGTTGCTTCCTTTTTTGAGGACATCTGTTTGAAATATTAAATTGTGCAAATATTATTTTTGGCGCTTGCTTATAAAACTACATAAATCTCATAGTTGTCATTCATTGTAGCAATTTCTTTACTTAATGTGTGAGCAATGCTTAATATGCAGTTACTCCTTTAGTTTATTTTGATATGAAATTGAGCTCTGGCTAACCACAAAACATTGGCCGTATCCCTTTGGCCGTTTGCTTAATTATTGCTAATTGTAAGCACAACCCACAAATTAAAGAAAAACTTACATTAATAGGCTAAACATATAGCATATGCAACGCTCTAGCTAGCCTCAACTAATTGGCACAGAACCTAAAATGCCTATCGCTAAATATCGCCAAATACTTGTAAGTTCTCCATTTCTCATTGGTATGCCACACGTGCCACCGGGAGTCCTTCATCGTTTAGCTCGAAGACAACCAATTTACGTTTCTTGCGCACATTAACCAGCGGTGGGGGCTGCCTCGCAGGCTCCACTCTTTTGGTTGTTGTTGTCGTTGTCGTTGCTGTTGTTGTGGTTGGTCTGCTTGTTGTTGCTGCTGCTGCTGTTGTGGGTGGTCTGACCGCCTTAAGCTTACTTCTCGCCGTAGTTGTTGTCGTTGTTGTTTTAGTTTTTGCTATCGCTATCGTTTTCGTTCTCGTTGTCATTGTTTGCTTCGTTGTGGGACTCATCTGAGCCGACTGCTCCTCTTTCTGCTTCTGCTTCGTCTGCGTCTGCTTCTTCTTTTCCTCTTCCTGTGCATTCAATTCGCGTATTTTCTGTAGTAACTTTGGCATTTCGTTGCGTTCCGTTGCCGGCGCCTGTTTCGTCTGCTTCGGCAGCGTCGGTAGTGGCGGCAGATCGCAGCGCTGATGAAGATGCCGATAGACAGCATCGACACGCTGCACCAATCGATTGACATACTTGGTGGTAGTTCGATCAACAATGGATGGTGCCTTTATGCAGTCGTTGCCTCCGAATTCGCAGTTCTGTCAAGGATTAAACAGGCATTGATACTTGTATTATTAAAGTAGCCCTCAACCGCATTGTACGATATGTCTTTGACATTAAAAGAAGAGACTCAATAACGACATATGCTCACGATATTTTTAACCTTACCGTTAACACGCGAATTAAACTTAGGATTCTAATTTTCTAGCATAGAATCATAAATCGCAAAGAACTAAATTATATATTATTATATTATATATTATTATAAATTATGACAAATTATCATTTACTTTATCTAGAAGAACTAATAATATAGTTTGCTTTAGATATAGATTATCCTGTTCAGAACGGCACTTTTTAATATTCGATGTTCATCTGTGGAACTAGTTAACCCATGACTTAAAAATAATCAGCAGTAAAACGCATTTTAGAATTAGCATTCAAGCACACTTTCAAGAGAACAACTAAACTACATACACATATGTACAATAACAATAAACAAAAGAGCCAAAAAAAACTTTATATTTACATTTTTATATATAAATAGAACAAATATGAATAAGATTAAATTAGAAATGTATTTAGATAAGATATGTTTTGCTAAGGTATATTAATATCGATCTAAATATTTAATGAAAACCGTACTAATTTAAAAGTAATCTAATAATGCTAGGATAGAGATTACAAATAACAAAAATATGTATGACTTAGTGAGGACCTTTTTAATACTTTTACATTAAATTTCAGCTTCAATTGCTTAAATAAAATAAATCGAGCAACTAGAGGAACTCAATCGACGAACAAGGCAAGTTAATTACAACATATAACAATTATATTACTAGAGACAAACCCGGCTCTAATTGAGTCAATAAGAATATAGAGATACAGATCTATGGAGAACTCAGAAGGGTGTGATTGCGTCTCAGCGATTTCATCAGAACTGACTCAAAGGAAATTCAGCTCTGCTGGATTTGCTTATAGATAGATGTCTCTTTTATTACTGTATTTGGCGACTATATTGCTGCTGGATTTGCTTATAGATAGATGTCTCTTTTATTACTGTATTTGGCGACTATATTGCCTATCTAAATACTTAACAATATCTCTTACATATTGCTGTTTACTTACACGATAGTGCTGCAATATGGCTTCCTTAGCTGGAACATTCAGCGATCCTTTATTGGGCGCGAACTCCCAGACAAAATGATTGCCTGCCTCAACCACTGCTTCTGGCTTGCAAATATACTTGGAACGTTGCTTCTGTGGATGTAGCTTATAGCGTCTAATAAATGGAAGAGAACACATACAAATTTCAGGAACATATGATTAAAAATCCATCCTACCTTCGCGTCTTACGCTGCGATACCAAAGAGGCACGTACACGTGCCAATTGCTCGCTTCCCCCAGCAACGCCGGATACAGCCAAAGGATCGTCTGCAAACTGCATGTAGTAGAAGGCATTCTGAAAGGAATAGGCGCCCGCATTGCGATTGCGAAAGCGCTGGTTTAAGGAACTGCAATAGAAAAACCCAATGAGTGCTATACCGGCCACTGATTCTAATTAGGACACTTACTCAATAAGCTCGAGTAGGGTATCTGTGTAACGCGGTACAATAAATTCATCAAGGTCAACCAGTGCCAAATACTTGTACCGGTGCATGCTGCGATAAACACAGTCGTTCAATGCTGCAAACAAGCCCTCAGTGCGTATTTCCTTTTGGGAACGCATACGCAGATTCCAGGGCAACAATGTGACCGTGGGTCGAGCATAGTGTAGGGATTTCAGCACCCGGGGCGTAGCATTATTTGCCGCCTCAGCCGGCGTCAACGGCTCAAAATCGAAGGCTGTTAGGTTAGCCGGCACATCGCCATTCATATAGCTTTGGAGCACACATGACGCATGCGCGCCCAACGTGTGATTGTAAAAGGTGAAGTGTGAGACTCCCAGAAGGGCGTAGAATTCCAGGAACTCTATGAGATACAAAGCCTGATCGTAGTTAAAGTGAAGGGGCTTGACACAGACAGCAATACGGTCAGGTATGCGTTCGCCGCTCGGTGGTGCATGCGGTAAGGGTAACGCATTGCTAGCATTGCGCAATATTGGAGCAGCAAAGTCCTCGTCCTCATCGGTATTACGTAGCTGCAAAAGATTGCCGGGTGGAGCACGCAATCGCGCCACTATACTGACATACTGGGGAACATCTAGCGGTGGCGAGCGCACAGGACAGAGCACAAAGCAGGCGCTGTACTTTAGATTCCAATTCTCGCGTATAATCTAGGAGCCAGCAAATATATTCAGAATAAACATACAGTAGAGAGCATTATTGGATAGTGGTACCATGAACCTTACAAATTAAATTAAATTAATTACAAATAATAATTATAGTAAGTATATGCAGACATTTTCCGATATCTCCTTTCGTTTAAACTAAGCGTCAAAATTGTATAAATATAAATGATTGGATTGGATATTGGATAACATTTATTCAATGTTAAAAATTGAATTAAATTAATTATAAATAATAATTATAATAGGTATATTTCGTTTTCCGATTTCCCCTTTCGTTCAAATTAAGCGTCGAAAGTAATGTTTGATTTAAAGTGAATTACATCCGAAATATGTATGAAAAAATATTAACTATAGAGAAGAGTTGGTTTGCTAATATGCTTTGACAAATATGATTATTTATTGATTATTTTCAATATTATTCATCATAGTTTTGGATCGCAAAAAGCATATATGTGAAGGGAAGCAACAATAATTCAATTTTCTATTTTAAAAACGTTGAAGCAAATTTCTTTTTATTTAGTTACAATTTTAATGTTAAGAATTAACAAACATTTTACTAAATCGAAGAGTTTGCACCAACAACGTGTTTGTTTCAGAACTATTGATGCCACCAATATAGTTTTAGTTTTTTTAGTTGATTTGTTGATGCTAAGTAGTTAAATTTATTAATGAAATTATTGATAACATTAAAAGTGGCATGAAAATGGTTCGCTCAGCTTACAAAATAATGTATTGGTTACATTTTATTTTTAACAATCATTCACTAAATACTATATAAATAAATATAAACGCATTAATAAATGGAATACAAATAATTGCCACTCATTTTATGAGAGCAACATTTTTGGGGCTCAGTGTCTATAATATAGCAAATCTTGCACGATACAGCCAATAGTTATTCATGATTAAAGTATGGAATATCGAAAATATCAAATCTTCGAAAACATTGCAGCTTCAGTGTTTTTAAATATTGTGTGTACTTTAATTGTTATTTGCGTAATAATTCTTACGATACAGAATAACTGTTTTGAGTTGCTTTCGTCATCTTGTCAAGATCACGAAATTAACCAATTCAATTTAGTTTATTTCCAGCAAGTCAAGAATTTAGTTTCTCCCTTCTCCTTAAGTGCATATAGAAGTATTGAATGTATATAGGAGTATCCGACTCACCTTGACTCTAGACATCACCGTAACCGAGGTATACTTGGCACGAGATCCGGCAGAGGCTGCATCGCTACCATTCGCACGCCTGGGTCCATACCAAAACCGACACCAGACACGCTCTGGTCCGCGTGTCTTGGTCGCGCCCACGACTCGCACCAGGCGCGCTCCATCGCGCCTATCAAAGTAGGCGGAGAACACAAAGAACTTGAAGCGAGTGCCGTTGACAACCTGCCAAGCGCCGTCGCTGGGCGTTGTGCCAAATGGAAAATGCGGTAGCGTCTCCTCCACCTTGCTGGGCAGCACTTGGCCCCAGGGTATAAATGGCACATTGGGACTGCCGCTCATGCCAAAGGCACCCGCACCGCCGTAACCACCGTTGAGTAGGGTTCCCGCATAGCGTTGACCATCGACGCCAGCGGCATCTGTGAAATTGCAAAAATAGCTTGAGACATGCGGCGTATACGTAATATGTCTGCGATTGTCTATCTATCTGTGCTCGTCCTGTGCTGACTGCCTGCCAGCTTTTTTGTCGTTATCTCCGGGACTGATTTGATTGTGTACGGGCTCTGAATGGCGCAGCCAACCATTGTGCTGTCCATTTTGGTATTGCATTGATTGTATTTCTGCTACTCACCTTGAATTTTTAGTTTATTGTCACGAAACTGTATAAAACCTAATTTATTATCACTCAAAATGCTGTCATCCAATAGATCGTAGTCATCCTTTTCGGATAAGTTGAGTGTGCATTGCAAACGAAAAGAATTTAATAAAAAAGGAAATAGTTTCTTGTAAATTGAAAATCTAATCACATTTAACTAATAGTGGAGTCAATTTGTTTTAAATTTGTTCACTTCTCGAATATTAGTGTTAAGTTTAACACAAAATTTATAAGTACATAGTACATTTGAATTTGTAGGGACGAGCCCACCAAATACGGAACGAATTCCTTTCAGCGTCTAAGGTTGGATAAATAAATACATTTATTTATTTGTTGCACAGCAGTTACATTTTAATTGAACTTTGAACTGCCAACAAAAGCACTTGAAGTAGCATAGGACTCAACGAACCGCATATTTTCTATGTATTGCAGATATGCAGTCATAATGGAATTTCGGCTTAATAGCCAAAGCAGCTGCGACACTTCCTCGCCCTCCCCGCACCCCAAACCAACTCTACTGCTCACCCACAAGTCAACCGCAAAAGTTAAGCCCACAAATGAAATCTGAGCTATGCATTGCGCATAAATAAATCAGCATTTGCTGTGTGAGCCCTTTCGGAAAAAACGTTTTTATGCATTATGTCTGTTTAACTATGCAAATCCTTTTGCATACCAAGCCGAAAAGTATGCAACGAAAAGGGTGGCGAACGGAAATTTTGCAGCGACATCTTTTGTTTTCCCACGGTCGCGACCGTGCAAGCAGCCGACAAAATATAAAAGCGGAAAAACGAAAGAGTTGGTGCGAATTTGGGGGCTCCGCAAAGTTATGAGAGCAAAGCCAACAAAAACAATTGCGGCATTGACCATTTGCCGGCCACCTCTGGGCCAGCTTGTGGCATTTGCATAACAAAACTTACCTTAACATTATCATAATCCGGCATCGAGTCGCCCATGCGGCCGCTCAAGCTGCCACCGCCTCCGCCGCCCGCTCGCATGGCCATCAGGCCACTGTGCGAGCGCTCGTCGATCATGAACACCTGAAATGTAGGACGAGAAATCCTTTCAGTGAATCTCTCAAGCTAATTTCTAATTGTGTTGAAGTTGCTTTAACACGCTACGGGGTTTTAATTAATTGTTCGCTGAATTCCTAATTCGAGTTAATTGCAATTATAAAACCAACTCTGGCTAAGGTAAAACGAAAACAATTCCGTAATTGTTTAATGCATATTTCATAAGCCAACTCAACCTGCTGGCGAATTTTAAATGTGAAAAATGTGCGCATTCTAAGGAGAGAGAACTCATACATTTTTAAACCAGTTAAATAAAATTAAAAGATATCCATTCATGAAATGTTGAAGAGATATCTTCCACTCTAAACGCTGATATGTAATTAAAACGTGTCAGGATTAGAGTAAGGAACAGGCATTTCCAAGAGTTTGAAGGTTTTAAAAATATATTGGGTTAAATTAAATAGCTTAACAAAAGCATCAATAGTTGTGTTCTGAAATAATTAAAATTTATAGGTATTTTAAATTAAATTATTATTATGAATTGTTATGAGCTGCATTTCAAATTTATAAAGGCCAGTCCTCCATGTCCATATATGTAAGAAATAATTATATCACCTAAAAGAAATATTTACGGTAGCAAAGCAAAAACTGTAAAAATGTCTTTTCAATACAAAATAATAATAAGTGGGTTACTGCAATTGCTTCTTGAACAATTAATTTCTCTAAATTCTACTGAAAACATAAAAAATAACAAATTAATTAAAAACAAACCACAGCTCTTTATAAGAAAATCCCAACGCAATAAATAGCTTTAAAATAATGTATCGACACAGAACTAATTTTATTGTGGGTAATTGAATTTGAATATCTAATCGAATATAAGATAAATTCACGTTGCCTGGGAATAAGAAAAGTCTAAGAACACAAAGGTTGGTCAATGTCGGCTCAGCTGTTTTTGAAAACCAGGCAATCTGTATGTCTCTGGCTAGATCGGTTTCTCTCGTCATGCTAATTTAGAATATATGTATAGACTTTATGGAGTCGGAGATGCTTTCTTATTACATGCTTTGCACAATCGTAATATCATGCATCATAATAATAATAATCGAGTGTTACATAGTTTCAGTTGTTCGATAGCTTATTGGTTATTGATTGTAAGCTTTTTTCCATACAATTGACTACAATTCTCAAGGGTTATGCGTAAAAAAATAATGGATTCGATGACCTTAACAACGTATGTAAGGATTTTATTGATTGTTGCACATATTAGCATTATAATAAAAAAAACAATTTATAAGAAATGTTGAGAACACATCCACGCAGTTATTATAATGCAAATTATATTATATAGTTTTAATGTTCTTAAAAATGTCTTGCTGTTATGAAAAACATGATCATAAGAATGTGCATTGAAGGAGAAAGTTACTTAAAAATTGCATCCTTATGATAGTACTTTATATTTCCTCTCCCAATCTTTGTAATGTCACATCGATATATACATACCTCGGTCAGTATGATCAGACCAAAGACGGCAAAGAAGGCGATTACGATAAGAAAACTCATGCCGGAACGTTCACGACTGCCCCAATGTTTCTTATTGCGCTTCATGGTCGGTGTTAGCGAGGTTCGACTGTTGTGGTGATGGGGATGTTCTCGTTGTTGCTGTTGTTGTTGCTGCTGCTGATGGTGGTGGTAACAGGCGTGCGAGTGTCCCTGATAGTAGTTGTTCTGTAGCAGGCTGCTGGACGAGCTGCTGCGCGAGCTACTGCGACTGAGGGTCAGTGGGGACGAGGCAGTGCTGCCAACGGTGGAGCCCCCCGTTGCGAGGGACTTGTACTTTGGGGGGCTCCTGTGAATCACCATTGTCGCGTGTGGGTTTAGAGGATGTCGTTTTGGTTGTGTTAGTGAAGCCGTTTCAGACACTTGATAAGATTTTGTGAGTGATTGCTTATTAAATTTTTAGATTCGTATCATTATGATTTTTTTTCCTTTTTGATTTTGATGAGACTGAAAATGCATACCAATTAAGTCATTTTAGGCAGCTGATAAACAATAACGAATTGTAGTGAATAGACGTAGCAAAACAAACGAGGAAAGGCGGCAAACAACCCTCGCAAATGACATGCCTTCTCGCAAAAGAGAGGCGTAAGAGCGAGAATTGCAGTCTCGCCGAGAGGCTGCCGAGCTGGCACTTTTCCTTTTTAGCCAATTAAAAAGGAAAAATCAATAGAGCTCAACCAAGCGCCTTGTATGTGCCATCTTTGTATTTCCTGAACCAATTTTCTGTTCTATTCTATTCTGAAAGCTACGTTTTAAATATTTTAAAAGTTGTGTTAAAACCCTTTCAAATCTCGACAAATTTTCACTCTTCAAACACATCATTTGCCATTTTTCCTAGGCAACTTCATTACTTTATGCCTAATTCGATTCTCATTCACCTTTTTGCTTCAGCCTTTCTTACACTGTGTATGCTCGAATAGATTTATAAGTGATTAAGGCTCTTCACTACTGATTTATTACTGCAATTTTCACTTCGAACACTACAGGATTTCGAGCAGCAAAACGTTCGGGACGTTTGATTATGCCAACTGTCAAAATAGTGGCTGCCTTTCTTGAGAGCACAGCGACAACAATGAGATATGCGGCACAGCTGAGTTGAGAGGCTAAAGGACATGCGCATGACTTTCAATTTAAGGCGCAACAGCTGTTTGTAGCTCCTGCCGCCCGGGGCATTGCCAGCTGGCGAAATGTGACGAGATGGCAAACAGATTGGGTATAGATGGAGCCAAGATAGAGTAGCAATACACTATTGCATATAAATTTAAAAGTTAAAAGGCTAAAGACTAGCAAAATAGTCAATAGAAGAACATAAAAATTTGACTTTCCAATTAAGGGTGGTGCCCACAAGTACAATAGTTTACAAATTTATAAACAATTTGCAATCTAAATACAAAATCATTACAACTTAATCAGAAAATGGAATCCAAAAATTAAATACTAAGACAGCATTCTAGTTAATTATAATAATAACTATTCAAATAAATTATTAAATTATAACAAAAGGAAAATAATAATTAAAGATCATTTATTTTGAGAGCTCGCTAAGTAATTACATTTTAAAAACGTAATTTCTAACTGAGTTGGAAGATATGGGAGGTTTTTAGAATTCACAATAGACCGACAATCTTCACCTGAGGCACTAAATATAAACAATTTTAAAACGTAACTGAACAATTTTTTTTTCAAATTGGAATCGATGAAGATAAGAATCTACAACACGGTAATAATTGCTATCGAGAAGTTTAAAGTCCTTAGAGAAAGCCATTTGTTTTTTCCAACTATACAAAAAAGAACGTAATGTTAAGTTACTAGGTTGATAATTATTAAGAATTTGTCTATTTGTCTCTAATCAGGAAATATTATACGAGACCGATGCTATAAAAGATCATCTATTATAATTTTATTTTTAAGTTTTTAATTTTTTTTTTTTTAAATTTCATTCTATATCTCGGCAAACCAGAATCTTAGTATTTCGGACAATAGCTGGTTGTCCAAATATTGCTGTATATTCAAAATTATTATGAATTTAACAAAAAATTATCTTCCAACTAGGTTCATATAACTTGTTTCCACAAAGCTAAATTCTACTATTTATAGAAAAAACATGCATCCTATCAAGTCGATCCTTTATATATGTATATATAACTATTTTCACATATAAGCACCAGCCATGCAAGTATGTGAATAATTTTCCAAGTCATTAAGCCAGGTTTCAAGTTCCCCTAGTTGCAATATTTATCTACCATTTATTTTTCATTTAAACTACCCACTTTTCTTGGCAATGCAGCCACTTAACTCTTATCACCAGACTAAAAACCCTCTTCATTCTATGGTCTTCATATCCGGCCCAACTTTTATGCATATATCTTGGCCACTTTCATTGCTGAGCCTGGGGATGTAAAGCAAGCCAGGGATATGCCACCACCCAGCTGAGTCCTGCGTTGTTTTTGTTGCTGCTGGAAACTAAATGTTTGTCTGACCGGTTGACTGCTTGGCGTCTGCAACTGGACAAAAGAATTAGCGGAAACAATAAAATTCAGAAACTTTTTGAAAACCAATAAATTCGAAGTGTTTGAAATCAATTGGGAACAAATTGCAAAAGGCAAAAACGAACATGAAACAAAAACTATCGGCTAAGAAGAAGCAAAACAGCCAAGAGACTAACACAAACACACACAATTATTTTTGTGCAACGACACTTCAGCTTTTAGTATGCGTGTGTGCGTGTGTTTGTGTGTGTGAAGGTATTTGTTTGTCTGTATGTTTGCGTGCCTTTATTTGTGTGAAATTTTGCAAGCAATTGAAAAGTTTGCAAAACAAATATGCAAAGAAAAAGGTGCTCGAATCGAGTCGAACGCCTGTCTAAGTGGCAAACAGGAAGCAGCGAAGAGCCACCTCTGCCAAGCCAAAACCCAGCCCCAACCGCCCCCTCCACCCACGCTCAAGGCAGAGAGCATAACAGTTTTGTTGGCTTAACTTTTGTCATTCCATACTTCTAGGCGACAGCATTGGCAACAATGGCAAAGTAATAGCAAAAGTTGCTCGCTGACTCAACTCCGCTTGGCGAAGAACTTGCTTAACAATTATTTCACATCTTTGGCCGAGCAACGAGAAAATTCAGCTGGGCTTTATATCCCCATGGCTTGTTGCTATTTATGCTAAAAACAAAAAAAAAAACATCATCGAACAATGTTAATATGGACAAAAAAACAACTTTCTTAAAATAAATTATAATCATAATCAAAATATAGATTTTGAAACAATAATTCGATAGTCTTTAAAATCTTTCAAATGAAGTTTCACATGAGAACGTCTGTGCGTTGGAAATATATATCATAAACATATAACATGTTGAGATAATGAATGACATTGTTTGTGGAAACGTTAGAAATGTAAATTCGTACGCATTAATATTTGCCAAAGAATTACAAAAAACATAAAATTTAAAACAAAAAGCATTAGTATCCTGGAATTCTAGCTGTACATGACCCGGATGACTGGAATGTCAAATGCAGGCCGATTCCGCAGCATAAAAAAAGTAATTATGCACTCCTATAGCTTCCTCAGTACGCAAATCAATAGCTTAAAAAAGTTTCAATTCCCACCGCCCAGCAAGCTTGTAACTGAAATAAATTGAAACAAATTAAATTACACATTGCCTTTGAGTGGGTTACTTTGATTAAAAAATACATATCTATGCAAATATTCGCAGCTTTACAAACATTCATGTACGAGTACATATTTGAAGCCAAACAGCATCAAATATATTTCCCATTTTGCATTTATCCATATTAAATGTTAACAAGCAATGGCAATACGTGCAGTTATAGCAATGTGGCTGCACAACAACTCAGACAACTACAAATAAGAGACCCCAAGCCCTGCTGCGAAGGCAAACACTCGAACGCATTCGTTGCACCTCAAGTAAGATTAAATAAAAATGCTGGAAAATTGAAATGAAAATTTTGGCAGGGCGCGCACTGCCACGTCAGCAGACCCAACAATTTCGAGACAAGGCGCTCAGACTGGCAATCCTATAGAATACGAGGGCATACACGAATCTATCTCTGCTTCGCGGAAAAAAAGAGTAAATATATAGTTTCCGAAAATATTTCATTTATGTATTTTCCGCAACCACAACTCAAGTGACTTCGTCAGCTTAAGATATGCGGCGTACAGTGGAAAATTGTAGAAAATCAATTCGTATAAACATTTTAGGAGAAGCATTTATGTATATGATGTATTGGGACACTGCTTTATATATTAATTTACCTTTATCAAAAGAAATTTGTGTTCAAAAACATTTATGCTTAGCTGTTTTCTGTTTCTGATACAGAAAATATTTCTGTTATGTTACAAATATTGAACTTATATTCAAGCCATTAATTCTATAAGAAATGTAAGCACATATTGAATTGAAAACAAAATATATTCATGATTAATATCAGGAATATAATTCCGTGAAGGTACTGAGAATGAGAAAAATATACCCAAATATTTACAATCTTATCTTCTTTCATACTTTAAAAAGTTCGTTTTACCCTAAGTTTTACATTCTCTGAAAAATTCACATGTAGCTGTTATTTATTTTCCAAAGCACTGCATTTACCAAATGATACTAATTTTTAAATAATTTTACCATTCATAAGCACATTTTTGCTCTCGCCAATTAGTCAATTAAACCGCCTGCTATTAAGAATACAATATATTCATGCATTTCTTTAAGTAATTGCGAATAAAATATATGGAATTATCTTCAATACAAACCTTTTAAAAATCGAAATATACATATAAATAAAACTGAGAAGATATTTTCAAATTGTCTTGCACACAGAGTTGCAAGTTAAGGCACGGCTTTCAATGTTTGGGAAGGTTGATGGATAAATTGTGATGAAAATATCCTAGTCTGGGTATTGTGATTGAAATATGATAGTCCAGAAATAAACGTTGACAACTCCACTGTGACTGCACAACACGTTTGATGAGTATACTGAGCTGAAGATGCCACATTTCTTAGCTGGCCCACTTGTCTTAGTCGGCGCGCAGTCGAGTGTGTTTAAAGTTATGATTAAAATAACGAAAATGATGAAAACTAAACCGTGTGGGAAAGGCTTTATGGCCGGTAAATAGGCAGATAGGCAGAAGGGCAGAAAGGCAGGCGGGTGTGCAACCAACATTGCAACTTCCTCACAGTTTTATTTACACAACTGTTCAAATATTGCAGATATCTTTTTGGCTAGCTGCCTCTGTTTTATTAGCTCTTCAAAAATAACTACCTGATGATGAGACACGTTTATTCAAATGATAAGAAAACTGTTCAACTGTTTTATTTGCACCATCACTTTTATTTGTTTATTTAATTAACAAATAGTGCTGCTAATCAAACAAAATATGTGTTATAGTATTAGTATTGTATTGTTATTGTAATTTTTCTATCTTATCAGATGATTTTTATAATTTTTGTATATTGTACTTTCTATGTCGGCAGTTATTGTTTGTTGATATAAATAAATAAATTACGTTATAATCTTAACTTAAAAGATAAGAAAACCTAAAAAAAACTGTAGAATAACGTCTATTATTTGCCATTTGGCCAGCTATGCACCGATTCATAGCCATATGTGGTCAGAGACATTATAGACCTAACAAAATAATAAGTTGAGGAGAAAAATTAATACTACATAACAGGTAATTAAGCATAAAGAGAAAGAGAAAAAGGATAGAGAAAAATGGAAGATCTCCAACCCGGTGGTAAAAAATTTAATTGTCAGTCCAAAAAGCTATGATTGAGGGATTTTGTCATTAAAATTCTAGAGTTCGACCATTTCTATATGTCTTTCCAAAATAAACTGTTTGAATGTGAACAATATGATTGAATGATATGATTATGCAAAAGTTATTAGTATTTAAATTTATATTTAACAAAGTAAAGTAAAATTAATAAAGAAGCTCTTAAGCTTTTTTTTTTTCAAACCAAGGAAATAGATTTTAATATTTTCCAATAGCCACATTTGTTTCAGAAATAATAAATAATAATAATAGATGGTTTTTTGAATCCATATATGAACTGCACATTCAATTAAAAATAAATGCAGTAATTAATTGGTAGCTTACTGAGAATATACATTTCACCAGCTCTCCTTCAATTTAAAGGCTAATAGGTGTCGTCCTGTTCGTTTTGCCTCTTACTGCCCACTCAGCCTTGCTCTTGCCCCTGGCTCTTGCACTCTTCATCTTGCTGCGCCAACAATGAAATGTAGACCTAATTTACTTAAACATTTCGCGCATAGCCCCAGCAAAAATGCAGCCCCCCGCTTCCCCCAATGAGCGCAACAAACGGAATTCCACAAAAAGGATATCAACTGATAGAACGCTGCTAGGCATTTCATTAATTTTACTTCATTTTTTCCTTTTGCCTTTGCGACGAGGACGTCCTCCGTAGATGGCCAAGTGCCAGCGGGGCTGATGCGTTGCTAGCCACAGTCGCAGTCGCAGGCGAAGTCGCAGCAGATCCACAGGCGCCGTATATCTGCCGGATGCGCGCGTTGTTTGGTAATTTCCTTAACGGAAGCGCATGCAGTTTCTAGAGCATGAGTGGAGAGGGGCGGAGAGGTGAAGAGATAGAGAAAGTTGTTGGCTAACTGAGTGACTTATGTACTATCTAGGAGTCATATTAAAAACTGGCGCACAAATTTGTTCAAAATTTCCGCAGCTAATAAAATGCCGGACTTTGTTCTTTGACCATTGAGCTTGAACCCTTTAAGTGTGCGCCCACATGCCCACATCACGAGTACTTCCAATTGATTAAGCACTTTGGCCAAACGATATACGTACCGCAAAACAGAGCCCTTTCCTCGCCCAAAAATCTTAACGTGCGGTCGTTGGCATAAAAAGAAAACATTTCGTACACAGCAATCCAATCGATTGGTAACCAAATGCAACGAAATGTGAAACAAATCGAACGACCAGCAGACAGGGCCCCTGCCTCAGCTGCCTCAGCTGCCTATGTTCACGCCATGCTTCGACGCTTCAACGATCGCTCCGAGGCAGTCGAATGCATTGCCCTTCCTGAGAATGGGTAGCCAGCGCCTGGCAGGCAGGCAGGCAGGCAGGCAGAATACCAGACTGGATGACTGGACGTTGCAGACACACAGCGGACAACTGAATGAACTTAAAATGCACTTTGGGGGCTTTTTCATTTAGTGCCCCATAAATTAGGCACCAGATTTTTTTATAGCTTAGACCCAGCGCGCAGCGGCGACTGTCACCGCCCAGCCTCGGCCTTGTAGTGCTCGATTGTGTGCATTGCACACACGTAACGTGCCAGACAGACAAACAGGCAGACAGACAGCCAAATCCAAATCCAAATCCTGGTGAGGCAATTAATCTGTGCAGGTCGCTTCGGGGGCCTCGCCAGAAACACAAAGTCAAACACCAATCGGTGTGCAATGGGCAGCAGTGTAGATTTTCAGGAACATAAATGGGATTATCGCTATGAAGTCAAAATCTGTAATCTGTGCAATCAAAGCTGAGGGAAACGCTGGCAATATTGCGAGATTGTTGAAAAGGCACGGCACTATAATACGTTATAGGAAAACCATTTTCAATGTTGACCTGAAGTTAATGTCTTGCTATTCCAGCTTAGTTAGTCGAGGACTTCAAATACCAACTCAATTGTTTATATTAGGGCCTTAATAAAAGATACTAAACATTTAAATTAAAATATGAACTAACTTTATTATTGAAAATTTTGCTTATACACAATTGTTACTAACTTTTCATTTATATATTCTACATCTCTCTCTTTCTGCAGTTGCCTTTAATTTACTTTTTTATACACAATTGTTACTAACTTTTCATTTACATCTTCTACATCGCTCTCTTTCCCTTTAAGTTCCCTTTAATTTTCTTTTGATATATAATTCCTCCTCTTATTTGTGTGTGGACCGTATTTCCTATTGGTTGCTTCTTCCTCTCTCCATTTGATTATGATATCTCACCAATCAACACCAGATGCTTGCAATATTTATGGTCTGTCTTGGGTTTCAGCGACCCTTTTTTCTTGCACTTGTGAGTGTACTTATATTTTTGACTTGCTTGCCATGTGCATATAAAAGTGTCGTTTTTATCTTCTTTTTTTAAATTTATTTTTTTTATTTACTAAACAACTTACATTTCACATTTTCTCATTTAACAATACCTTTGGTTTATTTTGAACATTCTGCCAGGGGCTGGCAGAGATTATGGCCTGCAGTTTTTACATTTTATATTCATCTAAACAATGCATTAGTATTAAGCATATTTTATTTTAAACAGCTTACAAATTATTATTATTTCTTTTTTTGGTTTTTACAATTTTCTCCTTTTCTCTTTAGTTACTTCTTTTAATAATATAGGATAATATAGCTTGTGCTATGTTCTTAGTATCGCTGCTATTATCTGATGTTTTTTTCAATGCTTTACAGAAATACAAGTCTAAATATATTTCCAACGTCGCTAAACTCTCAACTTCTCTAATTTTGTTCGACTTCGGAGTATAAATGTGAGCGAATTTAAATGTCATTAACGCACTTTTCAATCCCTCCGTTTGGATATTTGAGTTATCCTTTACACCTTTTTACTGCGATTGTTCAAATCCATCTACTTGTATTGATCTGCGTTTTTTGACTTAATTTGGTTTGTTTTCATTTCTTCTCACTCTTTTCACTCTGGTCAACCGACAATTATGCTGAGTGCCTTTGGAGATAGTTGTAAATGGCCGTAACTTTAACCAGAAAACTTGTTTTAAATTAGTGGTGCATGGCGGGCCATCAAAAGCAGTGGTGGCCACAAGTCTACGAGTCTGAGACGTTCTGGACATAAATTCAATGGCCCTGGCAATAAGTGCATTAGCAGCATATTTCACAGATTGGCAGACACGTCGCTGTGGTAGCCTGTGCTGCCGTATCCTGGCAACCGTATCCTGGCAGCCGAAAGAGCAAGCAGACAGTTGCTCGACCAAAAGTAAGCCACAAATTGCATGAGATCATAAATATTTCAAGCATAAAGTACAAAATATGCAAAAGTTTTCTGCTTTCTTTTGCTTCGTACGCTCAACGCTCTGTCCGTTGTCCACTGCCCCCTTGCCCGCTGCACTGTCCATTGCCCAGACACGAGGACGAAACGAAACGGCAAACGAAATAGGAAAAATATATTGCTAAATTCTCGCACAGGATGCAGCAGAGGGCGGCAGAGGTGGCACTGTAAGATGGCGGCACGTGCACTACAAATGCGCCACGCCAAATGGCAAACGGAAGTTCAAAAGCGCAAAGAGCGTGTAACGGTACTCGGCGCAATGTGCCAGCCAGGATGCTCCGTATGTGTGTGAATGTGTTGGTGAATGTCCATGTTCCATGGGCAAGCGATTGTGGCAACAAATTGCAATAAGCAATTTTTCAATTTTCAATTTAGACGACGTGAGAACTAAAGTCTGCAACAGAGGTGTGGGGTGGGGGAAGGGGAGGGGGACGGGTCAGATGCAAAGCGGCAAGGTCCAGCGAAATGTCACCATAATTCAAAAGGCTGAGCAAAGCATTTAAAATTCGTTGGAGAGCAAAAAGCGAGACCCTCAATGCCAGCCAGCCATCCAGCCAGCTAGCTACAGTAGACAGCAACAAGACAAATGAGCGCCAAATAAAAGAAAAAGGGGAAGAACAAGTTGGCAATTGAAACGAGCCAATCGAACGTATCTCAATTAATTAATGATTCAACAGGACTTACGGGAACCGTTGAAGGGATATGTCACGGAATATTTGAAAGCAACTCGACTGATTAGTCATAGGAATCATCCAATATTGAGGAAATTAAATCCAATTCAAGTACAATATCTATATACGAGTGTATAAACGGCTTATTGCTAAGCAATAAACAAATTAACTCTAAAAGCTTTCCCATTTATTTGTACACAACTCTGTTACTCTTTCAAGCACTAACTAACGAGTTTAACTATTAATTAAATATATTTTCTTCTCCAATATTGAATAGCCAACAACACCCCTAAAAATATCCACAATATTAGCACCACAGCCGAGTAATTGGATGGCTCTTCTGTTTGCTCCTTTCTATCAAGTATGAAGACGAAATTTCTATAATTATGTGCACAGTGCGTGCACCTTTCATGATCCACAAACACAAAATCGTCGTCATCCTCTTCATTTGATAAGAATAAATGTCCATTTACCGGCAGCACAAAGGTCAGGCCAAGCAAAGCGAGCAAAACAATCAGGCAATGCAACATGGCTGCAAGGGAGAGGCTACTAGCTATTAAAGGGGTTAAGATAAGTTTCAAAAAAATTCTCTTCTCTTACCTTGAGCTATTTGCTTGACTGCTGCAAATTTCTATGAACAACTGAGCCATGTCGCAGCTAAATTGCACTTATATAGCCGAGCTAGAATAAACTACATGACATATTAAATATCAACTGCGAGAACTGCAGCTGCAAAATTTCCAAGAAATACTTGTATATCTAATGCGACTCTAAGTTGATGTTTGAGCAAACAAAGTGTGCAACTATTTAAAGAATCCAATATCAATCATAAAGCGCATTCCTATTATTATTCTATTATTTATTTAATTTTATGTCAACAAAAATTGACTGTCGACGTAGGAGGAAAATATACAAAAATTACAAAAAGCATCTTATATGTAAGCTAGAAAATCCTAAGTAGGAGATATCTAAATAAATTACAATAATATCTAATTAACGTCTCCGACCCGGTGGGGGAATATTATTTGCCTTTCGGCTACCTGTTTTGTCAAGTCATTTATTTATTTACTTATCCAGCAGACACTGGATCTTCGAAATAATATTTAGGAAAAAAAAAATTAAATGTGAATTGCTCTGCATTTGTAGTTATTTATTTTACAATTGAAAGTAAATTAAAACTAAATTTTCAATTTTTAATTTTAAATACACGTATTTTTCACTAAAAGCCATCCTTAAAAGCCATTTATTTAAGCAAAACAAAAGACCCCCAATGTCAATACTTTAACATTTTTCCATTAGCTCTAAGCTGTCAGCTTTAATGTGGAAATCCAGCACTAGAAAACTAAAACAGAAAAATACACAAAAACTTTTAACACAAATGCTTTTTTAAAATAATATTTTTTTATTATAATTAAGCGCACATTAGATAAATCGCTGAATTAAATTTGTGATATTGTACAAGTATATATGGGTACTATAACATTAAACAATAGATTATTTATAAATATTAGTCACATTTTTCACACCATATACTGCCTTATGTCCAAATCGCGTTCTCTCAGCTTCTGATCGATCCATCGACGATAAAACATCATATTCGTGTATATTCCCAGCAGCTGGGGACCATCGCAGCGGGCGGCACGAGCCAGCAGCCCGGCCAGCACAAAGCGATCATCGCAACCCGGCAAAAGGCACATCAATGGCACTCCCCCCATATCCTTGCACACAAACTCGCCCTTGTCCCCTCCCGTGCATATCAGAGTATCATTGAGGGCGTAGCGTCTGCCTAGGATGGCCAAACGTAGCTTGGAGGCACACTGATCCCGGGGCAGGGCGTAGAGCGGCCAACGCTTTGGCAGCGTTTCGTTGGCTCCGAAATGGGAGCGCCGCCAACCCGCCACATAGCACTGTGTATAGTTGTAGACAGTGTGCAGCGGGGGCAGGCAAATTGTTTGCACATGTGGCGCCAGTTGAAAGCCGCCGGCGCCGGCGAACAGAAGCGCCACATTGTGAGCGGCGGGCGCTTGTGTGTAGTTCGGATGCACCAGCACCTCGGCCACCGGTTGCGTCTGATGAGGAAGCGGTTCCAGCTGCACGGCCGCATCCCATTCCCCGGCGACCAGTTGAAGCGATTCAAGGGCTTCGCGTTGCACGCAATGCGCCGCTGTCAGCACTACGAAGGGCGTGATGAGCGCCCCACTGCACAGATAGGAGCCATTCACATTATAGACGGCCACCAGCCACGGGAACTCGCCGAACTTGGCCTCCTGCTGCTTGTAGCCCAGCGGACGCAAATAGTACCACGAGTCTAGACGCCAGCCACATTGCAGATAGTCCGTTGTGGCATTGTGAGGGGCCGGCGTGCCTCTCGGCAGCTGTGCAATGATTTATAAATCAAGCATACGCAACGTTGTGCCGCCGCACAGTGTGAACAGTTGTCAAAACAGGTGGACAAAAGTAGGAGTTGCTTGAAAGATTTGTGAGGAACATTTACAGGCTATCTAAAATTACGATTTAACATATCAGTTATGCATTAAACCGATTTGTTTCAAATGTTATTATTCCACGTATTTGAAAACTCAAAACTAAAAATAGCTTAAATGCCATTACTTTAGACTTTATTTTATTAAAATTTTTAACGAATCAATTTGATGTTGCAACAAAAAGTGCTATTAACATACACCTAATTCTGTTTCTACACGATCTTTTTTTACACGGCTTTGATTTAACACGGTTTGAAAATTAAAATTTTATTTATACTTGTAGTTTCACGACTTTATTTCATTTAGCACGATTCATGATCAATGTCTTTTTTTACACTGTTTTTTATACGACATTTTTAGGAACCAATCTACCGTGTAAAATCAGAATTATGTGTAATTCCTAATATGTATTAAACTAAAAAGTTTAAAATAAAATGAAATGAATTTTTAAAATTACTTTTTCGAAAAGAAATTGAAGCTTAAGTTAGAACAAAAAGAAATAGATTTTATTTCAAGTTCGAGACACTTTTGTCCGCTTTTATCCACCCACATTGCCAAAATATCACATTGTAAAAAGCCGCGCTTACCGTATTTTCGATCTTACAACACTTTTCCATATAATGGCAGCTGCGCTCGTCGAGCAGCGTCCGACTGCGCTCCGGATAAAAGTGTCCATCGACCATGAGGCCCTCATTGCAGCGCTCGTAGGGCACGCACTGCATGCCCGTGACATTGGGGGAGCCGCACGATTTGTAAACTGGAGGTGTGGTCGTCGGCATACCCATCACCAGCTCAAAACTGATGCCGAGTACTGCCAGAAGCTGTGTCAGCGGCATATTGTGTCGTCTTCTCCTCCACCTGAAGTGCTCGCTCGCCTTGCACTTGAACTGTCGTGTGCCAAAGGCAGGCGGCTTTTTATATTCGCTTTCGCAACAAGACGATGCGATGACGTACGAGAAGAGTTCGCCTATTGGGTTAAATATAACTAAAAGTGTGTGCGCATCGGCCTATTAAAGTTCTAAAAATAAATCCCAATTTACCTTGTCGTGGGTGTGGATCCAACAATCAAACAGACCGCCAGTAAACCATTTGCATGAACAACTGGAAACCTCGAACTGGAAAACCTAAACGCAAACTGATTAAAGCTGCGATCAGACAGGCAAACGGTTTGCACTCAAAAATAATTTTTTCCACTACTATAAATCCACTACTATAATTTATTATAATTTACTTTTTTTTGTATTTATTTATAATTTTTCAATAAGAAATTCAAAGTCACAATTTTGTAAATCAAGTTTCGTGTTTTTTTGCACATTCTTCATTTATTTATTGAATCTCATCATTTGCTTAAAGAACTAAAAATACTTAATAAATTATTTTCTGATTTATTTTACAATTAATAAACGATTTGTATTTGTGTTAAAGTTTGGTTTTAAATGCAAAAATAATAAATAAGCGCACAATCGTTACATTTTTCAAACTGCAGAACAAAACTCAAAAGCACTTACAAACAACAATTCAGTATAATGTTATGTTACTTTTTGTATTGGTTTATAAATTTCTCTTAACTGAACATTTATTTGAAAATGGGGAAAAAATGTTTTTCTTACATAAATGAACCAACATTTATTTATAAAGTTTTTTATAATTTATTTATATCACCTAAAACTTCTGCAAATGCCTCACACTGTGTTTTTTTTACAAAAAATACTTATTGTTTTGTTACTTTTTGTATTTTTTATAAATATTTCTTAACTGAGCATTTATTTGAAATAAAAAAAAAATGTTTTCTTACATAAATGAACCAACATTTATCACAAAATATATGTAACTATAAATGTGTTTATAATTTATTTATAGGACATAAAACTTTTGCAAATACCTCACATTTTTAATATTATAAAAATGAAAAAGAAAAAGCATAGCTTTCTATAGTATTGGATGAAGCACACATTCGTAGGACCTTTGTCGATTCCCACTTTTCGCAGAATAAGTAGGTAGAGGCATCATAATATTATGCAAAGCACATACAGAGTGCGCTGCATTCCGAATACTTACGTTTCTCTCTTTTTTCAAATTTCCATTTTTGTCTATGCGGGTGCAGGGTGTAGATGTGAATGTATAGTAGGTGTACCCCCAGTATCTATTACCGGGCATTAGGCACTGCCGTGTGCAACTTTTGCGTCATATCTTAATGCACAATCGTCGCTTAAGTGCACGTAAATTGAATAAAATTTCGACAAGTTTTAATACACAAGACATGCATGCAAGTACAACAGACAACATAAGAAAGACAGACAGGCAGACAGACAGACAGACAAACAGACAAACAGACAGTTGGTTGGATTGGGCTGGGAGGTCGGTTTGTTGCTTGTTCATGCAGTTCGATAGACAGACAGCGGGCCAGAGCTCGAGTGAGTGGTTTATACTCGCATGCATTGCTACGTCCATCCGTCCATCCGTCCGTCAGTGCCTTGCTCTGGGTTTGTTCGCTTGTTTGGCCAAGATTTACGCAACTTAAACAGATTGTCAACAGGAATTGTAGCCCCTGCAAGACAAGGAGTAGGAGCAGGGAGTTAGATGGTGGCAACGACAACGACGACAGCATTGCCTTCGAGTGAGAGGTGGTGGTGGTGGTGGGGGTGGGGGTGGAGTGTAGCCCGTTCTAGTGTCCTGTGCCTGCTGGTGTTATGTAAAACTTAATTTGTTAAATCGTGTTCAAACACTTTTAACAGATGTTATCCTCAAGGAAATTAAATGTTATTACGCATACGCTGTGTGGTTGCTATACAAAATCTACAACTAAATGCAATTTATGTTTTCGATTTACACACACACACACACGCACGCACACACTCACACGTTCATCCATAAGCTCTGGACATGAGTTTGTGCCATTTTTGTTGTGTTTTCGTGTATTTATTTGCACTTTGCGGTGAACATTTCAATTAATATGAAAATGTACGATTTGCATTCTTCGAACTGAATCGGAAGTTCATTTTTCATGATACAAACACTATATGTATTCTGTAAATTGAGGTAACTGGTAAAAAGGTGAAAAAAAGCTAAAGAGTGCATGTACTGTCTAAATAAATGGTGTGGTGGTAGACATTTCTTACATACTTTCTTTCATACATACATACATACTTGTAATTCTATCAACCATTCTATGCCGAATTTTCAATTTCTATAAATCAACTATACTTAAAAATAATAAAAACACTAATTAGTTATCATAAATGGTAGACGTTTGATCTCACAAAAAAATTTTAAAACAAAATAAGTTCATTGCTATACCTTTCATCTTTTTATCAAACCTTACAAACATCTTGAAAACATAATTAAAATCAAACAATAAATTAAAAACTTTCACTGGAAATAAAGTAGAATTTTTAAATCTTTTTATTTTCTAAATCGTAACAACATTTAAGCATTGCCTTTTTTTATAATTTAAATTTTAAAATAATTGTAACAGACACAATTTAATTACTTTTTAATAATTTTGTATCATTTTTTATTTGTCTTGAAGTAGGTATTTGTAATTTAAGAAACACTTTATTCAAATTTATTTCTGGGTAGGTTTTTTACACATTTTATACGTATATATTAAAAATTAATGTTTTATTTTCAAAACACTTTCATTCATAATTAAATCGAAATCGAATCGAAATTTTAAAATTGATTTAATGTTTACGTTTTGGGCAGCAGCATTAGAGGCTATAGCCAACAGCCTGCATAACATTTGAGCTCCTTATCTTTGTGTTTATTTGAAATCATAGATAAAGAGACAAACAATGTTGCTACTAAGTCTGTAACTCAGATTTATGCTCACAGGCTCGCGAACCCTAGCGTCCATGTATGGGGCTCACTCTGCATCCGATTCGCCTTAACTCACTCGGCGCTCTTGAGCGCAAATAATAAACTCAATGCGCTTGCAATAAAGAGCTGTGAAGAGCAAAAGCAAGAGACTGATTTCATTTGAGTGCAAGTGGAGCAATATTTCAGGAAACTCAAGAGCTGCGACAAATTTTAACTCCCACTCAGCTCAATGCAAAAGGAGTTTTATCTTAAAAATTTGGTTTAGCTCAAACAAATTTTGAACTGCAATTCAGTTCCTATTTTATTTATTTCTAAGTCAGCATTTAAATGAAAGGCACCTGTTGCTTTATATGCATCACTTATTTGTTAATTTATAAATTATTGTGTCAACAAATATGTGATATTAACATGGGTTTCAATATATAATACTTTATAATATTACCATAAAATAATAATGTCTATAAGTACATGCCTCCAATACGTCGAAAGATATTATTTGCCCCGATTCACGAGCAAAGGAGTTCAAACACTTTACTAGACCTAACACACTTACTGATAAAATAGTAAATAAAATGAAGCAACTGATTTCTAATTAAGAGCTACATGACGTAGAGGTTAAATTTAATTTAATTTAGTTCTCAAGCTGTATACATATTTGTAAAAATTAATTCTAGCGCTGCTATCAAAAGCTGATAAAAATCATTTAAATAATAAACTAATAATTGTTGATAATAACATTAACAACACCGACCTCCTCTGTGTAGAATGATTATATAAATTTAATAAATAATAGTCAAAGTTGGGGAAAAATGCAATAAACAAAGTTGTAATGAAAACATGACAAACAATTTTTGATCGATTATACCTCGTGCGGCCTAAACTCTCATCATATTGGCAGTTTTTTCAACTCAATTAAGTTTTAAGTTTAAGTTTTCCACTTTTCTAATACAGTTTTAATTTATATTAGCCGTTTCAGAAATCCTGGCGATGCTCGTTATGCGTCTAAGCACTTACCATGTTTGGTTTAGCGATTTCCGAAATCCAGACGTTCATCCAGAGAGACGGAGAAACGGACATGGCTATGCCTTGTCATGCCAATCAAGGATATACTCGAATACATATACATACATAAGTACTTTAAGAATTTTGAATTTTGCATTTAATTTAACTTATTTACAATAAAACATGTAGCCAAATTTTAAAAATATCATAAATTCTATGTTTTTTTAATAATTTAAATATTTACATTTAGATTAACTTATTGAAATAAATAATAAATTTTTAAATACGCATTATTGCTCAAGATAACAATTGTAAGCACTTTAATATAAAATGTTGACAAAGTATAAAAGCATGGAAAATTGTTTTGAGAAATAATGTCAATAATTAAAATTTATTTATTTTCATTAACCAAATAAAACACACTTATATGTATACAATTTTATGAGGAACTAATTTTATTAATAGAAAACAAGAGAGAACGCTACAGTCGAGCAAGCCCGACAGTTTAATACCCTGTACCCAGGTAAACTTCCGTCACTGAGTTATATGCGCACATAGCAGCAGCAAAAAGAGGAAGAAGCAGAGCGAACTTGTTGCTGCAGTTTGTGGGGGTTGTACTGGCGAGAATTTGTTTCGCTAATAACTTTTCTTAGAACTGACCGAATTGAATAAAATTTTGAACAGTAGATAATTATATATAAATGATATGTGCAAGTTGGTTTATGTGCAGTTTGGTTTAGGTAGCATTTGAAATGTGGACGCTATTGACGAAATTCTGCAGAGGGGGAAGGGGGGGGGGGGGGAATTAAAAAAAATAATAAACTCGTCCTTACTCGGACCTAGGAGAATCTGGATGCCAACTTTGGTTATTCTAGCTTTTATAGTTTCTGAGATCCTCGCGTTCATCCAGACGGACGGACAGACGGACGGACAGACGGACGGACAGACGGACGGACATGTCGAGATCGATTTCTCTCGTCATGCTGATCAAGAATATATATACTTTATGGGGTCGGAGATGCGTCCTTCTGTATGTTACATACTTTGCACAAACCTAATATACCCTTTTTACCCTACGGGTACAGGGTATAAAAAACAAACAACCCAACAAATTTGTATATGTTCACATTTTTATACAACATACCCGCGCATAAATATATAGTACATTAAAGTTTACATTAATTTTAGCTTTTCAAATAAATACGTTTCGTATAAGCAAACAATAATTGTGATTGTAATTGTGTGATTAGTTGTTGTTCTTTGCATAAATCATACAATGACTTCGGAAGGAAATAATGCAATTTTTTTATTATAATGGATATGGTAAGTATACATGATCGACTGAATAAGCACCAATTGCATTTATTTAGAACACTCCTCCACGCTTCTCGTACGACAAAATTAACCGCTAGTTTGCACCCGCAAGTCGCACAAATCTAAAAAAAAAGCAGAAAAAATTAATTTCAAATTGGCGTTTTAACAGCTCTTGGGCCACTCTTTATCAGGCGAACATAAATGGGCAGTAGGCAACGGCATTGCTTCTTTATTTAAGACTGAGCGGCTGATTTTTGCTTACTTTTCGCAATGTACCGTAAGGATCGCGCTGTTTACATTCCAAATGCAGCCAATAGGAGTGCCCCAATTTGTTTACATTTGATGTGCAGCCAACTTCAGTTTGTTGACGTTTCGCAATGCACCGCAAGGATCGCGTTGTTTACATTCCAAATGCAGCCAATAGGAGTGCCCCAATTTGTTTACATTTGATGTGAAGCCAACTTCAGTTTGTTTACTTTTCGTTTTGTTAACATTTAGAATTTAATTCACAGCCGGCATATTTACCAGCTGTTCACTTATGCTCGCCTAGTGTATGGATATACGAAATGGAGCTATTTCATATGCAAAACCGAAAAAATTAATTTCCCAACCCGACCGAGCTGGCCGTTTAACGACGCACAAATCCGCACTATCTACCAGGCGAACATAAATGGGCAGTAGGCAACGGCATTGCTTCTTTATTTAAGACTGAGCAGCTGATTTTTGCTTACTTTTCGCAATGTACCGTAAGGATCGCGTTGTTTACATTCCAAATGCAGCCAATAGGAGTGCCCCAATTTGTTTACCTTAGATGTGCAGCCAACTTCAGTTTGTTTACTTTTCGTTTTGTTTACATTTAGAATTTAATTCACAGCCGGCATATTTACCAGCTGTTCACTTATGCTCGCCTGGTGTATGGATATACGAAATGGAGCTATTTCATATGCAAAACCGAAAAAATTAATTTCCCAACCCGACCGAGCTGGCCGTTTAACGACGCACAAATCCGCACTATCTACCAGGCGAACATAAATGGGCAGTAGGCAACTGCATTGTTTGTTTATTTAAGACTGAGCAGCTGATTTTTGTTTACTTTTCGCAATGTACCGTAAGGATCGTGTTTGTTTACGTTTGAAGTGCAACCAATAGGAGAGCCCCAATTTGTTTACTTTTGCAATGCACCGTATTACTTACATTTGAAGTGCAACCAACTTCAGTTTGTTTACAATTTGGAGTGCACCGTATTATTGTGAACAACTGCGTTTCATGTACATTCACAATTGAAATGTCAGCTACATTGTTGCTCTTTACTTATGTGCGCCTGGTGTATGAATACAAGAGTCTGGAAATTATTAGAAACAGAAAGTTGGCCCGGCCCGGCCTTATAAGGCAAAGTAGCTGCGGCGTTCAAAAGAATTATGAAATAATAAATAAATAAATAAAACGATTGCAGCGGCTTTACAGAAATTTAAGTATTTAATATTTTATTGAGGTATTGAATCTTTTATTTCTTTGCAGATATTTTAATAGTAGAAATATTGGTTGCATATTTTTTCTAGTGAGCTCGTGAATGATACGAATAATTGAGAAACTGGGTGAGAGTTTCTCTCGAGAATACAATTCAGGTAGCGAGAAGTGCTAACTGGCCTCAGACTACTGCATTCTGTTTTATTAACAGATAAAGTGAGACCAAAATGAAACAGTGATGAGTGCAGGTATACAATATGTATACATATATTTATTTCAGTTTACAGTGCTTAACTCAAAAAGACCTAAGGTGGATAGAAAAATGGCCTCCAAGCGAAAAAAATATACATCTAGGAAAATACATGCGATTACATACAAGTATATGTATATATATATATATATAGTACGCATCTTTATATATGTATTTACAACTACAGCTGCGGAGTTTATTTGATTGCAGTTGCAGATGCCGCCGAGTGGGAAAACCCCTCAATTTAAAAATTATGAGGCGCATGTACGTCCGGCCAGATTTAGCTAATCAGTATCAGATCTTCGGATTAAAAATTTTTATTATTATATTCCGAACCAGGCCAGAAAGTGTCACAGCGTGTCGTTGAACGAAAGCTTGGCGCCCTTGAAGTTGGGATTTATGGGACCGGGAAGGACGTGCGGCTTAAGGGCACTCTTGCCAGGTTGGCGATCAGCATCGTATGGCAACTGGGGCGATAGCTTCAGCTGACGCAAATAGTCGCTGGTTGGATGGATGCTGTTCCGTTTTGTAACAATGCGCACGCGCTTTGCGCTTCCGCTGCTCGATGGAGTAGCAAACTTGATGCGTTCCGTGGCAGCCGTTGTTGCTGCCTTTGGTGTGGACTTGACCGCAACCGCGACCGGATTAAGAACCAGACTATTGTTGGCTCTCTTTAGTTGCTGCTTGCGCGATGGCACAAAATACTCAAGCTCACCGGTCTCGAGTGGTGCTTCCCAGCCGTTGGCGGCCTTGGCATTTGTAATTGCTTCCACTTCAGTTTTGTCGCTTTCTGATTTTGTTGTAGGCTTAGTTTGTGCTTCAGTTGTGATATCGGCTCCTTGGCTCGGCTCCTGCTCCTTGTCTAGCTTGGATTTCTTTTGCTTCTTAGCTGCTACAGTTGGCTCTGCACTCTTCTGGTCTGCATGCTCCTTCCTTGGATTTTGTTTTTTTGTTTCGACAGTAGACTGCTTTGCGTTGGACTTTTTTATTTTTTTGGCTGTAGGCTGCTCGTTCTCTTGTGGCTTCTCTTGTTCCGCCTCATCTACCTGTTCCACCAGCCAGCCATTGTTGATTGTGGAACGCAACTTGGCATTGCGCTGTGCTTGCTTTTCCAGCTCGGGCGACAACGCCTTGCCGATTATCTCGTCATAATTGTCCTCATCCACCTCTTCGAAATTAATAGACTGCAACAACCGCTTCCGTTTGGCTTTGCTGAGCTTTTTGAGTTTGCGACCCGTTCCAAAGACCTCATCTTCCATTTCATTGAGCTCTATTACTTTCTTTTTAAACATTTCTCCCAACGATTCACCTTCAACCTTAGGCATAGAGCGCACGCCCAATGGAAACTCTCCGCCCTTGTATGTCTCAAAGATCTGTTGTAGCTTGCGTAGCGACTTGCGTCGCTTGCTATTATATTCATGCGTACGAAGCAGTGTCTGCAACTCGTCCAGCACACAATCAGCATTCAGAGGAAGCTCTGGCATGTGCACATCCACATCACCAGCCCGCGGATCTAGCGTTAGAGTGCGTTCATTACTCTGCTCGTTTTCATCGTCCTCTTCGTCAAAGCCAGAATCAAGCTTTTCTACGTCATCGATGGAAGCAGTGGGAAATCCCATATCTTTCCAAGCATTATACTTGTCGGTGTATTCTCGACCCAAATCGCTTTGATATAGCAGATGATAGAGTACACGTGTGCGACACTGGGCTGTCAGCTTGGCATCGCGCTGTGTTCCCATATAGGAAACGAATGGGCGCAGGAAGAGATTAACCTCTGCCGAGGTGATCTCGCCATTGGCCGCCTTTGCCAACTCCTCAAAAAATATGTCCATATAGTGCATAGTCAATCCACGTGACTTAGGCTGCTCCGCCATCACAGATTTTTCCATATCCGTGTTGAATGTCTGTATTAGCTCTGGTGCCCATTTGTTCTGCTTCAGCAGACGCAGCATATAGCGCAGCATCCGACGTACCAGCATTAAAAACTTGTCCATGCGCCATTGATCAATGCCAAACCACTCCTGACACATAGTGCGCATAAATGCACTAAAGTAGGCCAAACTGCAGTCGGTGTTGCCACTAAAGCTGTCCACCATTTGACCCAACTGCTCAGCTAGGTCTTCTTGCACTAACGGCTTGTCCGACATCCACATGTTATAGTACAAGCCTTTCCAGAGACGCATAAAATCATCCTCGGTAAAGGGGAAGGAACTGCGTGCTCGCAGCTGGAACCATTTACGCAATTTGCGTAACTGTCGATTCCGTTTAACCAGGTCATTGCAAGCCAAGGCACGCACAAATTTTACCTCCTGCGCTATTACCAGCAACTCCTTGGGAACCTTGGGTTGCGACGCGCCATCATCGCTATCGACGCTATTGTCAATTGCAGCGACCTCCGCCGTACGTTTAATTGACTTTTTGCGCGTCACCATTATTTACTCTGAATGAAACAATACGTACTACAGCGCTTTTTTGCAAATTCCTCCGGTGTGTATTGAATGCGGTCGCTAGAGAGAGGCAAGCGCGCACGTGTTGGGCGGCCTCGATAAATCGATAAGTTATACAGCACTGGCACTCGATTGACACTAAATCCCAAATTTTCCTTTTATTTAAATATAATATCAATATCAATAATTATTTATATTTTGAAAGGCTTGTGCTTCTTGCGTTTTATCAATTATTTATATATTGGTGCACAAAAAGTCGCGCACGTGTAATGACACCATTTTGACGTTGAAGAGCACTTGAAAATTGCAACAGCTGACAACGTGAGTTAATTTATATATGTATGTAATTGGCTGTACATTATATGTAGAAAAAGTTTCAAAAGTTCTTCAAAATGCCCGTCCTGACTGTAGCTAATGCCGAAGAGTACCAAAAATACATCAGGTATAGTACAAAAAGTGAAAAATTGGGTTATATATTGGCGTTAAATTGAACTGAACACAGCGATGACAAAACAACTGTCGCACTTTTCGCCGCCGAGTGGGCCGAACAGTGTATCCAAGTCAAAGATGTCCTCGAAGAGCTGGCAAAACTTCTAGGAGATAAGTTGCAATTCGTAACACTCAATGCCGAACAATTCCCAGAGATTTCCATGAAACATCAGGTAAATTTAATGTCGTTGCTGTGTCATATTAATCTGCGTGATTATTCAATTACATGTACATATGCCAGATCGATGCCGTACCCACAGTTATATTTTTTAGGAGTGGTTCCGCCATTGATCGCGTTGAAGGTGTGAACATCGCAGAGATCACAAACAAGTCAAAAAAGCTGGCTGAAAACGCCAGTCGAGCTGCTGCCACTGGACAAACACTCGAAGACCGATTGAAGGCGCTTATTAACACGGCCCCTCTAATGATCTTCATGAAAGGAGATCGAAACGCGCCGCGTTGTGGCTTCTCCAAGCAACTTATCGGCATTGTTAATGAAACAAAGTAGGCCTAATTCAGTTTCTTAGTTCATCTAATAGCATCACTTTCCAATAGATTGCCATATGAAACTTTCGACATTCTAACCGATGAAGAGGTGCGCCAGGGCCTAAAGACCTACTCCGACTGGCCCACGTACCCACAAGTATATGTAAAAGGTGAACTTATCGGTGGCTTGGACATAATTAAGGAGCTTTTGGCCAACAATGAACTGGAAAGCACACTCAAGGGCTAAGATGCGTCTGGGTTTGGAATTCTCGCTCCATTAAGCACACAAAATCAGGAACAAAGCAACAACGTTAAACAAATTTACAATGTTTAAATTATTTTGTAAAATTGAATAAAAGCATTGAAATATATTCCATCATTTTTTCAAGCAAACCAATCGGCCACACTGTATCTGAGTATCCACTTTGCAACACTATTATTTATTTGTATCGAAAGTTGGTAGCCCCTTTTATCGTATCATAATATATATGCAATTCATGTGAAACAGCTGATTAAGACAGACTCGCATATTCTGAAAAAATATAGTTAACTGTAATAAAAACAAATGGCTGAAGCCGATACGAACTCCGCAGCTAGCGGTGAGGAAAGGAAGCTGTTCGATATATTTTTAAGTGGTTGGAATCTCTTCGACGAGCTCGAAGTAACAGATTTGCCATTTAATGGCACCGAGTTTCAGGTGAGCAGCTTTGTTGCCTTAAAAACTGGGAAATTTAATTTCTTTGTGTATTTAGAACAAAGTTAAGAGTGCTATGAGCCATTTTGAGGAAGCCACCGTTATTGTCAATAAAGTGTCCATGTTCAGTGCCAACGAGCTAATTGATGAGGTGTCCACAGAATCCCTACCATTCATGCTATTGCCCTACTTTCTGGGCAAGCTGACGACCAAGATCAACAAGCCTAACGACTTGGAAATCCTGGACTTAGGCGAAATCTATTTCAAGTGAGTTTTTATAAAGTTCGTTATTTGCCAGTCAACTAATTTGCTTTGAAAAGGGATCACTTACAACGCTGTCAGGAATACGAACTTTGCGAAGCTCCCAAATCCAAACAGGAAGACAGTCAAGTTGCTGGTGGTCAGCAAAAGAGCGAACATCGCGAACTATTGGAGGCCGCATACAATAGAAATGACAAAATCGCTCAATATCGAAAGATGAAAGAAATCGACGAGTACATGGCACGCATGCGCACTGCTGTCAAAAGCAAAACTGCTGACGATGAGGTGCGCAGAGAGTTCTTCCTCAAATATTTGGACAAAAGCATCATAGATGCCAAGCAGGAGCTTGAGAGTTTGCGAATGATGAAACAAATGGCAAAAATGCGTTTGGACCGCATGACAGGGAACGAACCGACTGGCGAACCAGATTCATTCACATGCTCCATGAGGCCAGCAGTAGCAGAGCCTACGCAAGGAAACGGACACACTCATGGCCCTGGACATCATCATCATCATAAACATTATGCCAACCATCAGCAACAGCAAGCACCGAAGCCGAAGCCGTTACAACCTTTTATCATAACACGCAATGCAACACAAAAAGCCGTCTTTGGCTTAGGCTATCCAAGTCTCCCGATTATGACTGTGGATGAGTTCTATCAGCAGCGCGTTGCAGATGGCATATTTCCCGATGAAGAGAAAGTGGCCAAGATGAATCAAGCACAAGCCATAGCCGCAGCACGCGATCCCAACGAAAAAGAGGATGAGGAACAGGCAGTCGTCGAAGAGCAGGAGGAAATTGATGACCCCGAGTACTTGGCACGCATGAGGCGCATGGATGAGTACAAGGATGTTGTGCGTCGTGGCGATGGCAATCGCCATAATCGCAGCTAATTTATCTTATATATCCCATATGTATTTTTTACTTCATACAAACAATAATAAAGCTCAGTTTATCTAACGTTTTGAATATTAATTCTTGGCGCCTGTCGCATCACAGTGCTGCACAATATTCACTTTTCAACACTATTTAACACTGTCCGTCACGTTCAATAATAAGAACAATAAAAGCGAAGACGTATTAAAACTTCATCCGTTTTATGTTTGGAGAATATAAATAAAAATATATTCGTTAAACTACGGGTTTTTAATTTAGCTGCGTAAGCAGTGTACAACGCACAACGAGCATAAGCAAGCATTTCACACCTGCACAGCACAACCAGTGAAATTACTACAACAACAACAACAAAAATATTCATCCACAATGTCTGTTAGCGTCAATGAGTTTCTCAAGGGCCTGCCCTGCCATGATTCCAGCAATTTTTCGCATGTAAGCCACGAGCACGGGATACGAACGTCCCAGAAGCGTGCTTCTATCTATTTGCCAACCGAGGATGTGCCGTCGGAGCAATTGATTGTTATGGACAAGAGATGTGTGCTATTGCGTTATCTTACCCAACAGTGGGACAAAAAGACGCTACAACGAAAACGCGAGCATGGCAACGAAAGCAGCAACAATACTAATTCTACGCCCAACGGAAATAATAGCAAAAAACGTCCACGCTTGGAAAATAACGAGCTTAACTGAGGGGCTAACAACCAGGAGGCGATCACCTATCTTAATCATCGTGGATTCTGCCAATATCGCTTTATCAAAACAAACACGAACATGCACACATTCATACATACTCGTGAAGAGAAGCCGTAAACACATAATACCGTTAAAATTCTAAAATTAGGCAGACTTCTGGGCAAATCATTTGTTCGTCTGACCAGAGTGTAAGTTTAACCATTGTCCGTAAGAATAAAATCGCTACAATGTAATGCTTGTTTTCTAATATTATATGGGAAGAATGCATGCAATAGAGAAAAATCGATTTCATTGTTTATTTTACTTTGGAACACACGTGGAAATTCCAATTGTGGTGAACTAAATTAATAAAGTTATTTCGTTTGATTTAATGGTGTCCCAAGTCCTTAGGGTCTGGCTTGCCATACTGTTTCTCCCACCAAACAACAAATTCCTTCTTGCGTTGCTCACGCTTTGCAAAGTACTCGGGATATTGGGCTTTCTCCAATGGATGCCAATAGTCTAGCAGCCAGTCGGGTGGTATAACCTCACGCTCAAAGGCGCAGCCTCCAGCACTGTTGGCAACTAGAATCGATGAATCATAATTAATATATGTATGTATATTTAAATATGGGCCTTAACTAATAGTACTCACAAGTGCGCGGCTGGAAATGCTTTGTTTGGAACAGTTCCTGTTGACCGCAGGCCAGCAGTCTAATGCCTTCAGCTAAATCCTTGTTGCGATTCTCATCGAAACGGGCGCGCATCTGCACAGCACGATAACGGTACACATGTCTGAGGCGGGCGCGAGGATGCAAGTTCAGTGTCTCAACATTATATAATACCAAATAAAGGCTATTGCCGTTGCCAATTAAGATACTCACCGGCGATCGTACCAAGCTTCTAGATTGCGTAAGGCACGTTTGTACAAGCTGCACACCTGTCGCTTGTGTGAGGCGATTGCAATGGGCACTTGTGCCATGATTTTGCTACGAAATATCTTTAATACCTAACTTTTCCTACTATGACAACAATTACTGTGCAAGCAGCTGTCAGCCCGAACTGCTGTGAGTGTTGACTAACACTAACTAGTTTAATTTGAAATTAAACAGCACTGCATTTGCAAAATAGCCACAAAATTTAATTTTTTAACAGCAAGTGTACTACAATTATACAAATATTTCGAATACTTTAATATTTTTATTTTCCCCCCAAATTATATTACAGTAGTCAGTTTAATACATATCTGAAAGTATTAAACTCTGCATTTATGTGAAATTAATGATATAAGAACGAGCATTCATAAAATTATGTTTTACTCAGAAAGCAAGGATCTTTCATATTTTATTTTAACGAAATGCATTACTGCATTTGCCAAGCAGCCAAATAATTTAATTTTTTAACAGCAAGTGTATTACTATTACAGTTATACACTTATTTCAAATACTTTAATATTTTTATTTTCCCCATGAGTTCGTCAATTAATAAATTATGTTACAGTAGTCAGTTTTCTACATATGTATGTATGTATCTGAAAGTATTAAACCCCTCATTTATGTGAAATTAGTGATATAAGAACGAGCATTCATAAAATTATGTTTTACTCAGAAAGCAAGGATCTTTCATATTTTATTTTAACAAAATGCATTATTTTCTATATAAAAAAAATGCTCAACAACATTTCGTACCTAAAAAAAATGCATACAGCTTTTCGCTTTTAATGTGACTCTAGCTCATTACAGTCAATATGCATTGGACAATATGATCGGGTATATCAAGGGGCTCGGCACTTAGATCGCCAGTCTCTTTGTCATACATATAAATCTCATTGATAACACGGTCTTCGCTCTGAGCATCCAGTGAGGAGACCAAAACTAATGAACCCTCACCCAATTCCATTAAAATTTGTTCAATGTCGTGCTCTGTGATTCCAGGTGTGGCTGAACCTGTGGCAGGAGAGGCAGGAGTAACAGGCCCTGTGCTCTTTTCGGTAGCCATGTTCTCCGTGGTTGTGGACTCAACATCGCTAACATAGTTGAGTGCCCCATCGTCCATATTGATAACGACCTTTTCCCGTTTCTGCCCTTTTGTTGGTTCCGACTCCACGTTCGGGTGCGCTTCTGGTGCCATAATTTCGGCCGTAGCTTCTTCATCATCACTTAAAAGTGAATTAAGCTCCTGTTGTAGGAGCTGTGGTGGTGGTGCTTCTGGCTCCTTATCACTACAAACTGTTTGTTCCGTCTTTACGCGGGACTCCTGCTTAATCGAAGCAAACGGCGGTAAAGTGGGTTCACTCGATTTCTGAGGAATTTGCTCTGCTGTGGTGCGTTGGCGACGCCTTCGTTTACCTGCTCCTTTTGTGTTCTCATCGTTTACTGCTTCGGAAGCTAATGCTGTGCGTCGCTTCGCCCAGACGTGCTTGGACATCCTTGCCTTGGTCACATGCTCATTCTCGTAAATCGCATCGCCATCACTTAGCGTTCGTGAGGCTTTGCTCACATTTGATCTGGAACTCTATAATGAATGAAAAAAACACCTTAAAACCATTACAGAAAATATATTTAATAGGCCAGGTTACCTTTTCCTTTACTTTCGCCTCGGCCGCTTCTATTTCCTTCCATTTTCTATCTGCTTCAGCCTTCTCCTCATCCTCCCTCTGCAATTGATCCTTTAGCTCCTGAATGTTGAAAGCTTTGGGATAGAGAAGGGCCTTGTTTATTAACTGCCCATTGGCTCGTTCTTCCTTCTTGTATTTAAGCTTGAGATCACGGCGGGTTCGTGTGGGAAACATTTCACACATTAGTGAAAAATCGGTGCCAATAATCTGCAGACTGCGATAAAAGCGAACCGTTTCCTCGGCCGACCAGCCGCGCGTTCGTTTGCGTCGCAACCAGAATCCATTGTCCCCTGTGGTCTCATCCATTTGGATTAGGGACGAGTTGGCCAGAACTTTTCGTGCTTCCACCTCAGCCGTCGTCTCGATCTCCAGCGTCTTTTCATCAATGATCATTTCGCCATTGGCATCTAGCTTCAGTTGAGGTACGGGTAAAGCCGCTTCCGTCTTGGCTACAAGCAACTGTTGCTTTGTTGGCTTAGCGTCATCTAATGTGGCTGTCGTTTCGGCCTTAATGGTTGTCACCGTTGGTTTTTGTTCCATGGGGTTTGCTTCTGGGTTGTAATAGATCATGTCAAACATCTTAAATGTGGTCTTGTCGGGCACGCCGTTGACGAAACGCGTCTCAAAGTCTCTTCGTGCATTCACGCGCTGCTGTGGCTGCAATTTGTCCCCACCATCAATCTTGCGCTGCTTACCGCCACCCGGCGAGCATGTATCCGATAATACAGAGCAACTTGACTCAGTGCGTATGCGTCCAACGCCTGGACTCATCACAGGTGGAAAATATTTGTATGAGGATTGCGGCATGGGCGATCCCTGTGATGTTTGCTGCAGCGAAGTGGTGCCTGTTATGGAAGACCCACTCAAATAGCGCTCACGTCGCGTAGGCGTGCCAGGTGATTGATAATCAGGAAAGCTGCTGCCATCGCTGCAATCACCAGCTAGTGGCGAACCCACAAAACTGTTGCGCCTTTGCCCGAACACTGGTGTGGGACGAACACGTTGTCGCGCCTGTGCCTTGCTAGGCGACATTGGATAGCCACTGCAACTCTTCTGTAAGTCCATTTGTATGATATTGTCTTCCAGGTCGGATTGGAAGGCATCATCAAGGTGTCCAGAGCTAGTTGCGGGCATTTTAAACGCCACCGTGTCTTCCTCTGCAGCGTCTGGTAAACTACACCTGTCGTCTGCAGATTTGGACTGTAGTTCTTGCTGTTGCTCATCTTCTAATTCTGCATCCGCAACGTTCTCTTGTTTTTCTTGCGTCTCAGTACCTTGCGCTGGTGTTTCCTGTTTGCGTGCCTTGCGCTTCACCAATGACAAATTGGCCAGGCCTTTTATTCGCTGCCGCCGCGTGGACATCCTGTGATATTTTTGTTATTCCACCTTTTATATGCTACCTAATTTTACACATCAAATCCATTTATTTCCTAGCCACCCGCGAATCACCCCAACTAACCACGAGAGTCTAACTGTGTTGAGCAACGTCCCTAGACGGTAGCAGCTATTACAGACGTCTAAGCGTTTCAAATCTATCGATACTAACTGAGTACAATTGTTCGACACAACAGCTGTGTTATCTTTCAATCGTTTAGAACACACTCACACACACACATAGATACAACTACATAACGGCAGTAGCAACAACACATAAACAGCAGTTTGCTGCACGTTGCACGTTTTTCTTATTGGACTTAGTGGTGAAAATGGGGCCGTTGTGAATTAACCAGAAAATTTAAGATAAACTCGCGCATTTTGGAAAGCTTGACACCAAATTTCATACACAATATTCACATACACGTACAGTTTGAAACAAAATTCAGCAGGTTAAAAACGCAAATGTGACAAATATCGAGCGAGTGTCTAAATTAATGCGGCGGATATTTTCTCACAGCAAGAAGAAAAGGAAAACAGACACTTTAGTAAGCCGTCGCTGTCGTTGTCGTCAACGCCAGCGCCAGCGTCGAGCAGGTGTTATGCAAGCCCAAGCAGTGCAGCCCCAAACAGCAGCAACAACAACAACAACAGAAGCAATCAATTCAATTAGCCGGCCGTCATGCTACTGAATCGATTCGTATCAGCCATTAAAAATCAATCGAAGGACACGCTGCGCGCATGGTCCTATCAATGCGAATCAATATTTGCGCAACGCTCCCGACGATTGCAGCAACTCGTGAGCTTTTATCAATCGGTCTACGGCTCACAAGGGCTGAAACAGTTGTGGCGCGCCTATTACCGGCGTGAGCTGCAGCCACCTCTGCGGGGGTTCATGCTCAGTGCCGTCGGCATTATGGGTCTGAACATGAAACAGTTGGGCAGCGATGGCTTCGATTGGAACAAGGAGCGCCTTGATTTGGCCAATTTTGATGTATGCCGGCGCGATATTGAATTCATAAATACCCTACCAATGAACCAAATCTGCGACCGTTGCGCGGCCAAGAAGATGAAGTACTGCTACTGTCTGCTGGGTAACAGGCGTTGCAAAAAGGATGGCGCCAGCATTCCAGCCGGTGGTGCACCTGAACCGAAGGTAAATGATCCGGCTAAGGAACAATTACCGGACGCGGGAAGCATACGGAACTGCCAGGTGCCGCTGGATCTTGACAAAGAGGGCTCGCCGGTGGGGACAGTGCGCATACAAGCGGAGGATGAACACACGTGGGAGCCGTATTTCAGCAAAAATGAGTTCTCCATCTGGCGGCGCGAGGAGCGTACCTCCATGTACTCCTACAAGGTGTATGCGCGCTTCGATGACATCACAGCAGATGACTTTTTGCACGTGCAAACGGATCTGGACTATAGACGGCAATGGGATGACACGGCGCTCCGACTAGAGCTGATAAGCGAGGATCCAGTGCCTGGAAGTAATTCGCATTTGATATATTGGGAGATGCAATGGCCGCGTCTATTCGCTAATCGGGATTATGTTTACTGTCGACGCTTCATCAAGGACGACGCACGCAAGGTCATACTCATATGTAGTCGCGGGGCTAAGCATAATTCGTATCCCGCCTTCTCGGGCAAAGTGCGTGTGACGGACTACTGGAGCCTGATGGTGATCAAACCGTTTCGGAGCTTTCACGAGCCCGGATTGCACTTCATACTCACCTATTACGATGATCCCGGCATACCAATACCGCAAAACATTAAATCCTGGGTGACGCAAAAGCAAATGCCCGAATTTCTCACAAAAATGTATGTGGCCACCAAGAACTACGCGTGCTCGCGAGCCCTCAAGATGAAGGACATGTTCAATAGCTTTGCGCTAATCAATGACGAATACACAGCGAATGCCCAACGGGCCAGCTGGCTGGGAAGTCTCAAAAGGCATCGCCGCCCCAAACTGTCTGATGACACCGACAGTGGCCAGCGTGGTCGCTGAACTGAACAGGCTCCATCATCAACAGCAGCACCTACGCCAAATAATCTAATAACACTTTACAAACATATTAGCGATAATGGATAGCAATCGAAAACATTAGAGCCGTTCCTCACCTTTCGTTCTTATATTGTATTTAGAAGTTAGACAGCGTTTTAATTTTAACAAGTTTTTCCAACATCTGAATGCCTGTGTCTATTTTTAATTATTTAAAAAAGCAATTGTTTTTCAAACACATCGGAAGGTGCAATAAAAGGCATTCGCAACTGGTGGCATTTGACCCGTAACGGCTCAAGAAATATCGAAATTAAATTCAATACATTGTTAAATAATATATAAATAGTCAGAAATTAAGTGCGAAACGCTGTTAGAACTGCATATATAGGACATTTTTGAAATTACACACCTGTAAATACAATATACAAAACATCAGACTTCTTTCATTTGGCCGCAGCGGAACAGTAATAAAATTTACCAATTAGTAATCCCGAATATCTCAACTATATTGTACCGGATTTGTATGGAGAAATCGGTAAATAAATGTTCAATATCTATATTTTGAGCCAACAAATCGTTAATAGTTGTATGTTACAAATTATATTTATTTTTTAATTATTAATTGGTCCGAAGCCCATTTTAAAACATAAATTTTATGAATTTTTGGAAAAAATTCACGTTTTTAAAATTGTTAAGTTTATTTCAAAAACGCTAATATTGTAAAGCTATTGCTAAATTAATACACTTTTTTTTTATACAAATATCAACGTTAGAGATTTCAGAGCAGTTTATAGTATTAGTGAGATTCTGGAGACCACTTCAAAATCTCGAGTTCAGGGATCACAGTTCGCTGTGGTCCGTGGCGCTGGGCGGATTGTTCACATAGGCAATGAAGTCCTTGGTGGTGCGACCGCCATTATATTCTAGCTTAGTTTTGAGGTAGGAGAAATACAATATGGTGGGATAGCCGCGCACATTATATTTGGCGCATAGTGTAGAGTGTTGAGTGCAATCCACGGCCGCAAAAGCAACGCGCGGATCATCCTGCAGGGCATTCGCAGCCGCCGTAAATTCCGGCTTGGTGTGCTTACAATGACCACACCCTGTAAGGGGTTTAGAAAATTCAATAAAGTACTATTATTTTTCTGCAAATTCGGCTGGAATACTCACAAGGTGCATAGAACATGACGAGAACATGCTTTTTTCGTTTAAGTGTTGTTGCGAATGTTTCATCGTTCAGGAAAAGCACCTCGGTTTGCTCTTCCTCCTCCCAGCTTTTTTCCGGCGGCGGTGGTGGCGGTGGCTCCGTGGGATCACGCATGAATTCAACTATTTTCGAAGCCTCACGCACATTCACATCGAATTTGAAGACCCCATGGGCAAAGAACTTAACTGTTGGATAGCCTTTCACTTTATATTTCTCTGCTATGGCCTGTTCCTTGGTGGCATCAAGGGCGGCTAACATTCCAGGCACTCGACTCTGCTTAAGTTCCAACGCCGCCTTCTCGTATTCGGGTTTCATACGTTTGCAGTGACCACACCAGGGTGCATAGAACATGACCAGTACGGATGGTTCATCCTTCAGTGTCGCTTCGAAGCTGTCCGCGGTAAGATGTGCAATTTCTGAGCTGCTATCCTCTGACCATTCGGGCTCCTTGGGCTTTGGTGTGGGCTTGGCATTGGGATTTAACATGAAATCAACCAGAGCGTCCTTGGTATTCTCACCCTCGTAGGTAAATCGTAATTTTCCATTCTCAAAGTAAATTAAGGTGGGAAAACCTACCGGAAAAGATAACTTAAGCAAAGGCGAACTAAAACGTCAATCTGCAAATTTACCTGTAATGTTAAACAACTTTCGTATGGGCGCATTCTCCTGTCGTTCCACATTCATGGCGGCCAGCAAGTAACCGCCCTTAGCTTTTAGCTCACTGGCTGCCTTCGCATAGTCCGGTTTCATGCGCTTGCAAAATCCACACCAGGGCACGTGGAACATCACCAACATTGGTCGAATATCCTTACGCAGGTGTTTACTGAATGCGGCTGCATCTGTAAAGTGTAGCACGTCAGAGCCCGCTGGATCCTCTTCCCAGGGCAAGTCGCCGGAAGGGTCGCGCATAAATGTAACCATCGAGGCCACGCTCAACTGTCGGTCATAGTCCTTGTGATAGTCGCCGTCCTTGTAGTGTTTCAACGTATACGGGTCGGGTGTTATTTTTAGCTTTTTGCACAGCTTTTTCCGCTCCTGTTGACCACAATCTACATACACCATCGTCCCCGTGCCGCGCACCCCCTCGGCAGCCTCACGAAACACCTTCAATTCGGCACCGGCCGCTTTAGGACTGGCCACATATATTACCAGCACATTGTTTTTAGTGCGCAGCAGCTTCTTAAAGTCCTTGTACTCTGCGATGTCTTCTTGTACCGCTGAAGCTTTCGTTTTTGCCGCGCTTCCTGCAACAAGTGCCAAAAAAAGCAGCAGCAACACAAACGTGCGAGGCTGATACGTCATTTGTTGAGCGTTATATGCCTTCTAGCGTGGATAATTAACTAAATGTAAATTAGGCTAACTAATAGGCGCCACACAAGCCCATATTTATTACACCTTTCTGTTAGTTGTTGCTAAAACACCGCAGATTCCAACAAATGCCGATGCATACGTCACGTCAGCGTTGTCGGAGGAGTTGCCAGAACGTCTTATTCAGCAACGTTGAACACTCGCAGTCAGCTATACTGGCATCATCCAACACTGTCCAAGTCTGACACATTGACAAAGGTGGAAGAAGAAGCAGCAGCAGGGAAGAAGAGTACATTTTTACACCGTCGTCGCCGCCGCCGCATTATTAAAGTTAATTAGTTTGTGCGATTGCTGTTTTTATAAAACATTTGGACGCCTTCTAAAAGATGCCACTCAAATTGGACATCAAGCGTCGGCTGACCTCGCGGTCCGATCGCGTCAAATGCGTTGATCTGCATCCGGCCGAGCCATGGATGTTGTGTGCACTTTACAATGGCCACGTACACATCATGAATTACGAGAATCAGCAATTGGTAAAAGACTTTGAGGTTTGTGATGTGCCCGTGCGCTCTGGACGTTTTGTTGCGCGCAAGAATTGGATAATTACTGGTTCGGATGATATGCAAATCCGCATTTTCAATTATAATACCTTGGAGAAGGTTCACTCATTCGAGGCGCATTCCGATTATTTGCGGTGCATTGCCGTGCATCCCACGCAGCCCCTGGTCCTGACCAGCAGCGGTAAGTGGGTTCCAACACATATATACTTATTAAATTATTTATAACAATATGTTGGGCATATGGGTTCGCTGCCAACTGAGCTTCCTTATCATTTGTTTGTTTAGTAAACTTCTAATCATTTCGTCACCCATTTTGCAGATGACATGCTTATCAAATTGTGGAATTGGGAGAAGATGTGGGCTTGCCAGCGTGTCTTCGAAGGTCACACGCACTATGTCATGCAGATAGTGTTTAATCCCAAGGACAACAACACCTTTGCCTCTGCCTCCTTGGATCGCACGGTTAAGGTGTGGCAGCTGGGCTCAAATTTGGCGAACTTCACGCTAGAGGGACATGAAAAGGGAGTGAACTGTGTGGACTATTATCATGGTGGAGATAAGCCTTATTTAATATCCGGCGCAGATGATCGCCTGGTCAAGATCTGGGATTATCAGAACAAGACATGTGTGCAAACCCTAGAGGGTCATGCTCAGAACATTTCAGCCGTTTGCTTCCATCCCGAATTGCCCATTTTGCTGACGGGCTCCGAGGATGGCACCGTACGTATTTGGCATTCGGGCACCTATCGGCTGGAAACCTGTCTTAACTATGGGTTTGAGCGTGTCTGGACCATTGCCAGCATGCGTGGCACCAACAACGTGGCCCTAGGCTATGATGAAGGTTCGATTATAATCAAGGTGGGTCGAGAGGAGCCAGCAATGTCTATGGATATTACCGGCGGTAAGATTATTTGGGCCAAACATTCCGAAATGCAGCAGGTGAGTAAATTCAGGGGGCTAATAGATTGATTCAAACTAATGATGTGTTTGCTTATAGGTTAACTTGAAGACCATTGCCGATGGCACCGAAATCAAGGATGGCGAACGTCTGCCGGTCGCTGTCAAAGACATGGGCGCTTGTGAGATCTATCCGCAGACCATTGCACACAATCCCAATGGACGTTTCGTTGTCGTTTGTGGCGATGGTGAATACATTATTTACACATCAATGGCGCTACGAAATAAGGCATTTGGCTCCGCTCAGGAGTTCGTCTGGGCTCTGGAGAGCAATGAGTATGCCATACGTGAGAACAGCGGCTCAGTGCGTCTGTTTCGAAACTTTAAGGAGCGCAAAAGCTTCACGCCCGAATATGGTGCCGAGAGTATCTATGGTGGATACTATTTTGGTGTAAAGACTTCATCGGGACTGGCGTTCTACGACTGGGAGACATTGCAATTAGTGCGACGCATAGAAGTGCAACCGCGCAATGTCTTTTGGAATGAATCGGGTAGCTTGGTTTGCCTGGCCACAGATGATTCCTATTTTATACTGGGCGTGGATACAGCACAAATCGCAAATGCAGTGGAGAGCAAAGAGGGACTCGAAGATGATGGTGTGGAGAGTGCTTTCAACGTCTTGGGTACGTGGACATTTAGAGATTTGGATGACGAATATATAAAATTCAAACTAATCAAATATTTTCATTTCAGGCGAGGTTGCCGAAGCAGTCAAGACGGGTCTGTGGGTGGGCGATTGTTTCATTTACACCAATTCTGTCAATCGCATCAATTACTACGTGGGCGGTGAAATTGTGACAATTTCGCATTTGGATCGCACTATGTACTTGCTGGGCTATGTTCCCAAAGAAAATCGTCTCTACCTTGGCGACAAGGAGCTAAATGTCATATCCTTCTGTCTGCAGCTATCTGTGCTGGAATACCAGACAGCAGTGATGCGTCGCGACTTTGAGCGCGCAGATGTGGTTCTACCCACCATACCAAAGGAGCATCGTACACGCGTCGCACATTTCCTCGAGAAACAGGGATTCAAGGCGCAGGCACTGCAAGTGTCTACTGACCCGGATCACAAATTTGATTTGGCGCTGCAAATTGGCGATCTTGACGTAGCCCTGAAGCTGGCGCGCGAGGCAGAAAATGCACAAAAATGGGCGCAATTGGCAGATGTAGCGGCCCGTAAAAATAATATGGAATTGGTAAAGGAGTGCATGCAAAAGGCTAACGATTTTAGCGGCCTGCTCCTGCTTTCCAGCGCCTCCGGCGATGCACAAATGCTTGAGGAGGTGGGCAACGCAGGCGCAGCCCAAGGACGCCATAACATTGCATTCCTGGCCGCCTTTTTACGCTCGGATGTGGAACGCTGTCTTGAGATTCTCATAGAAACCAATCGCTTGCCCGAGGCAGCGTTCTTTGCCCGTACCTACGCACCCAGCCAGATGTCACGCGTTGTCGAGCTGTGGCGTGAGGAGCTCAGCAAGGTCAACGAGAAGGCGGGTCAGTCGCTGGCCGATCCGGCGCAGTATACAAATCTATTTCCAGGCTTGGGCGATGCCCTGCGCGTGGAGCAACACCTACAAGCGGAGCGTTCACGCAAAGCTCCCGCGGCGTTGGCTGCACAACTGCCGCTGAATAGCGAGCGTAATCCGCTGGCTGAGCTAAATGCCGTAGAGCAGCAGGATGACGATCTGGTCGAGGACAAAGAGAAACCAGCGTTTGTGCTTCCACCGGCGAATAGTGGCAGTGGCGTTGCTACGCTGCCTCTCGTAAAGCCCATTGTTAATGATGATGATGATGACGAACTCGATTTGGAGATTGATGGTATTACGTTGGACGACAATATCGATACAACAGATGTGAATTTGGACGACGATTTTCTAAGCGATGATTAGGTGAAATTCAAAACCAGCAGTCTGTATTCGATATATTCGCATAGGAATAGCCGTAATTTCTTTTGTTTATGTCCCGGAGACCACACGCTACGATTTACACGCATTTCGCACTAAAAAATTCCACACATTTAATTTGATTGAATGTTTTCCGTGCATTACTTATAACAACAAAAAGAGTTTACAATTATTATCTATTATCTATAAAAAAGATTATTATGTAAAAAGGAGCAACATATGCAATAAATACAATAATACGAAAAATAAAAACCGAATTCAAAAAAAGCTAATTGTGCGCGTCTCTGATTTTGCCACTCGTTATCTCTAACATTAGGAGTAGGCGGCGTTGCCACGCTTTTACTGTCATATTCGATAACTTCTTACGATTGAAAACAGTCGACAGCTGAATATAGGAACCCACATTTCGTGTGTGTCAGGATTTTGCTGTATTTTTTATTTAAAAATGAATTATTAATTCTCAATTAATAAATTATTATTAAATAAAAAACAGTTAAAAACCGAAAAAATTCGGTAAGTATAATGAATTATAGCGGTCAAGTGCAACAGCCGTATTCTCCCAATTGCTGAAATAGAGTGCATATTGATTTTTCACGTGGCGACCACGCATTTCATTTAACAGATACATACAACAACTACCGTAACCAACCGACAGGAAACTATTGAACCATGGATCAGGAAAACTATCATGGGCTGCAACAGTCGCATTTGCAACATCAGCAACTACAGCAGCATCAGCCACAACAGCTGCACCATAACCAGCATCAAATGCCACAACCACAGCATCATCAGCCCGTACCGATGCAGTTGCAGGCCGGTTTTGCACCACGTCGTCAATATGAGAATTTGACCTGCACGGCAGCAGCCATGGCTGCTGTTAATATGGCAAATGGCGGTAGTTCCGCTTCGGAGTCTGGCAAAACAGGAATGCTACAAAGGGCGGGCAAAGGAAAGAGGGAGAAGATCTTGCCCATGCAGATGCCACATCAGATGGCAGATATAAACACGGCCAGCTCAAGCCATGTGCCGGTTGAAGAGTCTTTGAAACTGGTAGGCGAGGCGGACACCAGTGGGCTGGCCACAAAGACACCCGTCTCAATACTTCAGGAACTCTTGAGTCGTCGCGGCATCACCCCGGGCTATGAGCTGGTACAAATCGAGGGCGCCATACATGAGCCAACTTTTCGTTTTCGCGTCTCCTTTAAGGACAAAGATACTCCATTTACCGCCATGGGTGCTGGCCGATCCAAAAAGGAAGCCAAACACGCAGCCGCACGCGCCTTGATTGACAAGTTGATTGGTGTCCAGTTGCCCGAGATGCAGGGCACCGCCACTGCAGCATCTGTGGCTGGCAGCTCAAGCGCAGGCAGTGGTGGCGATGGCAGTGCCAATATGCAGAGTAGTGGCGAGTATGTATAAGGTTATGTCTTGTGTTTATTTCATTTATATATTCAACACCGCTCTTAAATATCAGTGACAAAATTGTTGGCAATCCTATTGGCTGGCTGCAGGAGATGTGCATGCAACGCCGCTGGCCTCCACCATCCTATGAGACGGAAACCGAAGTCGGTTTACCACACGAGCGCCTCTTCACCATTGCGTGCACCATTGTTAATAATAGGGAGGTTGGAAAAGGAAAAAGCAAGAAGATTGCTAAGCGTTTGGCGGCCCACAAGATGTGGACTCGTCTTCAAGAGACACCCATAGATGCGGCCAAAATCAACGATTCCATTTGTACAGAATTGGAAGGCGATGTGAGTAAATCAAATATTGTAGATGTTGAGACGGTGTTGCAAGCTTTAAATTTGGACGAGTTAAAAAGCAAGCCCGAATCTCTACCAATAGCATCGCCAGCACCAAGATCACCTTCTAAAAGTCCTATAACAAGTAGAAAATGCTATGACCGCTTACCACCTAGAGTAGATCTATTCAAAGTCTAAAAGTTGATTCCTAACTAAAAATTCCTGAGTTAATAGTGATAACAAAAGTGATTAATGACTAACACTAATTTTAAATATATGTTCAATATAGTATTGTTGGTCGGAACACTAAACGTCTTTTTAAACTATAATAACAAGTTTCTTTTAACAATTTAGCCAACAAATATTACTATTAAAGAAATTCTTCTTTAAACAAAATATAACATTATTTTTTTATTAATATATTACCGCCCGTGGGGCTGCAAAAAAAATACGCATAGTAAAATTGGTTCTTTAGTGCTATAAAGATAGTGCGACCAATGCTTGCGTATTGGTAAAAATAGGGGAAAATAAGAGAAATCCGAGTTGTTCCAACTAAGGGATCTGTCCTTATCTATTCCGGAGAAAGCTATACATACAAATTTTCTAATCGAATCAGATAAGCAAGCACCATTTTGAATTACTAAATACTATACAAAAATTAACCTAATCATGCCACACCTAATAAATTTAATTAGTATTTATGCTTTAAATCGAGTATTCTGACTTCCTTAAACTATTGAGAAGTCGTTTCACATCCATGAAGATGAAATATACGAATTTCATTGCTAAACGATGCCGTGAGTAATCGATTTGTAGTAATTAAATTATTACAACAGATTTGGGATATAATGCTGCACAAAGAGTTCTAGAATTTAAATGACAAATATAAATATAAGAAATATTTGAAGATACCTTGCTAATATTGCAACTCAGCTATTCACCAGACAAATATCCAAGTACACTTTTATTATTATTGATTTTAAAAACTTGTGTGATATGTTTCAACTCACCATTGTTAGTTGGGTTACATTGTTTGCTGGACTCGCACTGGTCGCATGATGCCATGATAATACTGATCGTTATTTCGATCTTATTTACAGGCCCGCATTAACGATATTTACTATGGTGATTTGAAAGATATCACTGTGCCGACTCTGACCACGCAGCACAGTAATAAAGTCTCACAATTCCATAAGGCATTGAAAAATGCTACGGGCAAAAAACTTCTAAAGCTACAGGTAAAGTTGTTAGATTTTTATTTAAAGCTGCCGCTTCTCCCAATACCAAACTGATAAGCAACTGAAAATACGTCTATATCTGTTTCCAATTTTGTCTCTCCGTTTCTAGAAGACGTGCCTCAGAAGCCCGAAGATTGATTTTATCAAACTGCTGAGCGAGATCGCAGTGGAGAATCAGTTCGAAGTCACATATGTGGACATTGAGGAGAAGACCTACACCGGCCAGTATCAATGCTTGGTGCAGCTCTCCACATTGCCCGTGGGAGTGTGCCATGGCACTGGAGCAACCACAGCGGACGCTCAGCGGCATGCGGCACAGAGCGCTTTAGAGTATCTAAAGATCATGACCAAGAAGTAGCTCCAAACTAAATAGCAAAATCTGAACGCACACGATGAAGATGGTCCTAATTGAATAATAACTAAAAATACAATCACAAACCACAATAACAACCACAATCTCAATTGAAATATCAGCTGGAATGAACGAAGTTGTTCCGTCAGAAGGAGCACTCCAGAATTAAAGTCATGCATATATATTTTTTTATAATTATTTTTTAATTTTAAATGATAAAGAACTCATCACTAGACATGACCTGTACATGTCATATCGGTTTGTTTTGTGCTACCATAAAAGTATTTATCCGACAATTAATTTAAACTTAAAGAGACAACAGAAAAGAGTATGGGAATTAAGAAGTCAAATTTTAAATTCAAATTATTATTTCTTTATAATGTAAAACTAGTATATGTATGTACACGACAAGAAAACTGTACACTCGGCAAAAGTCACTATGTATAAGTATTATTGAATGAGAAATTTATTGAATAAAAAATTAAAAATTCGGAACTGGTCAATCAATACATTTTGATGGAAGCTGAGTTAATTTAATAGTAATTTTTTTTAGAAGTCATTTATTAGTGGACAGCAGTTCATGCCAAGAAGCTGGAATATTTCAGTGCGCAAGGGCTTACCCCAGCTTGCGTTTTTTTTAATACAGTAAGATGCTAACGGGTTATTAAATCGCTCTGCAAAGTGACACTAAGAACCAACTTGGAGTCTATGTGGGACTACCAATGGTCGTCCACCTAACTATATGATAAGACGAACCGTTTTTCTGTGTTGTACATTAAGTTTTCGTGCAGAAATATTTTCGAAATCATTAGGCTAATTGATATGTTTCGTATGTAAAGAAACAGCGGTTGTGTTTATATAATTTATTTAAAATATTTACTGCTAGCTTAATTCTGTAGTCATATAAATTACTTCTTTTTACGATCTTGTGTACATTTGGGACAGAACCATTTGCCCTTTGGCTTTGTGGTGAGTCCAACGCAGGCAAAATGAAACCATTCGATTGGACACTGAAATAATAGACACAATTAAATGCCAAATAATATTGTTGTGGTATATAAAGTAACGCACATCTGGATTATCGCAGCCAATCATCTCGCCGTACGAGACCTGATGGCAAAGGCAGTATGTGGGCTCATTTGGATCAACAGGCATGTCCATTACATCGCTAGGATGTGTGGCGGCCGTGTGGCAGGATTCCTTTTCCGAATCATCGGGATCAACGGATTTCTAATAAAAAAAGAGAAAACAACAGCATTAATACGGGAAAATCAAAGAACCTGATTGATTCTGCATGCATGGGTGAAATGTAAATGATAGATGGAAAATGACTAGGTAGGCAATAATTAAGTAAATTACCGAGCATAAGTTGGGCAAACAAACTAGAAATTTTACAAGGTTGAAAATAAATCTCAAAATGTACGAATATGAAATTCTGATGCAGATGATTTACCTTTTGGGCGCCACTTTTGCGCGTCTCTTTTTCTTGATTTACCTTCGACTTTTTCTTTTTGGTACCTTGACCACTGCCGCCAACGGACGAGGTGTTGGTGCTGGCGTGTGTTGATTGATTGCCACCGCGCCCGGTTTCTTCATCCGAAGAAGCACTCCTCTTTTTCTTCACCGTTGCTTTGCCATCTTTGGTCTTCTTTCGACCCTCTTCAAATAATGGTATGTAAATTATAGCCATAATATTATAGCTTTTGTCTTGACTTACTTTTGGCCACTGCCTCCTCGGATTTAGCGCGCGTTGATGAAGCCTTCTCCTGGATTTCACCCTCAAAGCGCGCCAAATCATTATCCAAACGTCTGATTTGCTTGTCCACCAGTTCATACGTTTGGATTGCCAGTTGGACCTTATCATCACTGTATTCCTTGGCCTTGCCGAACAAGGCTTTGATATCCTCCAATCTCTCCTTGCGCTCTTCCTCGCTTATGGCACCATTCTCTGCTGCCAGCTTGCGCATAAAGTCTTTTGCGTGGCTATCGATGCTCTGCATAGCAGTCTGCGCCCGATCGTCCAACTTTCGCATTAGCTTGAAATTACGTTCCAATTCAGTTGGTAGCGACTCTAAACCTGTATAAAGTCGCATTATAACCGATCTGTTTTAGTTTGTAGTACTCACCGTCCAGGTAGTTCTCCAAATATATAGCCGAAGACATTTTTTTGTTTTTATAAGTCTTTTTTATAAGGTGTCAACTCGATTATTAACATAAAAAATAACGTTGATGTACGATGTATAAACGTACATAAGTACATGCAAAACATACGCGTTTGTTTCAAACACCTGTGTATGGGAAGGCTGTTATGGAATTAGTTGAAAGGCAAGAACAAACTATGCACAATACGTTTTAATACTGAAATAATAATACTGCTAACGAAGTACTGTTTTGATATTTAAAACAATTATTACTTGCAATTGAAAGTTCCCGAAGTACGTCTATTTAACGCAGCAGCTTCAAAGTGTCAAAAGACTATCGATATTATTTTTATCGACACCAATTAAGAGCCGTAGTCCGCCAGTGTTGCCAATTTAGCTATTTTTCCGATTTTCGCAAATTTTTTGAATACCAATTGCGGAAGAGTTTTGCAATTTCTAATTATAGATTCGTACCATTTTCAGAAGTTCAAACGGCTTTTTTTACAAAGAAGGTAAAGAAAGACCAACAAATAAAAATTTACTGAGTATGGAATAGTTAAATGCATATTAATATTAACTTAGATGTGATCCAACCAACTTCATTTATTATATGTAGTGTTTTGTTTGCCATTACATTTCAATGTTTTATTTTATGTTTGTAAGAATTTATAGTCCATATTTTATTTATTTATATAGCATAGCTCTTTGCGGATAAGTAGTATATAAATCATGATATTAATAAGTAAATTTTGTACCAATGCTTAATAAAAGTCTTATTAACTAGCTACACAGAAATATATATATGAACCCGAATAAAACTAATATTTATTTACTTGATGCACGCATGCTTTATTCCAACGGATCATTGTCATCATTGTTTGAAACAGATTTATTTAGAATTCCAACAGAAAATCTATGTTTACGAGCCGCCTGCGCCAACTCCAACTTCTCTAGCTCATAGTTACGCTCAATTTCCTGTTTCTTTATTTCATATAGCTTATTGAACTTATAACGTTCAAATTGTAAGCGCTTCCATTCAAGTCGGAGCAGTGCTTTTTCTGTTTCCTGCACTGGAACTTCATTCTGGAGGCGTTGTGGTGTTGCTCCTATATTTTCATAGTACTGGTTTATAGATGGACTGCTTAACGTTGCTATTACTTCTTTTTTTTGTTTTACAGGCGTTAATAACGAATCGCCCTCGGATACAGTTTCAGCATCAACTGTGAAGAGCTCATTGGCAAATAGTTTTTCAAGTAAAGAGAAGTGTGGACACATTTTCTTAACCTGCACTGCAAGGATAACATTAACAGATGAATTCATGAAATATGAACTATTTTAGTTGACTACTTACCATCAATCTCAAGCTGATTTAAATCATCATAAGCATCATCATTTGAGCCATTCGTGGACATCAGTCTTATCCAATTCTCAGTCTTAAAATATAAATCCTTGAGCTGGCGTACCTTGGCTTTGATTAGGTCCCAGCGTATTGGATCTACCTTAATCTTGGTCGCAGTTATTAACTTTTTGTAGTATGTGCTTGCAGTGGGTTTCTAAAGCAGGCATTATTTAATAAGCTTTTGTTGATACAACAAACAGCAAAACAAAAACACTACCTCTATTTCAGGATGCATAAGCAAATAGTCAAGGAGGTGGCGAGTTTCGGTGTAGCCCCATCTTTTGGATGCCTCGAAATTATTTTTGGGCTTTGCTTTGTTCATTATTTATTTAAAATAGCGCTTTTTTATAAATCCTCACCCAATTCTTTCTTGCTGTTTAAATGGTATTGCCACTTAGGCAATGGCAAAATGGTCGATACATTTCGTTGCTATCGATATTAGCGTGAGACGATTCTCTTCTAGGAATCCAAAAATTGTAAAGTATATTATGTGCAATTGAAATGTGAGTATATTGAAATGTGTGGAATTTTTTGTGCCGTCGGCAATGACAATTTGGAGTGCCGTCTACACAGAGAGTTACAGTTACTTCTCCAGAGTCGCGGCCCAAATGCTCACGAGAAGCTGCAATTGGACTCCGTACTCCTTGCCGGCTATGTTTTGTGGCAACAGGGAAGTTGTGGACCACAGAAGCAACCAATAGTCCTGGGGAACTGGGCGGTTCTCTTCAATGGAGATTTTTACAATGTGGATGAGAAGTCAACCAGCATCTCAGACAGTGCTTGGTTAGCGGAAAAAGTGGCGCAATGCAAAGGAGATGACGAACTACTATCGCTTCTGCAGCAACTAGAGGGACCTTATTGCCTATTGATGTACAATAGGGATGAGAGGGTTCTGTATTTTGGGCGCGATGCGCTGGGTCGGAATTCACTTATCATTGAGCGACAACCAAATGGATTGAACTTGTTGAGCACTTCGTGCTATTTGAATCCTGAGGTGGTGTCGCTGGAATTGCCGCCGCTGGGCCTCTATAAATTGCATGTTGATAATATAAGCCAGTGCATACTGTATCCTTGGCAAACGCTGAACGAAGGTGCATTGAAACAACTACAGAATTTAGAGGAGGCAATGCATTGGAAAATTTGTCTGCAGTCGAAGCTCATTGCGCCCAAATGGCTGCTTAGTACGGTGGCAATTGAGGCCTTTGACTTTTATAAGCACTGCACAGATGTCTTCAACGACCAGCTATATGCCAATTTGTTGAATTTGCCAGCTGTATCCCAGACTCTTGACCGATTCGACGCTTTGTTACGTCGATCGGTGGCTGCCAGAGTGACGTTCACAGCACCGCTTTGTCGTGATTGCTTGGAGACTCAGGAGTTGATAGGCACGCAATGCTCGCACGCAAAGATATCTGTGCTTTACTCCGGCGGCATCGATTGCAGCATTTTGGCGCTGTTGGCAAATGAATTTGTGCCGGCCGGCGAGCCCATCGAGCTCATTAATGTAGCTTTTGAGAGTGTTGCTGCCGCACGGGAGGATTGGAATGTCCCCGATCGTCAGACTGCGCATCTGTCGTTTATTGAACTGAAACGCCTATGTCCAAAACGTAGCTGGAATTTGTTGGAAGTGAATGTAAAACGGACAGAGCTACAACAAAAGCTCGCTACGCGCATCAATCAGCTTATTTATCCGCTACAAACCGTCCTGGATGAGTCCATTGGCTGTGCATTTTGGTTTGCCGCAAATGCCGTCGAGTCCACAGCACGCGTTGCCCTACTGGGCAGTGGCGCCGATGAGCTCTTCGGTGGTTACATTCGGCATCGCAACGCCTATCGCAGATGTCTTGCTGACGTCAACGACGAACAAAAGCGTCAGGAGGCTGTGCTGCAGGAGCTTGAGCTGGATTGGCAGCGCATATCGGCGCGTAATTTGGCTCGGGATGATCGAATAATAGCCGACAGCGGGAAAACAGCTCGTGCTCCATTCATTGAGGAACATTTGGTGCAATTTGTGCGCTCATTGCAGCCACAACAACGTTCCTGCTTTCGCTTGCCGGAGGGTGTGGGCGATAAGCTTTTCCTAAGGCTCTACGGTTATCGTTTGGGATTGCGGGATGCGGTGCTATTAAAGAAGCGCGCTATACAGTTCGGATCGCGGATTGCGGACAAGAAGCAGCAAGCCCAACAGCATTCGCAATACCTCAGATTTGGAAGATAGTAACGGTCTAAGAAGTGAATAGCTCTACTGGAAACTCCCTTTCTATTTGAGAGCGTTTGTATATTTATTGAAATAAGCATGAAATTATTGTGTATATATCAGACGAGAGCTCCTAACTTAAAATATAAATGCATTGCTTTTGATACCTTAATAACAAGCTCAAATCTAATTGATATTCTCTTTATTCTCGCCGGCCAGATCGTCCTCAAGCAGACATTTATACGTGCGCTTCGATAGCTGGTCTGATTCGTTTAGAACTCGCACATTTCGCTGGCAGTTCCTAAATTCACAGCTGCCCATCAAATTACTTTTATTGTAGCTGCCAAATTGATGAGAATATGAATAATAAGGTGTTTAAAATATTTTAGCCCTTACTCACCTTTTTAGATCAATGTACCGCGCCAGCGTCATCGTCTTCTCACTGCTATCAGGCAGCTGATAATTATCAGCCAAAATGCCGAATTTGCAATCTTTAAAAAGGCAATTACTTCCCTGCAAATTCACAACAACCGACTTGTCCAACACCTCTAAGCCCGTAGTGCACTTCTTCAGCTTAACATCGTTAAACTCTGCGCTGGACTGTGCTTGCAGAGAAACACCGACTGCAAAGCTTTCAATCACACAGCCCTGTAGGAGGAGCTTGGCCTGCGGCATACAAACAATGCCCTCCTGGGTGCTGGAACATCCATCCCCGATAAGGCGACAGCCATCTAGAAGTAGCGTTCCAGCACGCAAAAGAATGCCGCGACGCACATTTCGACAATCGAGCAGTAAATGCGACAAAGTGTAATCGCCATCTATAACCATCAGAATACTGTCCTCATCACTGGAGGAGACAGTGGCCAGTTTATCGTTTGGTGTCTTCTCCGTTTCGGCCAAAACAGCGGCGCCTGGCTCAACTAAGCCCTTAATGCTGCCATTATCGTTGAGATGTTCCAGGAACTTAATGGTGTGCAGACCGGGTGCGAGCAAAATATTGTCATTGGGCTTGCAAATGCTCAGTACGTCCTGCGGAAAGGCATAGTAAGATACATTTTAGAGTGGCGTAGGTCTGCAGTTTAGTTTTAAAGCAACTGTAGACATTAGACATTAAATCTTTGTGATTAAACGCACCTGTAAGTTATTCCCCAATTGCACCAAAGTTTCTGGCCTCACATACTGCTTGGCCAGCGTTAGAAGGTCTAGCTGTTGGCTTAGCTCGCTAGGCTGCGTGACCAAATAGCAAGTGTGGGCATCGTTTCTTAAGTTGTCCGCATTGCCAGATCCGCGGTGCAGCAGCTGACGCTTTAAGGTATGCGATTGCAGCTCACTGTAGGCACGACGCATCTCTGGATTCTCAAGTATCTCGAATTCGCTACGAATGATGGCTAGACGCAGATGTAGGCACATTAAATCGGTTACTGGCAAGTTGGATTTGTTTAAGCTGATATTAGCCTGCTTTTGAGATGGGGAATTGGTGGTACGTTTAGATTTAGCGCCACCTGCATTATCGCTTAGTGCCAGTGCTTCGTCTTCACTCTCCTCCTCGGCGTCGCTGAGGTCCAGCTCAAGAAACTCCAGGCGCTGCTGAATGTAACGCGCTTCCATCAGCAATGTACGTATATGCAAAGCCAGTGTGCGTGGCAGTTTGTTCTTGCTCAGATCACACGCCAGTTGAATTCGCGCCTGCAAATGCATTTGCACCCAATCGCGATCGTCATCGTGATCCTTGTCCCACGGCAGCCAGACGTGCGTGTAGAAGAAACGCAAGCGATCGATGCACTCCGCTGTTGTATCCACATTTAATGCTGAATTCTCCTGCTGCAAGGTGGGCCACAGCTCGATGAGCGACACCTCATTCCGTTCCGGCAGGTGCACATCATTGTCCTGCACAGCGGTCACACAAAAAACCGCCTTCAGTTCGTCAAATATGACCTGATCGACGCTCCCATATACAATAGTTGGATAGCGCAGCTTTAGGTCTTCGCAAATGACGCGTGGTATTTTCCAAATTGCCTGCCAGCCTATTTTTTTTGTAGCATTTATTTTTTGCTTCTGTGTGTGTCTGTGACGCGCTTACCTGCTGGCTCAATTTGTAGCTCCACAAAGGACTTCCACTCGGATCTTACCTGTGAGGCTGGCATCACGGCCCCATCCCATGATAGGACAGCCTCGGCCTCCCTAAGGCGTTCCAAGAAGGATTTGTCAAATGTGTAAACATCCATTACACACAACTTTCTAAATAGCGCGTTTCCTGACAAGCGTTCGAATTTGAAATGTGGTGATTGGGCTGATAGCTGTTAAAGCAACCCTGATATCGAAACTTGACAGTGATACCAATGCCGTGGAGTCTAGCTCTTGTATTGGGACGTTTTGTGCTATTCTATTTTGAATGCAATTTGGTATGCTTAACACAATATATAGCCCTCGTAGAATTAAGTATTTGGAAACGCTCCACTGCGGCGATGACTATGACCGCTGCTACATCCCTACGAAAAAAAAACTGTGGTTTGTGGCTTGCGACAGGTGGCAGTATTGTGCCCCAGCTGTTTGTTGTATGCGCGACTGTTGCCAGGGCTGCCAATTTTGCTAACTGGCTTATCGATAAATTATATTTTTGTTTATGTATTCGCAAATATTTTTTATTATTCGGCCTATTTAATATTAAAAGGTTGGAATATAAACGTAAATATAACAATATAACCCTTGATCGCATTTTTAAGGCTACAAGACATTACTCGGCACTACAAATATAAAATATTTATCTTAGGTCGAAGAATTCAATTTATACGGAGTACATATTCACAATACTGAAAGAAATTGATATAAATATTTAAAGAAAAACAATAAAGAGCAAATACAATTATCTGGTTGGATATTGAAGTAACTTAAAATTGAATAAAAAAATTAACAAATGGCTGCGAGCGCCCCAGATGAGCATTTCGAAACCACTGAGTTTGACGAGGATGCTGAAGACGAGCAATTCGTTGCGATGGCCACGAATGCAGGCCGCAAGCGCCTTTTTAGCAAGGAGCTGCGCTGCATGATGTTCGGTTTTGGCGACGACAAAAATCCCTATACAGAAACAGTCGATCTGCTCGAAGATCTGGTGATTGAGTACATAACCGAAACTACGCATCGCGCCATGGAAATTGGACGCACAGGACGTGTGCAGGTGGAAGATATTATATTTCTGGTGCGGAAGGATCCACGGAAATATGCACGCGTCAAGGACTTGCTGACCATGAATGAGGAATTGAAGAAGGCACGCAAAGCGTTCGATGAAATTAAATATGTTGGTGAGTATTTGAAATATCATGAAAGAAATTATTGTATTAATTGGTTTCTATTTTCGTTGACAGGCACTGAGGGTAAGACCAAATAGTTCATCACACCCTAGTAATAAAAATAGTAATGTAATGCTTATACAAATTTAATAAATAACTAATTTAATTATCAACGATTTTACAAATCAATCAAAATAGTCTTCAATGTCTATGTTTGGGTCTAGTATATTTTCAAATGGCGACAAGTCGATGGCATTTAATATCAGATTCTCGCAAGTCTCGGCCAGATCGGTATCACCAATCAGTATAGCACCGCGCAATCGGCCGTTCTGCAGAACAAACTTGATGTATTCCTTGTTTGGCGTGCAACGTAGCAACAGCTCATAGTCGCGACCTAATCCTTGTCCGTTGAAGCGGCCCATCAGCACGACGGGGAAGCCAAAGAGTTGTGTCACATGCCCGAAAAGTTCGAAGCAGAAATCCTGATAGATCGTCTCGCCCTCAAAAGCGGCCGCCATGCTGCGTCCTGCCATCCCACCCATTTGTCGGGCCTGCGTCCAAAGCCGCATCTGAAACCAATGCTCTGCCGGCGGCCAATTTGCTGAACATACGTCACCAGCCGCATACACGTCGGTCAGGTTTGTGCGCATCATTTCGTCTACAGCAATGCCGCCATCAGCAGCAAGTGTTAGTGGCAAATCGGTGGCAAAGTCATGACGCGGCTCAACCCCCGTTGCCGAGACTAGAAAATCACAGTTTATTTGCTCCATTCTGCCGTCTTCATAGCGAAGCGTAACACGCAGTCCGTTTTCCAGTAATTCGTGTCGGTCTATGTACGATTTATAATAGATCTTGGGCAGTCGATGCTCGCCACCAGCCTGACCACACAAGTCGTAACTGCGATGCCAGTCGGGACCCAGAGCGGCGCCGCGTTTTTTTTGCTGCTCCTGCTCCGTTGGCACCATTTCACTGTAGCGCATTCGTTTGAGCACCGTAGACGGCGCCGGCTTGGCAGCCGCCTCTTCCTTGCCCTGCTGCGAAATTTGAAAGAATTCGGCTGCTCCTGGATCAACAAACGTGGCCGATATGTGATTATCCTTGATTACCCAATGCACGTTTACGTCGTGTAGTTCGTATGCCAATTCACTGGCAATGCCGCCGTTGCCCAGGATGAGCACATCCTTCGCATTGCCCAGTAAACGCTGTAGTTGCAGCACGGAGTCAGTGTCCCGTATGCCCACAACACGTTCGTATTTCTGCACCTGCTCCCCAGCAAATAACCTCGGCGCTCCTCCAGTGCACAGGCAGAGATAACGATACGTGATTTTCTTGCCACCTTTCGTCCGCACCCAATGCTGTGTGGCATTTACTTCCAACAACTGATCGACAATGGTGCCAATTCCACTGCTCATGTCATCGACGCACTTCTCACGCACATCAAATTGGTGCAGATATCTGGCAATGGGAACCAGATTGGTGACTGTCTTCACAATACTGGACTCGGTGACTAGCAAAATGGAAGCAGCAGGGCAACAAATCGCCAATGTTTCGGCGCAAGTGACGCCCGCAATTCCGCCACCAACGACCAGGAAGGTGGTCTCAGTCATTATTGAATATTATCAACAAAAACAATGTGTATTTCATCAGAGAAAACTATTGAGTAAGCGCATTTCTCGAGCTAACATGACTTTTAAATACCCTATTCGGTAAAATAAATAAATAATAATAATTATACAACTAAAGCTTATTAAGTGCCAATTTAATTTGTATATTTTTTTGACTTAATAGCCTTTTGATGCGAAGGATGGCTTCACTTAGGTGCCTCGTATGAGAAGCGCAGAGGAGGGCCGACTTTTGAATTTAATTTCCAAATATTATTTTGTATTTATTTTATTTTTTGGGCTGTTGATGCAAGAGTAGTAACTTCGCTTAGGTGGCTCCATGAGAAGCGCAGAGGAGGGCTGTCTTTTTAATTTAATTTCAAAAACAATTTTTTTTTAAATTTTGTTTGGGCTGTTGATGCTAGAGTAGTGGCTTCGCTTAGGTGCTTCGTTTCAGAAGCGCAGAGGAGGGTCATTTTTTAAAATAAAATTAACAAAATATATTTTTTTATCAAACAAACAAAATTGCGACCTGCTTAATTATATTTTTCAGTTTTTTGTCTGTCTTTTGGGCAGAGTATTGAACAGCTGTGCTCTTGACTCTGAACAGCTGTGCTCTTGGCTCTGAACAGCTGTGATGGAACCAAAAAATCAATAGGTGATTTGGTTAAAAGAGCAACTTTAATAGAAAACAAAAATACAGTGTAACTTTTAAGGCTTTTTGGGAGCTGTCTCCTCCGTCTTCCCATAGTATTCGCTGTAGTCGTACTCCCGGAAAGGCACATCGTAGGTCAACAAACCGTAGTCGCGTGCGCGCTCCACTGCCACCAGCAACTTAAAATGGCTTTTCTGGCACAGACCCGTCTTGGAGTAGCTTAAAACCTGACCACTCTGCGGCGATATGAACTGTTTTATCAGATCTGTGTTGCGATGATCCAGCACAAGGTACTCATCCCGGCAGATGGGGCAGGGATTGCCGGTAGAGATTTTGCCCTGTCGTATGCATGTCTTGCGAGTTTTTCTCGGCGCAAACATGCCCTTGTGGTTACGTCTTTGAGGAAAATTAAAATTTAGTATTTAGAGGAGAGTCCATATTGGAACACTTACCGGTATTGCACCCACACAAAATCGTCACCATAGGTTTGCTTGTAAGCAGCGCTCTTTAAATAGCGCATCGAGGTTTCAACTGGTATAACTTTGGTTCGATCATTCGCATCAAGTTTCTGCTCTGCAGCAGCATCCTGTTCAACGTCCTCGGCTGCTGTTTCTGCTTCCGCTTCGGCTGCAACTGCTTTACATTGTAGCGCGCTGGCTGTATGCAGAGCGTAGCGATTCTGTGGGCTGCGTGCGATGAGAGATAGCGCATTGTAAATACCACGCGTTATTGGCAACATTTTCCCTCTTTCCTTTCAGTTTATTGTTTAATTTATAATAAGGCGACGTAACACTAAAAAAAAATGTGTTGTTGGTGAGCGGTGCAGAGAAAATGGTAACTCTGTGCAGATAAGAACACAAACTCACTGCTATGGCACGCAAGCAATATAAAAAGCTTGTTGCTGTGGCACGTAAGCATAATATGTGCTCATACACGTAAAAATAAGTTGTGGTAGTTTAAAATGATGAAGAAACTTAATTGGTTTTGAATTCCTTGCCAAAATTTTAAATGTTTTTTTTTTCAATTAAATCCAACAATAATAAATTTCGGCCCCCAGAGAACTCCATTCAAGCACGAGGACACCGCTGTACCGCTGCGCGTAACGGTTAAAGCTCACACCCGTACGCACAGGCTACGGCCCATGAATGAAAAGCTTCGTCAGTTGCTGGGAATTTCAATTGCAGTTGCGGCCCGAATTTACTAGCGAAGACTACGTTGTTGGCGCTGCAGACTGGCGAGTAGCGTCGAATATCACGCTGTGGCAATATTAAATCACGTGCATATGTAAATCATTTATTTACGGTAGTGTAGTGTCGTAGCTTACGCTTCTTTTCAACAATTACGTTAACGTGGCTCTGCAAGTGCATGTGTGTGCAAGTAAAGGGAGTTGCCGTTATATACATACATACATACGTAGTTGGTAATTCACCGATATGCATTGTTTTGGTTTCGTGTGTTTGTAAAAAAACTAAGTTTTTTCTTCGTCGTTTTAATCAATATTTGAGTCGAGCATTTAATTTTAATTGTTTCAAAGCCATAAGCAAAACCTACACAAGACCATGTACATGTGTATGCATGTGGGTTTGTACATACGTATGTATGTATGTATGTACATTCTTTATTTTTTTTTGTAGGTGCCGTGTTGTCGCCACTGCTGCCGCTTTCAAAGCAAAAACAACAACGGGAAAACTAACAAGCACGCCGCAATTCGCCGTTACTTGCCCGCTAACAGCACACGCACACATCAACAAAGGGTGAGTAAAGTATTATAGTAAATGTTTGTTTGGCTTTGAATATCTAAATAAATGAGTAATTATTATTTGTACATACATTTGCACATATGTATGTACATATATACATAATATGTATTTTACTTAAATACATACATACATATGTACATAAGATGCATATTTGTTTGCATTTTTGCGCCTGTCGTTATTAATAGTATGAAGACAGCTTGCCTACTGGTGAAATCTTATCAAACTTTGCAAAAGTAACTAAACTATAAATAATCCGCTGCTGCCGCCTCGATGATTTGTAAAATCCGCGTGCAATCCAATAAAACTAGATAGTGTGGTCTTTAAAAATAAAACCGTTCGAAAGGCAAAAACAATTTGCGTTAAAAGGGCACCTTACATCGCCAAGACTTGCGTCAACCAAGAACAACATTCAACCTGTCCCAAATTGAATACAAATGTGTATGTATGTATATACACAGCCCCCACTCCTTGATAAGGAGTTGTTGTTATTGTTGGACTGACATTTCGCGTTATAAATTGGTTTTTCCCTTACTGCGCCCCACGAAACCGTTACTTTGGTCTAAATTAGTACCTGTTGGTTATGCGCCCTTTTTTATGTCTCCACAAAAGCAACAAACAAAAATGGGCGACGGAGGAACTGATGGTGTTGCGCCAAGTCACCTACACAAATACATTCATGCATATACATATGTATATAAGTATGTATATGTACATATACCCATAAGTAAATCGAAAGCTAGAGTCATAGTTTAAGTTTATTGATATTCAATTGGAAATTGGAAAAATGTACATACAAATATGTAGGTAATGCATAAAAATTTTTGTATTTGTTGGAATCTTATTTTAAAAATATATATATAAACATATATGTACATGTATGTATGTACGTTTGTTATAGTTGGAAATATTTATTTATTTTTTTTATCAAAAACTCTTGTCGATGAACAATTAGTTATTCAAATGGGCATTGGAACCTACATACATACAAGTACATACGTCAAAATTTATTGAAATTTTATTCAGAGCCTCAATTTTATTTATTCTCGGATAGCCCACTGCCACTGCCTTGGCCGAGCTGCATAAATAAAATGGAAATGTTTGCAATTTGGGAAGTCCTAAGCAGCTGGATTATAGGTTTTTCTTTGATGTAGGGCTTGAATCAGTGATAGCTCACGCATGTCTCGATTTTTAGGCAGTGTGCCTATTTATTCGCGTTCGTCAGTACATAAAACTAGCGTATATATGTACATACATTTATTCACACACATATCTATCAATATATGTATGTATAGTGATACATATAAACAATATATATTTATGTGTGTCTGTCTCGTTTTCGGCAGTTGTGATTAATGGGCTTTCGTCTACGTGTAGCCAACAGCCCTGCAAAGAATTTCATCGGCTTTTTCTAGACTAGCCTCTTGGGTGGTGTTTCTATAAGAATACATAATTTATTACTTCCTTAAAAGGTATAATTAATGTAATTATGTGTTTATGTTATGGCACAAAATAACTTGGAATGAGAAAAGGCCCTCCGTAGATGGAAATTTCAGAACAGGAATATGCTTTCCACTTTTACTGATGTAAATATGTTATTAATCTAATTACTATTTAATATCTTCATTATAAAAAGTACATGCTTTGAAATTTTTTTTTAAACTATCTATTTGAAAGTTAAATAGATATAAATGAACGTAAATGAACTAGTATAGTTTATATATTAAAAAGTTGTTTTGTTGATCATATGCTCAAAGTATTATTTTAACACATCGTGATTTATTTAATTAATTAAGAATAAAATGTTAATTTTGTTGCCCCTACCAACCCCCCCCCCCCCCCCACTTTTGAAAAATTCGAAAATAACGCTTTGTGTTTAACGGCCAATCTACCGCCTAATATTATTATTTGGCTGCATTGTTTAATCAATATTTGAAGAATTTTCTGAATTTCAGATAAATATTATAAAACCCCCGTTTAGGATTTATAAAGCTGGAAAATAAATAAGAAACTATTTATGTTTAATGTTTAATAATAAAAAGTATGCTCGATTTTCAAATGAATTATCAATTCTGAATAAAATGCGCAATGTTTTGTTAAATACTTACAAATCCAATTCCTGCCCCTTAAAAACAGCTGGGGCTACGATCTACGGTTGGTCAATGCTACTTGATCCCCACAGCCAATGGCTGTGCCCTATAATGCGTATATACCAATACACTCACATGAAATCTGGCTTTCATCGTATTCTGTTGGTTTCGAAGCCTGCTCATATAGTGTTCCCGTTCTAACGCACTGATTTGGTATTTAAATAACTGATATTTGCAACAAACGTATTTGTATGTTCGCAAATATCGCTGCTTCGATGTTATTGCATTGGAATTTATAGGTAAAAGGGGTCTCTTGCTTTTGGCCCGCCTAAAAGGAAAACTATTTAAATATCAATTTCCATAATTAAGGCGCCCTTAAGCCGCGCCTCAAAGGTGCCAAGGAGTTGAGCTAGCGAATACACGCCACTTTAACAACTCATTCAAGTTAACACTAGCACCCTGCGAGCGTTTTTCCTCAAAGCTCCCTGTAAATAAGCCCAAAATATTGCGTGACATATGACGGTGCGGACCATCCAACCAGCCACCCACCATGGCCTGCCGGGCGATTGCAGCCATGTTATGACATCAACATGTGCAGAGAGAGAGAGGTCAATGATTCTCAGACTAAGGCAGTCGGTTGGTTGGTCGGTTGGGTTTCAGGCAAATTGATTAGCCGTATTTGCGTTTCAACTGAAACTTTGGGTATGAAAAAATAAAGAGTTTTAAACATTTAGAAACTTAAAACTGACCTCGCCCTCAAGGTGTGCGCTTTCCCAGCTAGCTGGTTAATAATGTAAAGAGGCTACACATTCCACACATCAGCACCAACTGGGTTGGCATTGAAAGCGACAGACAGTAAGGGTCAGTCTCTTTCTCTGGCAACGACGTGGCGTTATTTAAGTTGCTTTAAAACTTTATTTTGTTTTGCATTATTCTACATTCGCAGACAATGTCAGTGAAAAGTGACGAGGAGATATTGGCCAACTCCATGTATGAGGATGATCCCAATGGTAATTCAGCGCCCACGACAACAGACGATCAGGAAGTGGAGCAACCGATGGTGCATAAAGCAACGACGCAGACAGGAACGCCAATCACATCACCACGCTGGGGTCCCCAAAACAAGGGAGCACAGGAGCTGGCCTCACTCTACAGTCCAGGTGCAGAAACTCACATCATTACATATTCAATTATTCTAAATGCGAACATAACCTTTCATTACTAGAAACATTAAAATGGAAAATTTGTTAAGCCAAAATGAAAATATTAGTTAAGTGTTCTTACAATTGAATATTTTGTCAGAATATACTTTACTACTTTTTGTTTTCCGTTTCTAATCATCTTAATGGTAGTTATTCCTATGAAAACTGAAAGCCTATGAAATAATAATACTTATTAATTGTTTTTTGGATTATTTTTTAAAGGTAAACGCGCACAAGAAATATTTTGCGTCTATGCCTGCCTTGGTCTGATGGCTCTTAATCTGATTCTGATTGTGAAGCACATGCGATGGGAGCGTATTAATGTGGCCTTCGTATCCGCTTTGTGTGGCATTATAACTGCCGATTTTGCTTCGGGATTAGTGCATTGGGCGGCAGATACGTGGGGTTCTGTGGACTTACCTTTGATAGGCAAGGTGCGTAGCCATTTAATAAACTAATTGAAATCAATTTAAAGCTCTTAATATCAATCTATCATTTACAGAACTTCTTGCGACCATTCCGAGAGCATCACTTGGATCCCACTTCTATAACGCGGCACGACTTCATCGAAACGAATGGCGACAACTTTATGGTGGGCATACCAATTCTGGGCTATTTGGCGCACTATTTCTACGTTAAATCTCCATACGAGATACAACAACATTTCGGTTGGATATCCTACGTGTTCCTGTGCTCTATATTTGTGGCTATGACCAACCAGGTAAGCAGGCTGTCTATTCAAGTGTTTTGCTGGTATCGACTCCAATCTTCCTTCTGCAGATTCACAAATGGTCGCATACGTATTGGGGCTTGCCCAAATGGGTTCAACTGCTGCAAAGCTGCCACATAATCCTGCCACGAAAGCATCATCGCATACATCACGTGGCGCCACATGAGACGTACTTTTGCATTACGACCGGTTGGCTGAATTGGCCGCTGGAGCGGATCAGGTGGGTTTGTTTTTCAAATAGATTTTTGTGCTTTCCTCACTTTTGAATCATTGGCAGATTCTGGTGCACCCTGGAGATTATAATTGAACATTTTACTGGCCTCAAGCCACGCGACGACGACATGAAGTGGGCCAAGAAGCTTACATAGCTGTGCTGCTGTTGACTGTACAGAACCCTCGGACCAAACTAATGTACAAAAAGGAGGATATCCCAAATTAGAAATCAACTACAGCAGTTAATAAGACATGGATAACTAAGGATAAGGAAATGATATTTGCACAACAAAGCCATAACTTATGAAGAAGGGAAAAGACCGAGAAGCTGACTATTTTAAAGTTAAATGTTTCTTGTGAATATTTGTGTATGCGTTGGTAATGTTTTTATAACGTCTCCTGTTGATTGTTGAAATTCTTGTGTTTTGTTATTTATCGAACAATTCTCTGCACACAAAACACACATCTTAGACATATATCTATATATATATATATATATATATATATATACAATTGTAAAATTGATCTCGCTATAAATTAAAATGATGTACTAATTTTGTCAAATCGAGTGAGCCTTATGTATTAAACACAAACTATTTAGCACAAGCTTTATTAAATAAGTTTTTATGTATGTATTTATACATTTTTATAAGCGACATATTTACGGAAAGACAATTTAATAATAATAACGCGCAGCTTTAAAGAAGGTTTAAGTATATTATGAACTAAGCGCTCCATGCAATCATGTCCAATGACTTGCCAATAATGCCTTAAAATCTACTTGAAGAATTATAAGCGTGAAGAGTGTATTCGATGTGCACTAGCATAAATTAAAATAAAAAAAGCGAAACAATTAGAAAGCACATTATGACACCACAAAGCGAAACTATTGTAGTGATGATTTTATAAACGAGCTTACAAAAATAAAAACAGAACTTGCAACTAGCTTCGCCCTTTATATATGTAAGTGTATTTAAACATTTTTATGCAAACAATTAATGTGAAAGTGTGATTGTTTTTCATTACTTGCCTCGTCTATACATATGTATATGTAGAATCTGAGTGCCAGAACTGCTGCATAAGAAACTTGTACTGTAATTCTAAGAGCAATATTTCTTGTGATTAAACAGCCGATCTAAACAATAAAATACAAGTCTTTTATTTACATTCTTTTAATACCCACACACCAACTTCTTTAAAACCGAAGGATTAATCGAAGGTGGCGATGTTCTTGTCCGAGACATGGGAATATCCAAAGATATGTTCGCAATGATACACAACTATATATAAGTACTAGTGAATGTAAATTTAAGCAAAATTAATGTGCAAGGACCTTTGAAAACATTGTAAGCTAAATACAAAAATAGTTAACACAGACAAACATTTGGTTAGATTAACCAATGTAATACCAACGTGCTGCATACTTGTATGCTTTCGTTGTTTATCTGTGACAAGTCTGAGTTATTTACCTCGAAAAGGAAGTTATTATCAAGCGCAGCATACTTGCAGACACTCCCAGACTTATATGATTACAGAATTGCACAATATAGGCCTGAGAGTCCCTAATTATATACTACCAAAAATTTGGAGCTGCGGCACCGCCCTAGTTTTTGAAATAAGATGTTTGCTCCTTTACATTGCAATCACATCTCTCCGCTCTACACACAAGCCAAGCCTCTGTGATGTAATATATTTGGCGCATAAATAGAGGCGGAGCGATGCAGTGCGTTACTATATTTATACATATGTACATACGTTTTTTTTATACCCTGTACCCGTAGGGTAAAAAGGGTATATTAGGTTTGTGCAAAGTATGTAACATACAGAAGGAAGCATCTCCGACCCCATAAAGTATATATATTCTTGATCAGCATGACGAGAGAAATCGATCTAGACATGTCCGTCCGTCTGTCCGTCCGTCTGGATGAACGCGAGGATCTCAGAAACTATAAAAGCTAGAATAACCAAAGTTGGCATCCAGACTCTCCTAGATCCGAGTAAGGACGAGTTTATTATTTTTTGTTTTTAATTTTCCCCCCCTTCCCCCGCAGCAGAATTTCGTCAATAGCGTCCACATTTCAAATGCTACCTAAACCAAACTTTGCACACATAATTTATAAATAATTATCTACTGTTGTTTAAAATGTTATTCAATTCAGTCAATTCTAAGAAAAGTTATTAGCGAAACAAATTCTCGCCAGTACAACCCCCCCAAACTGCACCAACAAGTTCGCTCTTCTTCTTCCTCTTTTTGCTGCTGCTTTGGGCGCACTCAGTGACGGAAGTTTACCTGGGTACAGGGTATTACACTGTCGGGCTTGCTCGACTGTAGCGTTCTCTCTTGTTTTGTTTTTGCTTTGTGAAATCTTTTTGTGTACATAATCTCACTGTATTCGCCATCGCATTTTTCACACTTTTTCATTTATTAATGTAGTAGACACATATATTATATTATAATCTATGGATTTCTAAGACATTTCTCTACAAAATGTATTACACATTCTTTCGAATATGCTGCACTCACTGCACTGCGCCTAAAACGGAAATAATATACATATGCGCAGCCAACTTCGAGTCTTCAAACTTGTCAAGCCGGGCGCGCAGAGCAAGACACACACACACATACATATGGTATTCATTTACACACATGCCGCCATCGTGGACAAAATGGTCGCTAGTTCAAAAATATGGCGCGTGTTATGTTTGTATGATATGTACATAGTATACAAAAAAGCGCTGGGATTGTATCAGTAATCGATGGCACTCGATCGATAGATTCGATCGAACCCACTTTATTTTTAAAATTTTGATATTAGGCCACACTGAAGATTACAACAACAATTAAAATAAAGACAAGTTTCCATAAACAGCATCTATTTGTTAAAGAATGGTGTTTTTGAGAACGATTTCGATTGCTTCGAGCAGATCAAGAGCTGGCTAGCTTAGATCGGGACGGCCATAGCCTACATTTATGCATATTGCCCCTTAACATGTTGTTATGTATCAATAGGTAGGCCGCGATTACTGGTACTGGTACCCACAAATCCATTCACCACAGTTAAAACGTATTTTTTTTTTGTTTTTGTCAAAAATTGTAAAATCTTTTATTTTAATCTTAAGTCAATTAAAGTAGGCACTATTTGCTGCTCTTCACCTCCTTTAGCTGCTGCGGCATAGAAAGAGATATACCATTTATATTATAACATATCTAATGCCTATTTTGTACAATTCCTGCTGCACTTTCAACCGAAGTTCGAAATTGTTTAAAATTTTCTTAAAATTGCTTTTTTTTTAAATCAATAAATTCATATCAGGAACAGGGAAGGCAGCGGCTAGGACCCATGTAAGTTCGGATGCTGGCCACTACTATTCTGTAAAGCCTTGACTACCTCTTCTTGCAGCGAGCTGGGTGGATCAGACACAATATCCGTGTGCATGGACAGATATTTTAATTTGTTCGTGACAGCTAGACATGATAGGAAAGAAATTAGGTTAGCGAGAATTTTTGTGGATTTATTTATTGTTGACTTACCGGGTCGCAGATCGACGAGCGAGCAGTGCTGATCGACCCAGAGAAAGGCGGTACGGCGCAATTCATCCAGACTTGCGCTGGACACCGTTGAGGTGTACGATGCTAGCAGCGGTTCCAAAATAAGACCGAGCTGTAGAATGTAGGCAGAAGTAATCAAGTCAATTAGGTTTGATAATATTTTAGAATCTTGGAAAAAGTGTAAATTTAAAACTAAATTAACACCTCATACCAAAAGGGTAACAGGGCATTCTTAATAGTTTAAAATATATGTTTTAGCAATTATAAGTACATCATAGATAGTTCAGAACATGATGAGCCACATAGAAAATAATAAATACCAAATTGGGTTAAGATATCTTTATAAAGGAGTAGTTGTCGCGTTTATTTGGCACAAATTTCGATCAAATTTGGTAATTACCTTCTAAATACGAATTTTGATTGCGATTTTTCCATTTGAAGCTATATTTTTATAGCTTAATTCGGATAAGGTTTATTTTTGTATTTCAATACGTTGTTTATATTACGGATAACAAAAGGCTACATGTCCTAGCTGTTAAGGTTCAAAAGCCTAGTTGTTAGGGTTCACAAGTTAACGGTGTTCATACAGACGAACAGTCGATGGGTGGACAGTCGGGTTTATTATTTCTTCCTGATACTGATCATATATGTACCATTAACAGGGGGTTATAAAAACTATGTACTCGCTCGGCGGCAACAGGTGGGAAAAGCCGCATCTGGCAAATCACAAGGCCGTCTGACAACAACTACATGATTATGGAAACTAATACACGAAAAATTGGAGTATAAAAAAACTAATACTAAAACTAAAGCTGGGACACTTTAGCGGTGTACTTACAATCCAGAACTTCCAATTGGTCATGGTGTGGTAGCGCACATAGTTCTCGTATAATTGCCGGACATGCTCGGTGCCCTGCCGCGTAACAGGCGCACCATTTGCGGGAAGTATGGAGTGCAGATGCCTGAAACAACAATAAATAAAATATAAATTTCGATCGCTAGGCGTCTCCACAATGTGCCTTGTGTAAAACTCACATCAGCGAGTTGTTTAACGCATCGCGTTCCATGCGCAGCGACTCGATTTTGTCCTTCAGCCCATTACGCTCCTGTCGCAGGTGTTTGATGTGATCGGCGCCCTTTTGGAGCATGGCCGCCTTGCTGAGCTTGGCATTCGGATTCTGTTGGAGCTGTGGTATGAGTGAGTGTAGCGTATCAAAGCCATTCTTGATGTTGTAGCGACGCTTCTGCTCGGCGTGTATATGGCCGGCACGGCGTTGCGTGTCACGCGGCTGATACTTGAGACAGGCCGTGGGTGATAGCGGCGAGTCCTGCGAGTCGTGGAAAGGCGAATCGGGCGACAGACTCAGACTACTTGTTGTAGTTGTGTTTGTGTTTTGTTGCTGAGCCGTTAGCGGGAAACTGAGCATTTTGGCGCCACCGGGCGGACTATGGAGCGCGGGCTTTGCTGAAGCTATTGGCAATGAGGCGGACTTCTTTGGTGAGTGTTGCTGCGCAGGCGCATACGTTTGCGGTTTGGGTGGTGAGGGGACGGCGACAGCATACAACCCAGCGTTGTTGCTGCTGTTGCTGGCGATGGCACTTGTTGAAGAACTGAGCTGTAATTGTTGCTGCTGTTGCTGCTGCTGCTGGATGTGCTGCGACGACTTGGCGCCTAATGACGCCGCCTGACGCTTGTCTAAGGAGGAGGCGGTAAAAGGAATTAGCTTATTAAAATCAGAAAAGGCATTTCTCCAATTACTCACTGGACGTTAAGAGTTGGGCGAGCGTGCTGTTTAGCATGGGATCGCTGGTGGTTTGTTGCATTTGCTGCGTCACCAGCAGATTGCTAATACTGCTGCTACCGCTTGATCCGGCCCCGGTATGCTGATGCATAGAATTGCTGCGGATGCGCGATTTACCCTTCACATGCAACTTGGGCACGGCGAAATGCTCAGGCAGCAGCTGCCGAGCGTCCGGCAATTTGTTTAGCGACACATTGAGTGGTAGACTGTTGGAGCGATGCATTTCTTTGGGCAAGATATTGGTGTTGGGTGTAGGCCAGGGAGTGCTTACATTAATCGCGGACTGTACTTGTGTTTGCTGCGGAGGTGACATAAGTAAACTGGCTACAGTTTGTTGCTGTTGCAGCTGCAATTGTTGTTGTTGCTGTTGTTGTTGTGGATTGTTTGCTTGCTGTTGGCGCGCCAGCTGCAACAGTTGCTGGTTACTAAGACCCAGCGACAGCGTTTGCTGCATTTGCAATTGTTGCTGCTGCTGCTGTTGCTGTTGTTGTTGCTGCTGTTCGTGCAAGTAATTGGGGCTTCCGCCCAATTGTTGCTGCTGTTGCGGTAGACGTGGAACATTGAGAAAAGTGCCAGTTGATGCAGACTTCTTGAACAGCGGATAGGGCTTGTAGCTGTGGGAGTTGGAGTTGTAGGGTTCGTTAAGCAGCGCCATAACATCCGCAGTATTTGGCTCGACTTTAACGCTGAGCTGTTGTTGCTGCTGCTGCTGCTGTTGCTGTACCTGCAGCTGTTGCTGCGGATAGCTATCAACATAGCCAGCTAAAAAGTTTTGTGCATTAAACATCGACTGTTGTTGCTGCTGCGGCTGCTGTGCCTGATAAGAACTCGACTGCAACACTACTCCGGCATTTAAATGGTGCTGCTGATTCTTTTGCTGCTCGGCCAGCATCTGCTGATAGATGGTTGTCTGATGGAGCGTTGGCTGAGCCTTGTCATAGTTGTGTGGTTCACGTCTAAATGGACGCTGCGTGCTCTTGGCCACCCGTCCATTGATTACGCTCTTGCTGGGGAAATTGTCGCTGGACGAACAGCGATTGCTGCTGTCATTGCCACCAATAGCACCAAAGTGTTTGACGGTATGGGGTCGCGTCTGGTTCTGTGTCTGTGTCGCCAACGTACCATCGTTGAGCAGTAAATTGTTCTGCTGTTGCACCTCCGCGTTCTGTTGAGCCTGCTGACGCGCCACTACAAACTGTTGCTCCAGCTGGGCATATGGCATTGTGTTGATCGGTGTATTCAGCTCGAGCATATTGGCGTCCACCTGACCACTGCCCGACGTTACGTCCATCATGCTGTCGTTACTAAAGAGCGTATGCGATGCACTCGTAATAGAAGAAAGGCCGAAGTCATCGCCTTTCAACATTTCAGCATCGGTGCCCTCCTCGGGCACTGGTGGCAAGCGTGTGTTCGGCAGCAGATCTGTAATGAGTCGAACATAGAGATAAGCAACGAACTAATTTCATAATTAATGAACATTATTTACCGGAGAACGATATGTCGATATCATCTAAATTCGGTTGCAGCGGACCCAAGCTGGGCTGTATGAAATCGGCAATTCCAGCACCGCGAGCTATTAAGTATTAATTACGTTATTACATTAAGTACGATTTATAGCAAGATATAGCTGTGCACTTACCGATTTCTCTGGAGTCAGGAAATGGAAACGGACCATTTATAGCCGAGAATAGAGTGTCCGTGGTCCAGTCATCTGGCATTAGGTTTCTATCGTTAAGCGGTGACCATTCCAAGAAGTCTAGCTCGCTCTTCTGGAAGAATGTCCGATAAAGAAGAACGGTTTTAATTGGTATAAAATATAATCATTAAATAGAGAGTAGAGTACAAATACTTGATTATATACATCCTGTTCAGCTTGGCGAGACCATTTTCTCAAATTCGTACATTTGCCAAAAAAAATTCCAAGAATTACGGGAGTTATGGAAATTTACTAATGGTCTCCGAGATATATGTGATTATACGAAGTGGGGGGTGTATCAAAAAATAAAACAAACTCGTATAGCGTGCACACATAAAGCGTTTGGTGTCTCTATCTCTTATAGTCTCTGAGACCTAGGTGATCATACGGACGGACAGACAGACATAGACCGACTCGTGTTGCCATGCTGATCAAGCATATATATACTTTGTGGGGTCTGCCACGCCTCCTCCTACTACATTTTTCACGTCCCGCAAACCTAATATGTATACTCTTGCACATTTTATGTACAGAGTATATAAATGGTGCACAATGACTTTCCTTTGGATACCCGCTATAATTAATTGTCCCAACCCTTTAGTATAATTATGAAATTGTTTATGGCTTTTACAAAAGTTCACCACCTTTCAGTACTGCAACAAAGTAGTTGGCGGTTATTATTCAACCCTCGGGGTTTGTTGGCCTAACTTAATTTATCGATAATAAGAAAAGGCCAACCAACCAAGCGTTGATAGTTGGTTCTAGTAAGCAAAACATTGAGCAAGAGCCAACATGCAGTCGGCACTGCTGTTGGATTATTTAAAGATACACCGTTATTTGGGCATTTGTAGTGTCGATTACGAAAGCTGTCGTCTCCGACATAGTTTTTCCATTTACATATTTCATGGTGTGCTTCAGGCGACTCTATGCTGGTCCATTTATACAGTGTGCTACCATTTGAATAAAACAGTGATTGAGATACAGTTTGATCAATTGCTTTTAGTTGTAGCATGCATTTCCCTAACAATGTTGCTCTGCTGGATGAAGCTACAGCAGAAAAGGCATTCCAAGATGCTGCGCCGCTTACTCAAGTTGGCGGATCGATGTGATTCCCCATTTGTCATACCACAATGGTTGCTGCGAAGCTGGTTCGTCTGCTCTTTGGTTCAAGTCATCACTACTGTATATTTTTGTTTAAAGAGCGCTGATTTTTCAATTTACACTTACGTGCCTATGCTCTGTTATTTTCTGTGCAATATTTACTTCAATTTTATCGTTACGTTCCACGGGGCTGTGGTTTCTCTGATGTATGAAATGTTGCGCAGCCAGAGGAGGCGGATTGCGATATCATTGGAACGGAAAATCCTCAACGAACTTGAGCTGAAACGCTGCCTAACAATTCATAATGAAGTCATGTTCATCTGCGAGACACAAGTTAATGTCATCTATGGTGGAATGTTTCCCATGCACATGCTCAACGGTTCCTTAAACATTTCCTCCATAGTGTTTTTTATACTGCAAAGCGTTCCATTTTGGAGCTATGTTTGGATACTTATCTGGCTGGTTCCTATGATATTCTACGTACTGATGACGCTGTTGCACAATCAAATTGACGAAGAGGTGAGTAAATACTTGTATTTTCATTTACTTTTAAAGAAACATGAACCTCCTTTTCAGAGGTTGTTTTTTCAATGCGCCCCAATCATGTTTTTCTTATAAGTATGGATTGCATTCCCAATTTTTTTTTACCAAGTTTATCTTAAGAGAAGGGCTATTCCTTATATGGAATGGCTAATCGTTAAGGCCTGATGACACTAGGCTAAAATAAAATTGAAGTTCATAAAGCTAGTTGTTGAATATTGTTGTAGTCTTTTCTTCTTTACTATAATCTTTTTTTGTGGTTTAGTTTATAGTGTAGTTTAGTGTCGAAGGACCGTTTCACTTACTTAAAAACAACAACTAAATTAAACGATTCATGTTGAATATTTCAGTTTAGAACAATATTACACTACTTTTAATTGTTTTAACTAGTCTTCGTTTTCCATTCATGCGCATCGTAAACGGCTTTCACCCTTCCACGAGGGCTTTTACAATATTAGCGTTCTGCAGGTTGCTTCAGTATGCTTTGACATGTCGCTGGGTGCTGAATTGCGTGTCTATTTGATAACGCTTAAATGTTTAGGTCTTCTTTGTATTACACACAATGCTCGAACGGCATACACGACACACGTCTCCAGTGCTGATGAAATTATTGGACTAACTGGCTTTGTCACAGCCCAGTGCGCCGCGTTCGTATCCCTTTGCTATCTCGCGATGGTACCGCAAAGTTTTCAACTCCCAGAATACAATCCGGTGGGCAATATGTATCTAATTATTAATTATGGTTTCGCGTGCGCTCTCGTCGCTCTTATATATTTGTACTTCTTTGTGAAGCGGAGTAACTACGCAAAGCTCCTTTCCCTTCTGCTACACCAAAATCGGGAGATACTGAAAAATGTTCACGCATCGCGCTCCTTGCGACTTTACGTCCTCAATACTGTATTGATTGCGCTTTGCGGCTTTATCTATTCGAAGGCCTTTTCACACTCCGAAGTCGCGCCACTGCCTTGTTTCCTGCTGACAGTGTTCTCCACCTATAGCTATGTCCTTATTGGCCTCCTTATTGTTTTCTACAATTGTCTGGCACAAATCTTTGCCGATTTGTTGAGTGCTTATAATCGTGAGCTAGACGGGTGTACTTCGAGTAAACATATTAGGTTATGTCTGCAAAGGCAAAGCCATATTCTTTGGATTTGTCGCGAGCAGTTTAACTCTAACTTTGGACTAATTATGGTACCAATGGTGGCATATATACTACTAATAGCACCAGCTGCCCCGTTCTTCCTTATAACAATCGTTTTTGAGATGGATGCACGGGATGTGGGCCTAAGAAACATGGGGCATGCACTCTCCACAACACTGTTCTGGAATGTTCCGTGGATAATATCGCTTATGCTAGTGCTCCGCAATGATGTAGTATGGAAAGAGGTGCGTAGATGTCATTACTTTAATTTTTAATTACGGTGCAAATATTTCCACTCTCGAATGAGGATAACTGCACTGAAAATGAATTGTTGATGTAGTAATTACTTGATTAGTTTGCTGTCGGGTCTCATTCAAGCGTGAAATTATCGTTACTTTTGCCCTAGTCTGGAAGGTCTAGCCCACTTTTACAAAATCCTAAAAGGTCAGTCTCTAAAGTGTTATGAAACCATTTAGTGAGCTTTACATTTACTATCGCATCTGTCGATATACGGGTATCTTGTGCATTGACTACGATGTTAAGAAAGACAAATACCGACTTCAAAACAACCTTTCCTATAATGTTTTGTTCTTCGCGAAGCAGACTTATATTGTTGTGTGCGTGCCTATAGTTTTCTTTTGTTGGAACCAATTTTATCCGTTCGCTATAACAACTACGGGCAAACATGTTGATCACGTGCTGCTTCTTGCTGTCCTGTTCACGCAGCTTGTCCAAAATATTTGGCTTTACTCGGTTCGAGAATGCCACTTAGAAATAGTGCAGGAACTTGAGCTATGTCGATGGAAGTATCTACCACACATCTCTTTGGAAATGCCTAAGCGATTGATGTGGATCTTACTAATTATGAACATGTTATACGCCATATTGTTCGTGAAAAGCGTCATCTTTGACCGGTGGAGTGAGTCTCCGCTACTATTGTTCTTCACCTGTATGGCATATCCGCTGCGTTTCTTGTTTACCAGCTGCACCCTGGGTACCTACTTGTGCCTTATAGAGATCGTACGGAATGTTTTGAGATGGAACCGCAAGCGGATTCAAGAGTTGGTTAACCAAGTGGAGCATTCTAATGAGGGATACTTAGATTTTCTTCGGTTACGTGGATATATTAATTTGCACGACAAAATGTTTCTTCTATGCAACGATGAGATCAGCTTGGTATACGGCTTCATAGTATTGCTGTGCATAATCATTGATTCAATTGATATGGCCAACATAATCTACATGTCTATGGTAGCTGCGACTATAACAACTATACGGGACCACTGGCTTGAGTATTTTGTTTGGTTGGGCCCTACTTTGATGTCGTGTGCGGTGGGCCTAATGAGTAATAGGATAGGCTTGGAGGTACGTGCCGAAATTCACTTAACCTTTGTATAAAAGTTGGTTACCGATACATCAAATCTAGCAATTTATTAAACTTCCCTAGTATCACTTAAGCAATTGCTATATATCTATTACCACTCTTTTTATTAGTTAACTTATTGAAATTGTTATCGAACCCAGCATTTGTAAATGTATATTTTATGACCACCACTCATTTATAGTTGAATAGCTTTCGGAAATATTACAGTAGTGAGAATGAGGTGCGTATACGCCATTAGCTTAATTTTAAATTATAGAGGAACTTTTTCCACTCTTCAATGGGGTTTTATATCAACTGCACTGAAAATTAAATTTTTATGTCGTAATTACTTGATTGGTTTATTATCTGCAGCCGTTGTTGTCAGATCTTCATGGTTGCTTTTGTCTTACCTAGAAGGTCTAGCCAACTTTTACAAAAGTCTGAATAGTCAGTCTCTAACGCATTATGGAACCAATTAGTGAGCTTTACATTTACTATCGCATCTGTCGATGTACGGGTGTTTTGGCAATTGACTACGATGTTAAGAAAGACAAATACCGACTTCAGAACAATCTTTCCTATACTGTTTTGTTCCTCGCGAAACTGGCTTATATAGTTGTGTGCGTGCCTATAGTTATCTTTTGTTGGAACCAATTTTATCCAATAGTTATAACAACCACGGGAAAACACTTTGATTACGTTCTGCTTCTTGCCGTCCTGTTCGCGCTGTTTGTCCAAAATATTTGGCTTTACTCGGTGGAAGAATGCACCTTAGGAATTGTGCAAGAACTGGAGTTATGTCGATGGAAGTATCTACCACACATCCCTTTGGAAATGCCTAAGCGATTGATTTGGATCTTACTAATTATGAACATGTTATACGTCATATTGTTAGTGAAAAACACCATCTTTGACCTGTGGAGTGAGTCTTCGCTACTATTGTTCTTCACCTGTATGGCATATCCGCTGCGTTTCTTGTTTACCAGCTGCACCCTGGGTACCTACTTGTGCCTTATAGAGATCGTACGGAATGTTTTGAGATGGAACCGCAAGCGTATTCAAGAGTTGGTCAACCAAGTGGAGCATTCTAATGAGGGATACTTAGATTTACTTCGGTTACGTGGATATCTTAATTTGCACGACAAAATGTTCCTTCTATGCAACGATGAGATCAGCTTGGTATACGGTTTCATAGTAATGCTGTGCATAATCATTGATTCAATTGATATGGCCAACATAATCTACACATCTATGGTAGCTGGGACTATAACAACTTTGCGGGAGCACTGGCTTGAGTACTTTGTTTGGCTTTTCCCTACTTTGATGTCGTGTGCGGTGGCCCTAATTAGTAATACGATAGGCTTAGAGGTACGTGCCGCACTCACTTAAACTTTTCTATAAACGTTGCTTACCGAGTGATGAAATCTAGTAATTTAAATAACACTGTTAATTTTACCGAAACAATTACTTTTTAGCTATTACGAATTTTTAATCAACTGGAGAAGTCGAGTTCTTATTCGAATTCAGAACTTGTAAATTTACATTTTATATGGCACGATCATTTATCACCCAATAGCTTTCGGAAACGTTACAATAATGAGACTAAAGTGCGTATGCCATAAGTGGAATTATTTTTGATTTGTAGCCGAGATGTACGTACGGTATTTAAATTGGTTAGATTCGCTGGGAAAGTGATCAGTGAGTACCAACATAAGACTATTCGACACTCAAGTGGGGCAAATCAGGATATAAAATAATTTAAGTAAGATGCTATCCGAGTTGACGAAAGTCACGAGACCTCATTAAGTTATACTTCTTTCATAAAAGTGATTTGATTACGTTGGATTCGACTTATAAAAATTAATCGGATATACATATCATCTAAAGTGGTGTAAAGAGTTCATGCCAATTAGTTGATTAGAACATTATCTATAACAACCATTCAATCGTGATCTATATAGGTGTAGTCGTGCACTGACCTACGCATCCATTTGACTTGTGTTTCTGTTCAGCTCACTCGCGAATGAGTATCAGTGTGAGCGGACTTTCGGATTTTATATTGGAGCATACATATTAACCGGTCGTTTGCTGTTTATCATATTTTTAATGTGTCGATATATCATGAAAAATAATATGATTCTTGTTATGTGAAAACACTACTTATTGTCCTGCTCTCGTATGCTCGCATTCACCAGCCCTCCTATCATGAACAGGCCAAATGTCGGCAGATACTGTTATATAATCTATGCAGATAATCGGCAGGACTTACGCACTAGCCAAATAAAACACATAGGTACTTAATTAGCTGAATGTGGCCAGTCAGTGTTGTTAGTCCTTCTGGGCATGTCCGTGAATCGCGACCTCCGCTTGTACCTTCGAGTACTATATTCATTAGGCATGCTTTGCGCCGAATTCGACGTGGGGACCTGTACCTTGCACGTTACACGTAGTTCCGAGCGCTACGCTTGGTTCTATACGCTAGTAATACTCTCTGCAGCGATTGCCCTTTTTATTTATGCTCACATTGAGCCAAAACAGTTCTATTTGCCAAACTATAATAGAACCGGAAATTTTTACGAGACGGTGAACTTTCGCAGCTCCTGTATGGTGCTGTGGCTTCTCTATGTCTGCTTTTATGTACGGCGACATCGTCACGCGGCCCTAGTTCAAACGCTGCTAAGACTCAATAGGCGCTGCATAGATCTAAAACTGCAACGACGTTTTCTCGGAAATTTTGTGCTGTACGTCATGTTGTTTCTACTCTGCGTGGGCAACTATTTGAACGGATTTTCGCAATCGGGTCTGTCTCCGTTCGCTATAGCTGTTTACATGATCACATACAGCTACAGCTTTCTCGTCATGTGTCTGCTTCTGGTCTTTTTTGATTGCCTTAGGTGGATTTTGACCTCAGGAATCCAGCATTATAACCATATATTGCAGCGCAACTCGCCCCAGATATGGCGAAAAGCCTTGCACGCACGTCAGAGTCTTATTAAGCTGGGTACAGATGAACTAAATGAGTGTTTCGGTCTTCTCTTTCTACCCATTATCGCGTTGGTATTACTGGTTGCCAATGATGGTCCTTTTTATCTGATTAGTACCGTGTTTGAGTCTAAGTTCGGCAGTGGATGGCAAAGCCTAAGCATTGGTGTGACTGCCTGCTTCTGGAGTATGCCCTGGTTGATAATGCTAGTAATGCTGCACAATAATACTCTGTCGGAGGAGGTGAGTGATTGGCCAATTGGGATACTGTCTGTCGTTCGGCTAAAATTTGGTGGACACAAAACCAGCAGAGACGTCACTTATTGTTGGCCCCCAATTAAGGGGAGTGTATGTACGCCAGCATAAAACTAATGATAAGAATTGTTATCAGATGTGTACTGTGTTTAAACACTTGTATAAATATTAAATAACCATTGTTTTAATCCCTTGATTGTAGAAACTGCCTTGTAAAATTAGTCTTAATATGTCTGCAGGAAATTCGATAGCTGTAAGGTTTATCCCTACATTTCTTATTACATTGATGTAGTTACAAATTTTCTTTCAGGCCAACAAAACAGCTAAAATATTAGCAAAGATGCCGCGAACCGGTACGGGCTTGGATAGAATGGTAACTCAAGTCAATGGAGCTGCAGTTCGAAGTTTGTTTCAGTTTTATTTTTAATTTAGGTGGACAAATTCCTGCTCAAGAACTTGCGTCAACAGCCCATACTAACTGCCTATGGTTTTTTCGCGCTAGATAAGAGCACCTTGTTCAAAGTGCGTAAAATATTAGCATTTGCTTGGCTACATGTATGTGATAAATTCTCTATTTTTAGCTCTTTACGGCCATATTCACTTATATGGTTATATTGGTGCAATTCAAGGAAATGGAAAACTCCACAAAGTCCCTACAGGCTTACCAATTGTAGAACGAATCATGGGAAAACTTATGTATAATATAAAACTTACCGAATCATAGGTCAAGCAGCCTGTTGCTTTTGATTTATAATTTTTGCGCCATTTTCTGTATTCAGCCTTAATGACAGCCGAATGACGTTTCCAGTACTTGCCTTCAAGTACTACGGTCTGTATAAAGAGGAGAGATAGGGAAAGAGAATGGAAATATAATTGTAAACAAAAGTAAATATGTTTTGGCTTGATTACGATTAAAAAGAATTAACGTTCATAAAAGCGAGCTGCTTGTTTGTAATCACTTGGAATAAAAATCTCTTGACAAATACCTTGCACATTTTGAAAGGTGGGGTAAAAAATTTAGATATATACTATAGTAAGTGTGTCCCACACCACGTTCTTTTCACAACTGATTTCCAATCACTTAAATTCAATAATGGACGAACATAAAATCCTAATATTTTATGTCGCCCATTATAATACTTTTATTTTTAGTGTTAAGTTAGCAGTTTCTATTTGGTATACGACGCTTCTAATTTCTTAGTTTCCACATTAGAAACGCAAAAAAAACGTATAGCTCGATAAGATAAATCTTTTTGTGAGTATAGCGTCGAGTTGATGTGAGTTTACAACCAAAGCGCTACGATAAGATGATAAGCTCACAAGAGTGTGCGCTGTGTCAGCAAATTACGATAACAAAAAAAAAAATTGGGAAATATTATAAAAAGGGTGTGTACTCGAGATATGAATGCTCTGGTGTCCAGTTGAGTGGGGGAAGATACTCAAATCTAATCAGCAGATACTTGTAAAGCTGTAAAAAGCAGTCCACAAAGAGACAAACCTAAATTTCCTGAATCTTCGTTTATTGGTCCCGAAAACTGACCCAGAGTTCAATGGCATTTTGATCATCCACAAGTGGGCAAGTGATTACCAGACAGACATACATGTGTACTCGCGTGTTTAAAATCTCAGATTATAAATAAATATGCCAAGCCGATAGGTTACAGATTGCCAAATTTAGACAGAATTGGTTGCCTGCTGCTTATCACGTGCTGCACGCCAGAGGGCAGACAAAGGGGAAGACACTTATCTTATAATAAGTAGCGAGGTGCGTTGATCATGCGTCGAGCAGGTGATCAAACAAAAAAACATTAAATATAATAAATATTGCTAGACGAATAGCGATACGAGGCTGGAAAAGAATTGACATTCCAATTCCAAGAAATGGGGGAACAGCAACTAAGAAGCAGCGAAAAATCTCAGTTCTAACTGAGTAGGCTAAGCCACTTTTCTAAGTATTTGCTTGTTGCTAGTTTGAGCTGGGAAGTTGAAATTGTTTTCAGAGGCAACATACGATATTGTTGCTTTTAAATGGAAAATATATAAAACTCCATTTCGATTCAAATATTTTCGATATATAGCGATGCAAACTACTTTCTTGAAAACTACGATAGATAAATAATAAACATTATGGTCAGGAGCAAATAATTTGATCACAAATTCAGTTAATTTTTTTTTAAATTAATGTTAAATGTAATGCTCTATTATCTGTTCAGTTTTATTATACTCTGTACATGAAATGTACAAGAGTATACTAGGTTTGCGCGACCTGAAAAATGTAATAGGCAGAAGGAGGCGTGGCGGTCCCCACAAAGTATAAATGTGTTCTTGATCAGCGTGACGAGTCGATCTAGCCCTATCTGTCTGTCTGTATGAACCCCTGGATCTCAGAGACTATAAGAGCTAGAGACACCAAATTAGACACAAAGATGGCTTATGTGTGTACGCTGTGCAAGTTTGTTTTATTTTTTTGCTTTTCTCCCCCACTGCCCCCCTATGGGGGTTTTCCCGATTTTCCATTCGTATAATCGCCTATATCTCGGAGACTATAAGACCTAGGGACACCAAATTTTAGTTCAAAATGCCTTATGTGAATAACTCCAGTTAGTGATTATAAGTTGAAATGCCATAGTGATTTAACAGGAAGTTATATCCATATATGTATATGAGACCAAGCAGTGCCCGCAGCTGTTGTTGTTGTTACTGCTTTCTTAAGGCAAACAGACACACACAAACACACACATACAGGCATAATTATTCTACACGGGATACTCGACTTTTGCTTCTCTACTTGTTTTTGATTACAATTTGCATTCGCAATACAGCTATTCAACTTTTGTGGGGGATCTGTTATAGGCCAATCAAACAAAGCTATGAATTTCGCGTTTATTTTTGTTTTTAGTTCGGAGCACTATGGGAAACGTCAGTTGGTAATACTTACTTGAGGATTACTATGTATGTCAACGTCCAGCGGCGATGCGAATTGACACACCGGCGTTCTGCGCTTTTGTATGACTGTAAAGGGGAATAAAAACACGATTTAGCAAAGAGTGGGCAAAATTGTGATAAGATTTTGAATATAGATAGCAGGCTGGGAATGAGATAGATGCTAATGTTGGGCGGCTCACACGTGTGGGCCGCCATTTGGGGGCTGTGTCGCATTTACGGGTACTACTAGACTATATTTCACAATAAGTCAACATTCTGATACTGTAGAACATAAACCCACATGGCAAATAATACAGCTAGAGATAGGCGATTAAAAGCAAGACAAAAGGTAGTTAGCATTATAAATAGAGCTAAAATTTTCCATTTGACGTCGCCTCAGACCGTTGATAATCGTTGCGAGTATCATCATCTCGAGGCTTTGTGGCACAATGGTCATCTCACTCGCACATGTGATGTAACGTGGAATTTTTTGAAGAAAAATATAAAAAAATGAAGAACTGTTGACTGAATTGAGGGTCATTTGTATTTTGTAAGATTCCGTTTGGTGATTACCGAAGTGCCGCAGAGCGTCAAATATGATTGGCTTCAAATTGTTATTACATTGATGCAAAAACAAATCGAAATGATATTTAAACAAAGGCAACAACAAGTGCGCCAGATGACTGATAAGTCGGTTACGCTGATAACACGAAAGTGCGTATTCACCGCTGCCGATGTGGTTGTCGGCAGACATTTCTTGGTCAACCGCCTGGCAACGCGGACACAATTGTTTAAACATACAATTGTGTATACATATAATGAATAATGTCTGGAGGCAGCCAAACGTGTCCAAAGAAAAGAAGCAAATTTTAGTTATTTCTAATCTAAATGGCGCCACAGTTTGTTTTACACTCATAATACAGATAGCATTGTCAGGGTAAAATGTATTTCTTATGGGAAAAGATTATACTAACGGATATATTATGTATGGGATTTACTTACATTGCATATGCCAGCAACGCCAGATGACATTGTTGAGACGTATTTTGTCCTTCCAACGTAAACGGACACCCTTGAAATGATTCCATTTTGGTGAGGTCAGCTTTTGGCTGCAAATGGAAAAAATATTCAAATTTTAATTGATGTTATAAAAACTGTACGGAACTGTCCGAGATAGGTACTTGGCGACAAACAAATGTATTTGTGTGTATATACATACATAAAGATGTATGCAGCAAACACTTGATTCTGCGGACGGTGCCCGCCAATACGTATTACTCATACACCTCGTGTTCGATCTATGATGTAGCGTATTTACTTTATTCAAAAACAATAAACAAATAGCTTTAATAAATAAATATTATATAGCTACCAATCTATATACTGTTATGTATTCCAGCATGTCTAAAAATATCTGGCCTCCTAACCCACAAGCACGTTAATCTTGAAACGAATCTTGGCAGAATTTATACAGCAAGTGCGCCAAAAAAGCAAATCATAATAAGAGGTAGAAGTAGAATGGGTTTCCCTATTGCCGCTCTTTCTCGATAATATTCCTATATAAATGCAGGTTGAATTTTCCAAATTATGTTCACAATAAACACAAAAAATGTGCATTTCCTATCGCATCCAATTAAATGTTCTATTAGGTATCAATATTGATATCAATATGAATGCACACATGTATATACAAGTATATGTATAGTTTAATATATATTGTTTTGTAGTAATTAGTAGACGACCACATAAGACCGGCCTTTGTTATTGTTTTCGATGATTCAGTATGAAATACTAAACAAACAACGGGTGCATTTGCTATTCCACTTAGTGCACACCCTCCAAAGAGCTCAGATACATACATACTTGTAGGTGTGTAAGCAATGCTAAAAATGCATAACAAACTAGTTGAAGTGTTTGTAGCACTTGTTGCGGTTGGGTTTACTCTGTACACGGCTCCGATCATGATACAAATGACGTTGTACGCCGATTCGATGAATATAAGAATTAGAACGGCCTACTCAAGAATTATATTTCAATGTACTACTCGTATATGTTAAAAGCCCATGATTTACATAAAGAAATAATAACTAGGACAACTTTTTGTATACAAAATAAAAGACGAAATTTGAATTATTTGTTTATGTTATCTTCTCTTTCTTTAGTCTTAAGACTGTTACGTCATTAGTAATAAAAAAAAGCTGTCTACGAGACAACCTTAACCATGAGGCTCGTTTATGGAATTTTGGGTTAATGAAATTTTAATTTTATTTCGTCTACTATCAAACAAGTTTCTGCTCAACAATTTGTTTGTTCACTCAATACGGAACTCGTTTTTATGTATCAACGTTTTCAGACAATAGATATTGGTAGCTCTTGATATGAGCCTACATGTGAATGGATCTGAATTAATGATTACAAGTACCTATCTTACATAAATGAAAGAATGAGAAGAGATTTTGATAAAACTATAATGAGGGAGTATTTAAGAGTATTAAAGTATTAAAGAGTATTTAAAGAGCTAGTATTTTTTTGAATCAGTCGTACCTATGGCAGTGACTTGTCTTTACGATTTCAGAAAACACTTCTAGATAAGATGATTTGATGACTAAAGGCCTGAATGAACTTTTCAATTGGGAGGGGAAAACAACAAATAAAGAGTACGTGCTTAAACCCAAGTTAGGTGCAACAAAAATGCATAAATACAAAATTGATATTGTTTGATTTGAGATGACGTTTGCAGAAAACGCTGTCAACGAAATGGGAAGCCGATTAATGCGAAGTTCAGTACTGTAGTCAAAGTAACCTGAGCAGCGACGACAACGTTGACGACGACGAAGACGCCGGCAGTGCCGTCGACGTCGAAGCAACATGTGAAGTCGGCAATGGTCAGCGGATTGGATGTGGCCCTATCATGCGGCAGGTGCATGGACAGCGGCCCAATAACTTGGAGCTCGCTCACGTGTCGCTCTCACTCACCTGTAGGCTAGATTCATGCATTTGAAGAGCTTCGTCAGCGAAGTTTCGATCTCTAAATGGGAGGTGATCATGCTCATGCTGTTCTCATCGCACTCCTGATCCGTGCGGGAGAAATGGACGACTGTCTTCTGTGGCACATATAGTTGAACATCGCGACACGTGTTCGGTTGCTCGCCCGCCTTGTCCAGACTGGGATCCTCGGGATCGAGCATTTTTACCTCGCCATCATCTTCGAGATCATCTTGCGCCTCCTCAGCCTCAAAGTGCGAGACCATGAACTGGCCCGAGTGTATGGACTCACGTTCGGCCGAATCAGCAGAGTTAACGCTGCTGGCGCCAGCATTGGTCAACGTATTACCATTGGGGAAACTGCATATGCCAGTTGCATCGCCGCTGACATACTGGAGCTGCTGGAATTGGTGGTGCTGGTTGGTTTGATGGTGCGGATACATGGTGTGGCTGTTGGTTGTGCGTTGGTAGCTCTCGTATTTGTTCAGCATCATTTTAGTGATGAGCAATGGGTTTGGATTTTAGGCTCCGGGCAATGTTTTAAAAATATGATTGGATTTTGGGTATTTTGAGCGCGCTTTATACTATGTTTAGGATTTCTATTTTGTATAATTTTCACACTATCCAGTCAACATTTTGTTGGTTGGCTTTTTCTTATTTTTATTTTGTAAATTTTATTGCTGATCTGCTATATTTTGTGATCATGCGAAATTTATTTGAGGTTTTACGGAATTATTTTTAGCACAATGAAGAGTTGATTAATTAAAATCACACGCACAAAATGTTTAATGATCGACTATTGTTGCTGTTGTTGTTTTCTAACATGTTGCAAATAAATGGTTATATGTATACAATTCTATTTGCCCAGATAGAAGTTGTGAAATTATCTATCTATGTATGTACTATTTTGCGTTGTTGTAATAGAATAATTCACACCAAATTCAATTCATTAAATACATAATTTATTAACACTTTACGCCCGGCTGTCATTTGCTCTAATATGCACTTGTTGCTTTATTATTTTTTCGATTTTGTTTCAAAAGCAAACACGCCCAGTTTTTTACGCGTTTGCCGTTATATATATACATGTATATACATACATATATAAACGTACGTATGCAGATACGTCACAATAACTATGCATACATATGCACGTGTTTGAATAATCACGAAACGCGCGCACACCAACAACAAATACACAATGTCGAAAATAAGACGTCAAAGCAGTGGAAATTGTGGCTGATAATGTAAATTCACTTGCCACTGTTGCTATTATTATTATTGCTCTGATGGTAGTCGCTATTTCATTGAAACTCACGTCAACGCACGCTCGGTATTATATATATCTCACATTTATTAATTTCGGTTCTGGCAAGTGCCATCCAACGACGATGCCTTATTCATTTCACAAACGGAACTGATCGTGAAAACAAAAACTGCGAGCAGCTAGTGGCACACACAATCAAAACAAGAAAAACATTATCAGTGGGTTGACCGAAGATTGCATACCCTCCATACCTAAGCATTTACGAAATTAATTTAAATTCTAACGTATTTAAATTATAGAAAAATATGTTTTGCTTCAAATTTGTGAACGACTAATTAAAATTAAACTTTTTGGTTTTCATTTAAATATTATTTTTGAAAGCCAAGTCAAAAGGCAAGACCGACTTTTTGGAGAACGGAAACTATGTGTGGGGATATTAGACATTGTATATGTATTTAATTTTCCGATAAGAGTTACGGCGAGGATGTACCATAATAATGAGGTTCATTTAGTTCCAGCCTGCATGTTTTGATAGTTTTTGTTTTGATTTCTGTAATTCGCAAACGCGCTTGGAAAATGATGTGTGAAACGGTAAGTGAAGAGTATTACAACAGAGAACAGCTGATGCGCGTACCACAGAACCATACACTCAAACACATATGTAGACTGTAAGGTTGTATGTACTTGTTATCAGCATTGGAATTTTTTGGCGTTGCTTTTAATGGTCCAACGTTGCCTGTGAATGGCAGAGATAGCAAGAAGTAGAAGAAAGACCATAACAAAAATATTTAATGCAAAATTATACACTTAATAATAGAGTGTCCAATTGCCATAAATAATTGAACTCCAAAATCTTGAATTTTGGCTTGGCAGCTCTCTCCCTAACACAGATACATAATCACACGCGCAGGGGTCACTGTCTGTTCTATTTACGTCATCGTTTGTACCTGTTTTTCGCGCTGCATATTTAATATTGCACTTCATAATGTTCACACTGGGGACCAGTGTATTTTGTGATGATTTCTTTAACATTTTCGACAGCTCCGCGTGCACTTTTGACCTCTGTTTGTTTTGTGGGCCAGAAAAAAGGCTCGGCCTACAAACACACACACATTCACTCGATATTTTACGGCTTCAAATCGCGAAGTTGAAGCATTTCCATAGTAATGGCGTTTACGATCGCGCGCGTTCTCTAATAAAGGTTTTTAGGCAATTTAATTGAAATTAATTAAGCACGCAAATAATAATGTTTCAGGGCACACGACATCACAGCTGAAGTGTAGTATTTTATCGCTTTCAGGCGGTACTTTTCCACATTTGAAGCTACAACATTGACAACGTAGTAATCGTTGGTATTTATTACTAGCTTAGTGCTGGAAAACGATAATGACCAATATTTCCGTCCGCGCGTTTAGCTTATTAGTTTGAACTCGAAAATATCTAGTTTGGTTAATTATATTTTCCCTTTAATTTTCGAATACTTTTAGTTGAATCATTTATAGAAATGCCTATAAATTCCGGTTTGAGGGTAAACATTTTAAAATTGGAATGACTGATTCAAATTCATTTGAAATTTATTCCTTTATATTTTAAAATAACTTTTAAGGCTTGTCTAAGCATGTTAATTTACAGCTTACAGCGGCATTACATTCATATAATACATATTGGTTAATAATAATATATCATAAAATATAACTGTGATTAGCTTTTCATTGGATCGGGCTTCAACGTTCTTTAATTTTTGGGCTGTTACACTGTTAAATACCAAAATATTGGTATTAAGAAATCGATAGCTCCTTTAAGTTCTATCGAAGCAGCAGGTACATTCATGTCGCCCGTCTCTAGTTCTCAGTATCATTTTCTCCAATGAAACGCAAAAAGGTTAAATTATTGTCCGATTATTTTGCATTTATATTGAGGTGAAATGGATTTCTAGTTTGCGCGCAAGCTACAACAATGCACCAAGGTGCCCAAAACACACAAAAAGTTATGAAAATGTATTACAAAAACGTGTAAGTATTTGATAAATCCTCTACTCTTTTCTGCGTGGTTTGCTTGCAGGTCCCAATAGTTTTATTTGTGTTGGTGTCGTGATTCAGTCATCATAATTAAATGTGTAGTTGTAGTTGCCAATGACGTCGTGTGTGTGCGCAGATTTTCGCAAATTCATGAAACGTAAACGTGGCAAAGTCCACAGAGAATTGCAGTGGCCAAAACAACATAAGTTAACAACATGGGGCATGCAACTGCCGCTCGCTGGAGAAACCGGCTGACGCAATCGTGCCCCAAATTAAGTACAATTGCAAAAGCCACCGTGTCGCATGCCACAGCACGTGTGTTGAATGGGAAGGGGGTTAGAGAGGAGGAGGATTTGGTGGAAGTAGCATTCTGAGCTTTCGTTGGCAATCGTGTATTGAGGCAGGCGCAGACTATATGGCTCATAAAACTCATAAACACAGAAAAATGGCAAAGAATGTGCTTTGTTTTGTGTACATAAAAAATAACATATTTATTTTGATACTCTGCAGCTTATAGGCAACCTCCTAGTTGCGTATATTAGTGGCGTTGGCTTATCAGCCGATGTCTCAGCCTGATTAAATGGCAGGCTTTGTTTGTATAAAAATTCATAAACTGTTTATTAAACCTGGCGCATGGGCTTCAAATTTGCTTATCAATTTCGCGCAAATACAGTGCAGGCCAGCTAAATAATGTCGTGTAATGTTTTTTAATTGCACCGTTGCGTTATTTGCAACACTGTTTTATAATTTAATGCCATGCAATGTGTTTGTATAGACAATGTTTTTATTTTAACATTTTAATATTTAGTGTGCATTCCTTTCTTTCCAACACAGTGCCACCATGGCGCCCATACAACAACAACCAGCGATCACCACATTCTTAGGACCGGATTTCATATTTTCAAAAACCAGCATATCCGATTTTGACTTAAATCTTTCTTTTGACTATGACAACATCTTCAACTTCGACATTTCAAATGGTCATGGATTGTCTGGATTTGCCAACGGAGCTCTACTGGGACGGCAAAATGGAGCCATCATCCCCGCCGTCCACAGTGGCCAGCGATCTATTTTCGCTTAACGAAACATCAGTAGCGAATTGGCTCTTTGACGATAACTTTGCAAATGGTAAGCAAAGGGTTCTATTTTCACCTTTCCGATATTATTCTAATCTAATTTGTTTGTGCCTTCTAGATATAACACATATGAGCGAAGATGTAGCTTTGGATCTGAAACATACAACCCCACTGGGAGTGCTAAGTAGCCAACATTTCGAAGTGGAGTTCTTAGATTTTAACGATGAAGGCAAGTTAAAAACATAGGCTAAAGAAAAGTGATCCAATAGCTACCTGAGTAATCGTACGAAAATATCCTATAGAATGGTTGCCTTGCAGGATTAAATCATCCGTATGAAGCTATAAAATAGATTGGGATGGTATTTTCAATAGTGCGATCAAAAACTTTGTATATCAGATAACTACCCTCTGCGTGCTAAATGTATACATTGGCAAGCAATTTTACATATTCAGTTATACTGGGCTTAAAACCCTACAAAAAGTAGCTTATATAAGTATGTTTATTATTTCTTCAGTTTCGTGCAGGCAGAAAGTAAACCTGTCTTAATGTGGTGATACCTTATCGCTTGAAGCGCTCCCCAACGACTGGGACGGTCGGAGCTAAATGTTAGAAACCATGTCTCTTGTGCTTTATATAATCTATGCAAATTAGTGAGAAACCCAAAAAAAAAAAAATTAAAATGCTGTCGAACTTTGAACGTCTGCAGATTTGCCGATCTTGTTGGACAAGTAAAGCTTTATGGTGAATTTTTGGCTTAAAAAGGCAAACAATAAATTCATAAAAAAGCCTTAAAAGGTTTCATACATATGCATAACTGTCGAGACAAAGCCTATCAAACTAAATTCTCTAAATCAAGAACAGCTGTTCTTAATTCTCACCACATCCGTTGATTGGTCCGTCGTGCTAAGCCTTTTCAAGAGACAACGCCAATCACCAATGGGCTTGAGCTGAAGCAATAAAACAGTTCTGGTAAACCGGATCAACTGTGTTTTGTTTTGTTTTTAAATGGCGCGGAATGTTGTGTTGTTGTTACTGTTTGTTGTTGTTACTGTTTTTGTTTTCACCTTTATTGTTTACAAAAGTTGTTCAGCAACAACAGTCAGCATGACAATAATGAAATTAAAGTCGAAACCATTTTTGTGTCTGAGCCAGCAGCAGTTTTTTTTGACTGACCACGCAAATGGAACGTGTTCGGAGTATCCAACTACAAACATACATATATACATACGTACCATATAAAAACAATGCTCTCTTGTTTGCTCTCCTTCGTTTCTCTTTCTTGTTTTTTTTTTTTTAATAATTTTTGGCATTAAAGTTTGGCAGATTGGGATTAAGTGAGGTTTATGTAGCACGCAATGTCTCCCTTTCGTTATATCTAAGTTTTAATTTTTGGCTTGCAAAATTTAAATTCAAATTATGCACCTTTGTAGTTAACAAGGGTCTAGCATTTAGCAGCAGTAATGCGACCAGATTCTATAACCAGTTTATTCTCAAAGCAAACAAATTTTATTTGTGGCAGGTGAATGAATTTAACACACGCAGGTAATGGAAATTTTGGGCATAAATTTCATTAAGTTTTAACTGAATTTTCAGATAAACAGGAAATTGAAATCCAACCAAACTCTTTGTTTTGGGTTTAGCAGCATATGACGCGCCCCCAACTTTGATGTCTGAATTTTACGATAATGAATTATTAACAGCTTTTTCGCTGAGTAAGCTTCCTTTATTTGCTTCAAGCCTGTCGCGGAGAGATCCTCAGAGAGAGAGAGAGAGAGAGAGAGAGAGAGAGAGAGAGAGACAGATTTTAAATGTTCGTTTGACTTCAAAACTACTATAATTTGTTTATGAACATATTTATAAACTAAGTTGATAATACGGGTGTGAACAAGCAATAGGGTCATTAATTGCTCTACCTGGTAACAAACAATCATCCGTTAATCAGCCAAATTAAAACAAACGTCAGTGTCGAGTTCAATGCTCGTGAGCCTTTTGCCCGATTGAAATCAATATTTTATAAATATGCAAAAAAATTAAATTGCCGAGATTAAAATATAAAACATCGCACCTATCGACAGCCAATAAGACTGCATCGCCGAGCTGGGTGTTGGGTCAGAACTTGGGGGGCTGGAGGTCGGAGTAGCTTCGGTTGCTGTGTGTATAAACATTTTTAAATTATTGATAATTAGCATATGCATTAAATGCTGAATGTGTGTAGAAAGACCTGGCAACTAACATTTTGAGCTAAGCTTTCAAGGCAGGTCCCTGAATGGGCAGAGCTGTGTATCCTATTCTAAATGTGAAATAAGAATCGTTAAGCATTATTCGTATTGGCGATGAAGAATAGAGTCTAGATACGAGTATGTACTTGTTTCAAGATGTGCTTAAATCTAATGGCAGAAGAAATAAGTGCAGAAAAGGACTTCAAAATACAACGCAGACTTGTAGACAAGATAATGCATTAAACCATTATGTCTGGTTACAAAAGCCTAATTCTATTTTATCGTAAAGCCAAAAAACAAACAAAACTTGGTAACTTTGTGGATCTTGTCCCGCCCACTGTGGGCAATGGAAGCCAATTTTTGGGCAAAAGTTAATTAATGTATGTACTTTTTGATTATTTTGAATTTGCCAAACATTTTTGATTTGAAACAAATAATTTGTCGAACTTCAATTGCATTCGACTTTAACTTCTTAAACTAAAAGCAATAAAAAATCGAAATCGGTTTGTTTTCTTTTGGTGCAATTTAATTCGTAATTTGTTAAGGTGAAGTTGTAGTTTCAGCTTTATTGGCCATCGCCATTTATACCATGTATCTGAAGGGTAAAAAAGGTGTATTAAGTTTGTGCAACAGGCAGAAACAAACATTTCCATTGTACAGGATATTTCACTGTCGGTCTTTCATGACTGTAGCGTTCTAACTTGTCCGATTTTTTAAAAATATAACATTCGAGATTTTAAATGAGGTTTTCAAAGTTTCTATACCCGAAATGGTTCGGTTGGATTATATATAATGTAATTTGTAACGGAAAATCATACGAAGAAATGTAATGTAATTTGTAATGGAAAATCATACGATGAAACACATTTCTGAAGACTACAAATTATCCTCTATTTTTGTCGCAAATTTCGGTCCACTTGCCCACTGTGCTGTGCCCACAGACACTGCCCCTCATACGTTTGTTTGGCTCGTGCTGATTTGGTATCAACGGGCAGCTGCTCTACTGATAGCTCGTGCTCTCAGTGGCAATCCACGCTTGAGATTTGATCGCAATGCAGGGCACGCTTTCTGTTGTCTCTTTGCCTCTCTATCTATCTTCTGAGCCTCGCTCTCGGCGACAGCAAAAACGGCGCGCGCTCAATGAGCAAAGCTCAGTAGAAATCGTTACTTTGGCGTGTGCGAAGCTCGGCTTTGAAGCTGATTCCGATTCCAATTTCAATAAAAAGCGAATAAACACAAAACAAAGCAAATACTGCAAACAAAGAAACGGGCCAAAGCAGAAAGACAGAGAGACGACAACAACAAAAAAGCAATAAACAAACAACAAATACTACAAGTCGCACGTCTTGGCGTTTTTTCTTTTCTTTTTTCGTTAAAAGCGCAGACGACGAAACGCGAAAAGTTGCAAAAATTTTGAATTGATTTCAATTAAATGTTGTTGATAAAAGCAGCAATCATATGTAAAACAAATCCAGAACAATCAAAGCAAATTTAAACGCCAAACAATCGAAGACAGTGCAGCTTGGTGTTCGTTCAGTGCTTCCTAAACTTTAACGTCCTTCCAAAATAAGAAAACAGTGTGACCGTGTGTCTGATTGCCATCGCAACGGCGCCAGTTCGAGAGAAAAACGTAAAAGGGCAACCGAGACGCGTACGCCTACGGGTTTGATCTTTAGTCGATTGTTCGAACTGGATCTATATGTAGCCTCACAGTCGAGAAATCGCTTGGATAACTACAACGCTGGAATTTAGGTCGCATCTAGGCAAGACGTTCGTGAGCATGATACCACACTGTGGATACCGATACATGTGGAACCGTGAAATTGTGATTAACTCGCAAAAATTGGTGAAGCGACGCTAAGCGGCCAGGAAACCAAGACGACACTAACGCAGCCAACAATATTTTGTAAAATTGCGGCAGCAGTCGACATCAACAGATCCCCCCCTAAGCATATCATAAATTATTAAATCGTTCAACTTTCGCCCGTTTTCGTGAGTGCCTCAGACATTTCACTGTTATTGTTGGCGTAATTGCTAAACAAACACGAGCACATACAACAGACATATTCAAAATTCACCCTGTGATTTTTTAAACGTTTACAAAAGATCTATATTATATTTGCAGCTCTTATTGTTGCGAATATTCCAATATATACGATTATATATATTGCGTATTTTATTGCGTATTTTTATTTTTGATATAACGAAAAGCGCATCTCGTTAACATACAAATTGTAGTCTTAGTTTCGTTTCTTACATTTTAGTTTCTTAGTTTTACATTTACGCGTCATTTTACACGCCAGCTATACGTTATTTAATACCAGCTTTTAGGTCACGCCGCGATTTCAGGTTCGCGCGTTTTATGTGCGTTTTCTGCGCGCTTTCTTCGTGCTGCCTTCATAATACATATATTTATATTGACTTAACTGTAACGTCACTGCTGCCGCAAATATGAACACCACCTATATGCTGCATCACGCCTACGGTTAGTATGATTTCAAATTGTAACTCAGAATCGGATTTCGATTATGCAATATATCACGTATATTTAGATGATAGCTTCAGCTCTGCTCTCGTTTTCGATTTCGTCCAAATTGAATTATTTGGTTACAATAATTGGTGACATAAAGATTCCCGAATTCTTTAACCTGAATATTGTATGAAAAACTGTTGAGATTACTATTTCCGTTTCCGAATTCGTCAAATAAAGCTTGAATATATTATGATTTATAATATAGCCGTAATGTTTGTTAGCTTGTCCACAGATCCTTTAGGTTGTTTGCTCTTTTGACATTTAATGTTCACCAATCGATTGGATGTATATATTTTGCAAATAGCATCTCACTAATCAAGTCGCTCTCTCTCTTCCTCCCTGTCTTGAAACCAATGACTTGTTACTTATAGTAATAATCTGCTTCTGCAAATATATGATGTATATATACTTCTGTACATCCCATCACACAATCTTGCTTCTTCTGCTGTACTCTTGTCTGTCCATTGCTGGGCCTCCTTTTCTCGAACAAAGTCTTATAGGTTATTAAAGACACCACCACCACCACCAACAACAACAGTCTGGTCAAGCTGGTTTTTTTTCCCGCAAAGTATACAAACTTTGTTTTTGTTTTACATTTCCTTCGATTAAATATTTATAAGTTGGATTTTGCATATTATGACTCGATGGCTGGTTGTCTGATTGGGTTGGTAGGGTGGGAACATCCCAACATTGTTTTCGAAAAAATGAATGCAATATTCTGTTGTGTACATTTTTTCATAACGTGTCTGATGACGATTTTTGCGGATCTATAGTCAAAACTTTCCAACTGATAATACGGCGGGAGATAGATAAGTGTTTGGCCTATATTTGGACAACCATCCAGACATATTGCGTATAGACATATACATACTATTCTGCGAATAGCCCATACACAAAAGCTTCTAGAATCTATCTCTCTATCCATACCCTGACAGTTATTGCTCACTTTAAAATAGTCTATGGGATTTTTCAATAATTCATAGAGTTCCCGTGTTTAGCGATTGCCAACACAACCGTACTTGTATGTCGTTTTTATATAAGTTTTCAATGCATATTTTTTAGCGTCAAGGTTCTTGATAATCAGCTCCCATTTAAAATGAATATATTTAGTTTAAAAAAAAATGTACAGCGATAGTATAAAGTGGCATTGTTTTTGTGTGCCATTTGATTGGTGCTATATCAACTTTGTATTAATCTAAGTACTGCAAATTGAAGTGCCTAGACTTGGAAAATGCAAATTGCGTAGTAAGGCCCAGTTTCTAAGTGTCCGATTAAAATTTGTCGCCTGTTAGAAGAATTGAATTTTCTCAATATAGCGAATATTGACGTATGAATGTTTAAATAATAATTTTGATCACAAAGACCACCTAAATAGACAGCTTCCATTGGAGAGCAATGATATTTAACAATGAACTAAAAATAGAACAACATATTTCCTATATAAAACGATAATTATTTGTGTATAACTTATTATTATTATTATTATATTATTATTATTATTGCGTATTAAAATCTAAGTGCAAGCAAAATCTTGACACAATCGCATTTAGTTTTTATCTAAATCCACAGTCCTAAGAAATGAAGCACTGGTCCAAACTGTTTTTTGAACTAAAAATAGAACAACATATTTGCTATATAAAACGATAATTATTTGTGTATAACTTATTATAATTATATTATTATTATTGCGTATTAAAATCTAAGTGCAAGCAAAATCCTGACAGAATCGCATTTAGTTTGAAATTTATCTAAATCCACAGTCCTAAGAAATGAAGCACTGGTCCAAACTGTTTTTGGGGGCATATAGCTGTACCTAAAAAGGTGTTACTTTCTGGGTACTTGGGCACATTTTAATGCTACTTTCGTAGTACCCACCTTCTTAAATAGTTAATGTTCAGATAGTACCTTTGATATATACAAAAAACTTCGTATCCTTACTGTACCCTTAATCGATTATCAGATTATGTATCTTTTAAAATGTTTAACGAATTAAATATCTGTTGCTGTTGACCTCAACTGATCGCATGGACCGATATTATTGACAGTTATGCATTAGCAGTATAGCAATGCTATTTGAAAGCGCACCCGAGCTCGGACCCGCGCCCACTGAAACTTTCCGCTAATGCCAGTCGCCTTGGTTGCTAAGTAAGCAGCCGAGTGTTTGCCCCAAGACAAGCTGTCATTACTGTTGTTGTTTATGTTTATTAAGTGCAATTAATATTATAATATGCTGTTCTTGCCGTCGCTAGAATGCTACGCCCAGCACCAATACCAGCAACAACAACAACAACACCAACAGATCAGACTACTTTATCACTGCAAAACAGAAGAAAAGAAAAAACAAACAAAATCGTTTTCAAAATGCGCTCAATTCTCGCGACTCTCAGCTGCGATTTGTAAATGGAAACAAGATTTTTATGTAAATCAGATTAATGCAGCTACAGTTGCTCTGTTTTTGTTTTTGTTGTTGTTGTTGTTGCTGCTGCTGTTTGCTTGCGCACATCTGTTTACAGCAGAACTTGTTATGTTAATGCCACCAAGTGGTTGAGTCGCCCCGCCTCGCCGTGTGGAGAATGTGGCCCAGCCCAAGGTGTTGCGTCGATTAGTAAATTTTTGTTACATGCGAACTGTCTGTCGTCTGTGCCTAACAGGTGCAGGTTATGCCCCACAGACCGACGAAGGTTAAACTCTATTCGAGAGTATTTGTAACTGTCTGATCTGTCTGTTGATAACCTTTGTGACGCGTTTTCTGCGCGTTTCCCGAACGTCGAGCGCCTTGCACAGAATAGGAGCGTCGCCAGACGCTGTGGATCACACACTGCCTGCCAGCCACTAATTTCAATATTTTTTGTTGTCACTTCCAAGGGAAATATCAATAAAAGAATTGAACCAAATATTCCACAATCAACAAGCAAATATTTACTATAGCTCCGATCATTGCCGCCGTCCTTCACTTAAATAGAATTGATTTAAAAACGAGCAAACTCGTTCGTAGAAACAACGTAGTAGTTGCGATATGGCGAAGCATAGGGTGAAGCGAGACTGAAAAAGTAAGAGTGAGGGAATTAATACCTATATAGAAAAACCACTATAACGAGAGCCAGACTTGTACTATTTTTTCATAAATAAACAATTGTGTTACCTCAATAGAGATGGATGTCCTTTTATCTATTGAGTGGAATGTGCAGTGTTTGCGATTTAAAGTAAAATGCGAATCGACAATAGCATTGAAAAAGGACTTACATGACGCTTAGGTACTGTTCCAAATTTGCTAAAATCTAGCCAAAGAAAACAGTAGCCCGTTTTATAGTTTTTAAAGACATTTTACGATATCTAATTTGCATATTTGAGCATGAAGTAGCTCGAGGTATATTTATGTTCGCGATCGTAGCTGATTAAAGCTTAATAGTTAAGCTAATTAAATAAGGCATAATTGAACAAAGAACTTTCATTAGTTGTTTAAAGTTAAATAAGCTTATTCTTTTAACTTATGTTGCTTATATATATTTTTTACAGAGTGCTTGCTGGACCAAAAGTTGCCGCAGTACATCGACTATGAATCTAACAATCTGCAGACAGTCATCGATGTTGTGGGGCAGCCCATCTTACCCATAACCAAAGTACAAGCAGCTTCGCCAATCGAGCTATACCCGGGTCAGTACGAGGCGGCGGCTGAGCTTGCGCAGCTAACGCCCCCCCAGTCGCCGCCGCAGTGCAGTGGCAGTTATCAGCAGCCTTTGAGGGGGGACCAGATACCGGTGAGTAGAATAATTGTGCTAATTTCGTGATGAAGCTTATTCTTATGTCATTTAATGTATTTTGTAGCTGATCTACGACCGTGATTCTACAGCTATACCAACAGCAATACCAGTAGTAGCCGCCAACAACTACAACTTCAATAGCTGGCCAAATAATCAGGCGACCAATGTCAGCCCCTCCAATGAAATTGAGCGTGAATCACAGCTGGTCGACGAGATTGTGAAAATTCGTGCCCAGGAACTGCAGTTACCCAATTGGCAGCAGGAGGACTACAACGATGACTGCGAATCCCAATTGTCGTCGGACGCTTCGATTAGCTTTGGTGACAGCAGCAGCATCACGGATGAGGATTGGCAGCCCGAGAGCAGCGGCTCCTCACCTTGCTACTCCAGCGGTCATTTACACCAACAAACATCGGAGTCAGCACCGGCCTCGCCAGTCGCCAGCAGCAGCAGCAGCAGCAGCAGCATAACATCCAGCACAGCCACTAAGAAGCGTACACGCACCTATGGCCGCGGAGTGGAGGATCGCAAAATAAGAAAAAAAGAGCAGAACAAAAATGCCGCCACACGCTATCGCCAGAAAAAGAAGCTCGAGATGGAGCATGTGCTCAGTGAGGAGCAGGAGCTGGTCCAGCAGAATACGAAACTCATGCGGAAATTGAGCGAAGGAAAGCGCGAGTTGAAATATTTACGCCAGCTCATACGCGAATTCCATAAAGATCAAAAGCAATAAATAGTCCACTCGAAAGACGGCCATCGTTCTACTCTACCACAGATTCGTTCTCTCTATAACATTTAAGCAAATTTGCAAAGTTATTGTCACGCTGTAATATCCACACAAAGATTTCTTTCCCCCTCCTTACACCGCATCAACAAAATTGTTCATTATTTCTACCAAGCGTGCATAAATGCAATTATCCAATCAAGAAAACAATAACAAACAGCAGCCTGTCGTCGCCAACACCTCTGGCCCATATGACAAGTCATCTGAGTAAGACTTCGAAGTTCTCTTTTGCCGGTGTTCGCTTTCGACACACCCCCATCTTAAAGCTGCACAGGCCAACGTGCTCAGATCCTTTGTGGCCTGGCACAACAATTTGTTAATGAAAAACATAAAACCCTTTTTGTCATACGAACATGAAAATAAAACCCTGTGCTGCGGTTGCTGTGTATTGATTGCATATTGCACGCATTTTAAATAATTTTTGACAGCAATTGAATTTTTTTTCAGTTCATAGACTTTACAGTATCAATAAATAAAATTTTAAAAACATATAAAATATATCATTGTAATAAAAAGGGTTAAAAAAAAGTTGAAGCTTTTTTCTTCGTCGTTGTTTCTAAGTAAATTATTTTCCCGGAAATACATTTCTTGTTCTCCTAAGCAGTAAATTGAAATCTTAATCTAAAATCGTGAGCTTTAACAAATTTAAAAATTCTACACATCGCTAATAAATGTGTTAAATGGCTTGCAAAGTATATGTATAAGATAATTATATTTTTCTTGGAAATGGCTAATTGGATAATTTATAATTATCACATATAATAAGTTCGATATTTAGCCAAGTACTTAGCAAGTTCGCAAACTAAATATTTGGAGTTCTGTGGTAAAGTTGCAAATGACGTCGAGTTCTTTTTGTATACAAGAAGAATTAATATTGTCGGTTTGTGCTAAAATACAATATTATGCTTATTGTTCTTTAAGGCGGAGGGACGCTCCTAATATATATTGGTGAGGTATACATACAGCTAAATTTGTTTGAAAAATATGAAAGAAACTTTATTTCTTTATTTTTTTTCCACTTTACACATTCTTTTATCACGAACTCCATCATTTTTAGGGTTTCTTTATTTGTTATCCTTTTGATACCCATTTATCAAAAAATTAAAGCTTTTCCTTTTTCTACGAACTTCCTGCCGGAAAGCTAAATATTTGCTGCATAGTTAAAGGCGCGTTTAATGGAATTGCAGTCTTGTTTTATTCATCAACTTCCACTTTTCTCAATTAATTTTCAATCAACGAGTTTTTAACAGCTAACAAGCACACGTCTATAATTCGCCGCCACCCGCCCGTCCGATGTCGCTGGCACTTTGGAAGCCGTTCATAATCGGATTATATCTATGTGGGAGCTATTAGCGTTGATTATGTGTGGAAGACAACAATAGACGGGCGCCAGTCTAGCGATGTAGTAGATGTCGTAGTCGACTATGTACAGCAAAATTAAATCAAACTGCCAATTAATTGAATACGTTGGAGCTTCAATTGAGATTGATGCGGCCGAGGCAAGGACCAACATCTGTGAATACGCAAAATAAAATTCGAGATATATAGACGAAACAGATCGGAACGGAACGATGCCAAAATCCTTAGCAGTGGCGACTCAAAACAACAAGCCAATTTCTCAATGCAGCTTTGCAGCAGGGTCCTGGGATTTGCGCGCCGAGGCGTTTGACTGATGAGGCAGCGACGTGAGCCACAACTTGACTTTTGTAGCTTTTGTTGTTGTTGCTGTTGCTGCTGCTGCTGCGACATCGTGTGTAGCCATTTTCACTACTAAACTAAATTTTCCACATCGTTAATTTATATTAATATGATTTCTGTGTCAACGCGCCACGCGGCTGCGACGTCCGCCCATGTCTAGCGCATCGCCATCACCCGCCGTGTGTGGCAAAGCGAGGATGCTGGCGACGAAAACGACGGCGGCGATGACGACGCCAATGGAGGTCGCCTTCAACGTTGTCGTCGCAATATTTATCTAAATTGTTATTTTCACACTCACGCAGTTCAATGAATTCGTGAAAATTACGTTTGGGACTTTGTGTTTGTTCTTCTAGTCGGGCGACATTGCCGGCTTTTCCGAGCCGCTCCTGGGTCCGGGTTGGGTCGGTTTCGATCGCACTTCAGACCGTGGCGCGTCAGTTGACATGTTGGCTTTAAGCGTATTGGCATAAAATTCAATTTTCCTCCATTGTATTAATCCTGTTACTGCTGCGTTTCCTCGCATGAATCCTTTTTTTAAATGTCAACCAAACGAGACTCGCAGCACATCGTCACACGAATTTAATGAACACGGGGAAAGTTAAGGCGCTTGAAATCAATTCTTTGAGTGACTGCATGAACTTTAATTCGCTGTTATAAATAATCACTTCACAAATCAGCAGACTTTTAATACCAGGTGTATTAGGGTAGGCAACTGGTTAGCGTATTCGACAATCCTCATTTCGTTTGGAAAAAATAAATAATTTATGTTAGAAATGCCATCGCTTAGGTACTTGCTATGAGAATCGCAGAGAAGGGCGGCCAAATATTTGTATTTTATTTATCAGAAATTTCAAAATTTAATTTCAATTGAAATGAATTCACGATTTTCCATCACTTAGGTATGTACTTGCTATAAGAATCGCAGAGAAGGGCGGCCAAATATTTGTATTTTATTTATCAGAAATTCGAAATTTAATTTTAATAAAAATTAATTCACTTACTATGGGAATCGCAGAGGAGCGGCTAAATTATTTTATTTACCAAATTTAATTAAAATTAATGTAATTCACCCTTAACCGTCACTGATTTCAATAAAAATTAAAGTAGTGTGCCCATGAAGTATTTGCTTTGAAGCGCTGTGAAGTCTCTTTGTTCCAGGATTTTCCATGCAATCGGAAAGCTATGTTCTAGCACTATAAATAGCACAGAGAAATGTTCAACTCGAATAAGTTCCATCGGCCATTCAGACGCTCACCCTCGGGAGCAACCCTATCGAAAAGTGCAGTTGATTATTTGTTTGGGGGCTCCAACCCCTTTCAGTTTGCGGCGCGGCCGCGTAAAGTTTTCAATTTAATAGAAATTGGCCCGCATGTGGCAAAGAGCCCGCTGCTCGTTGTTTGCATTATATTTAACTTTATTTTTATTGTTGGTTGTTGGCCTGAAGGTGGAAATGTGTGAAAATGTAATGTACGGGAATGGTTGTGGCTTTTGGGTCTGCGGGCAGTGATAAGAACGATCCCCCTCCCCCATCCGTTTTTCGCCCGCTCCACCTGATTAGATAAGCTGAAAAATCAGACAATTGGCACACGGCAACACTCACGAGCTTTACACCCACCACTTACCATAAAAATCGCCTGAAATGTGCGATTCTTGGTCACTTTTTATTTAGTTTATGTAATGTTTTTGCACAAATGGAATTGCGCAAATGAATTGAATTGCAAGCCTGCCTCGTTTTATCCACTCCCATCCATTCTATTTACTTACATACATATGTACATATGTGTATGTATGTATATATGGTCTTTCCTATAATTACGGCACATCCACACAACTTTTTATCCGAAGCCGCATGTGGCGTTAAACTAATTTGTGATAATTACATAAGCTCGCATCTTCTTTCTTTTCACATTATGTGTGTCATCACTCTGTTTAGTCCTGCCCACATACATATGTAAGTGTCCTCTCTTCTGGTAATAAAATTTTCACTAATGGATGGCAACGTAATGCATTTTTGTTTTCTACTTAAGATGCTCAATGCCTCGCTAAAATAAATACATACGAGTACACACTCAAATGGGGGTAATTAGTTGTTATGCATTAATATGTTGATATACATACTATATATATATATAATGCCAGTATTATTATGAAAAATTAAATAATGCATCGTATGTATAGATGATTAGCCTAAAGGGCAGATTGTATTTTTGTAAAGCATTTAACTCACTTAGCCTTTTCTGTTTTCTGCAGTTCAATCAGTATTTGTTGGCTTCAATCCTAATAATTATTATGAATTGTCTTTGGAAAGAACGTGGTCTGTTCAAAAAAAAAGGTGAATTTTTTATGAATTTTGCATTTTGTGAAATATATTTTTTTATTCATCAATATCCATTTGAAGGGGACAATCCTTCAAAGTAATTCTTCGCTTCTTCCAATCCTCGAAGCACATCTGAAATGAGCTTTTCGGTTTTTCGGCTCGTTCTTCGATTTTGACACTTTCCTTTCATTGATCTCTTCAGTTTTGGGAATAGCAAAAAGTCGCAGGAAGCCATGGTTTTGGAGGCTACAGGATGAATATTTATGAATAAATAAATGCTTTTCAAATGAAATTAAAATTCACACTTTTTTTAAACAGATCTTGTATACATATACGTGTATAAACGCAAACATTCCGTAACTTCTTTGTAGTATTCCTTATTAACCGTACGACCTGAACGGCAAGAACAGTAAGCAAGATATGTACTTTTTTTCAATAGACGTATAGAGCTTGAGTCCCTGATGTTAATACCTTTTGGCGTGTTGTTCTAGACGAATATCTCTGTTAACTGCTCTTCTCTCTGTTCACTTTGGAAATCAACGAATGCTAGATACAGCCTGGGATTCATAATAGTTCCTATAGCTGCTTTGATGGCGGTTGGAATCGAATATCATTATCGCATTAACATTTACCTACTAAGGGTTAAGTTGTTTTAATTTCCATAGCCAACCCCAAGACTGCCGACCGACGCTTGTTCTCATTATAATTTTGTTAAATGTTATGTAAAAAGTGTCATGTTGTCACCCCTTGGCATCCGCAGCCCCCATCTACATGGTTTAATAGTCATTTTATTCACTGCCGACTTAGTGGCGGCACAGCAGCGGCATCAACATCGGCATCAGCATCGGTATTGGAGTCACTTTCCACTTGCCAGTTGCAAATTAAGTCCACCGAGGGTTGCCTTTGGTGTCCATTTACAGCGCTGACGTTTTGACTTTTAATTGTGTTTTAAAGTGTTGGGAGCCCAGTGGGATATCGGCTGGGATGGCGTTCATGTTGTTCCGTTGGCACTTACAGGCCATTTGGCTTTTGATTTAGCTCCGTTCTATGGCTATTTGATGCCTAATTAAATTTAACGATGACGTTGATATTGCGATTGCTCGATTTGAGCTGCAGCGGTCGCAGAGCACGAAAGTCGAGCTGTAGCTGAGGTTTTCTTTTACATATGTATGCAAGTTATTATTTAGTTTGTCTGGAATGAGTGTGGCTGAACATGGCCATGTTTGTTGGCAACGGGCGAACGCAGCTTTTTCAATAGGCAGGGAAGCAAAAAATTACAATTTTGAATAAATAATGCACGATGAGTTCAAAGAATAATTGAAGCTTATGAGCAATATAAAAACTTGAACAAATCCAAGTCAGTTTCATTTTTAAGCAAGATAGTGCGTCATAATGAATGTGAA